CTTGATGAGAAATCTGAAAAATGCATTTTTATTGGTTATTGTACTCATTCCAAAGCATATAGATTGTATAACCCTCTTAGTGGCAAGATCTTAATTAGAAGGGATGTAACATTTGATGAAAATACAAGCTGGAATTGGAGTGAAGAGCAGGTACAACAAGAGACTCATGACCCCATTGGAGTCTTTTCAGATGATACAGAAAAACAAATTCGAGCAAGCTCTCCTATTGGCTCAACACTAAGCAGTAACTCTTCATCTACAGCTCTTGGAGAGGTTTCAACCGAGCCAATTCCATTGAGAAGATCAACAAGAGCCAAAAAGCCAAATCCCAAATATTCTGATGACATATATACTTGTCAATTTGCTCTTACTGTTTCAGATCCATTATATTATGAAGAAGCAGCTGAAAAGGAAGAATGGCAAAGAGCAATGATGGAGGAAATGAAGTCCATTGAAAAGAATAGAACTTGGGAGATGGTGGAATTACCAGAAGGTAAAAATGTAATTGGCTTGAAGTGGGTGTATAAGACAAAGTTTGCTGCAGATGGGAGCCTACAAAAGCACAAAGCTCGTCTTGTGGCAAAAGGCTATGCACAGCAATATGGTGTTGACTTTGAGGAAACTTTCTCACCAGTGGCCTGGTTTGAGACAGTGAGACTTGTTCTTGCTTTAGCAGCACAATTACAATGGCCAGTTTATCAATTTGATGTCAAATCAGCTTTTCTTAATGGAGACTTACAAGAAGAAGTTTATGTGGCACAACCAGAAGGTTTCATAAAAGAGGGCAGTGAAACAAAAGTTTACAAGCTGAAAAAGGCGTTGTATGGTTTGAAGCAAGCTCCTCGCGCTTGGTACAGCAGGATTGATGGATATTTTCAGAAGAAGGGGTATATGAGAAGTGAAAATGAGCCCACCTTGTATGTAAAGAAGGAAGGTAATGATTTCATCATTGTTTGCCTTTATGTTGATGATATCATTTACACTAGTTCCTCTGTTGCTCTTATGGATGAATTTAAATCACAAATGATGAATGAGTTTGAGATGTCAGATATGGGTTTGTTACATTATTTCCTTGGCCTTGAAGTTCATCAAGCTAAAGACGGAATATTTCTTTCTCAAAAGAAATATGCTAGAGATCTTCTCAATAAATTTGGCATGCTTAATTGCAAGCCTGCAGCTACACCCATGAATATCAATGAGAAATTACAGCAAGAAGATGGAGAAGAGATGGTAGATGCAAAGAGGTTTAGAAGCTTAGTTGGAGGCTTGATTTATCTTACTCACACGAGACCTGATATTGCATTCCCAGTTGGTGTAATTTCCAGGTTTATGCAGCATCCTTCAAAAGTTCATTTTGGAGCAGCAAAAAGGGTCATGCGCTACATTGGTGGAACCTTGGAGTATGGCATTTGGTACTCTAAAGTCTCTAATCTCAGATTGTGTGGGTATACAGATAGTGATTGGGCTAGTTCGTTGGATGATAGACGAAGTGTGTCAGCAAATGTTTTCACTCTTGGTTCAGGGGTAATTACTTGGAGTGTAAAAAAACAAGCTACAGTAGCATTATCAACCTCAGAAGCAGAGTTTATTGCAGCAACTTCAGCAGCTTGTCAAGCAATTTGGCTCAGAAGAATATTAGTAGATCTTCAACAAGAACAGAAGGGACCAACAGAGATATTTTGTGACAACAAATCAACTATCTCCATGACAAAGAACCCAACATTTCATAACAGAACCAAACATATTGATATTCGCTATCATTTTATTCGGGATCTGGTAGCAAAGGAGGAGATAGCATTGAAATATTGCAGCACGCAGGAGCAGCTCGCTGATGTTCTGACAAAGGCCTTATCAAAAGAAAAGTTCTGCTATCTTAGAGGATTGCTTGGTGTGTGCGTTTTTGAATCAAGGGGGAATGTTGAAGCATGATTCAAAAAGCTCACGTGATGCTGATAGCTAGGAGTCATATTCTTCTCACGTATTTGGTGCCAGTATTTTTCGCAAGTCAGTTTGTTAGTGCAAAGTAGTGGGTTATTTTTATTAAATATTTATTAGTTGAAGCAAATATCTTGGGCTGTTCCAGATATCTTTTTACCCAGTCAAATAAGTTGTTTAGAGTCAGTTGTAGTGGTGGTAGTGGAGTCCGAAATTCCTGTTGAGTTAACGTGTCTGTAAGCCTATAAATATGGGCACTTTTATTTATTCCAATGCATTGAGTATTATCCACTGAATATATTTTAGAGTGGGGCCTTCTTTTCTTTACTTTATCACTCTCCTTCACGTGACTTCCCCAACAAATCAAACTTCGAATACTTCTGAGAGGGGTGCAGAAGAAGTTAATCCCTTCAGCCGACGACAGGGACTCCTTTGCCAGTGTGTCCGCCGCTACGTTCGCATCTCTGGCGCACCAATCCAGCCGTGCATCCCAATTGTGATCCAACCACCACTTGATCTCTTCAAGCAATTGTCAATCTGGATGATAGTCCGCCCAGCCTGAAGCAACCAACTCAATCACCTCCAGACAATCAGTCTCGATGATAACCCTCCTCCATCGTAACTCCCAGGACCTCTTGAGTCCCCCCAGCACCGCCCACAGCTCTGCATGAAGGCTATTCCCCTTTCCAATTTTAAACATCAAACCATCTACAAACGCCCCATCGTGGTCCCTCGCCACCCCCGCGCATGCTGCGTCTCCAGTTATTCCCGTACATGCACCATCCACATTATACTTCATACATCCCACGTAAGGCGTCACCCACCTCGGTACTGACCTGTCGACCTCCCTTGTGGCTTTCACCTCCGTGCTCGCGCATTCCAGTATAGCTCTAGTGTGTGCAAGGACCTGCCGGTAACCTTTAGCCTTGCCCTCGAAGACGCCTGCATTTCTGTTCAACCAGATTTGCCTACTTAAAACAGCAAACCACGCTCCCCACTGTACGCCCAACACTTCCCCAGTGAAACTAATATTCCAGTCCAGCCATCTTCCAAGATCAGTAGAGCTAAAGAATTTACCCCGAAACCCGTGTGGGACCAAATGATTCCAACACGCCGAGGCGATGCTGCAGTCACGGATGGCATGCATTATATCCTCTCTGTTACCCCCACAGAGATTGCACCCCATATGTCCTCGTAGCCGCCGAGCTGCTTTCGAGCAGTTCGTGGGTAGTCTATCACGTCCACAGATCCAAAGGAAATGTTTACACCTCTGAGGGACTGGCAGCTTCCATAACCGACGCCACATCCCTTTTAGTGTAACCGGTTCGTGCCGACACAGAAGCTTATAGGCTGTTTTCACAGAGAATTCTCCATTATGCGTCTCAGTCCATCGAGGCACGTCCTCCGTCCCAGCAAGGCCTGATGGGTAGTGTCGGTTAATACTATTTAATATGGTTCTGGGGAGTAAATGAGCAACCTTGGTCCAATCCCAGCTCCCAGACGGTAGGATGTACTCCGCCACTTTTGTATTGTGCCCATCCACTTCGAGATCACCGGTAGCATGTATTCTGTTCTAATAATTAGCGCAAGGGAATGCCACTCTGCCGGGGGAAAAGGAATAGATAATTATAGTTGTTGAGAGGGAAACTAAAATTCAAGATGCCAGAACAAATGAAAAAAAAAACAGAAATACAACAAAATTAATGCATATAAAAATTATTACCTGCACTTTAAGTTTCCACTAATCTCAATGAGTTTTCTGGTCCAAAAAAAAATTCTCAATGAGGTTCTTAAGGTGATTAGTTGTCACGTCAGAAAGTTTTGATTTACAGCAATCGGACAATGATCAATGGAGAGTCTCGATCTAATTTTCGACATTCTTATGAAATGATCCCACCACTTTATATTCACATTTATTGGATTATTTATTACATATTTATGTCTATTATATTCAATTTATATTTTTTATACAAAAATAATTAGGTAAATTTATTTGCAAATAGACCACAAACAAGATCCTTAGTAGGATTCAAACTCACGATTTTGTAAATTATGAAATAACTTCTTATCAAGACCAACCTGTATTAGTTGTATTCAATTTATATTTGTTTTATTCGGATTAAGAACGTAAAGAGGCGGCTGGCATGCTGGTCAAAAAAAAAAGAAGCGGCGGCTGGTATGGTGTTGAAGAGTCTGCCGTCAATGTCTACAAGACCAATGTCAAAACAAGTAGCACATGAGAATATTGACTTTGGAGGTGAACTTACCGTTCGGGCCGATAAAAAAAACAGAGATAAACTTACCGTTCAGACTGAAAAAAAGGAATCCGCTGAATCTGGCTAATTCTTGTTGGGGAAAAAAAAACCAAGTAGAAGAAGCTGAAAATAAAGACATCCGTCATTTTCCGTTTACTTGGTTTCCTCGTTTTCCGTACTCATTTTTACTTCAGTCTTTTTTATATAAAAATACCCCCCCCCCAAAAAAAAACGCAAGACCAGAAAACCAGAAAGGTACAGTTTCAAAAGTATTCTCCGAAATCCCCGATTATTCCCATACAACGCCATCGGAGACGTGCATGAGCTATGCTGGGGGCAGGGGATAATGCAAGCCACATCTGCATAAATTAACCAGACAAGAATAATAGAAACTGTTTCCACTTAAATAAACAGCACAACAGAGGGAAATGAAATTTTACCCACTAAAAGTCACACAACACTAATATAGGCAAAGTAGAAACATAACAAGACAACCACCAACGATGCTGCCGACCAGGCAAAGCTTAAGCTGAATGGCAACTATAAGCGCCTCATGTGGTCATTGCCTTGCACACTTCGCTTTAATTGGGCGACACTAGCCCAAAAAGGAAGAAGAAATTTCTGTTGGTTTTCTCTCTATTGTTCAGATTGGATAGAATCAGCTATGGTCTAACTCTATGGCCCGAAGGAACAGAGAATTTGCTAGCAGCAAACCTAAATATGTGGATTTAAAAACCCATCTCAACCACAGAATTTGCACCACCCACTATCAAGGTAAACTATAGCGCAAGTTTTATGCATTACATGAAGTTTGTAAAATAAACCACAAAATTCATTGCCACTCATCAGAAACTTCATAATGTATATAGATCGATAATTTGTTAATAAAACAAATCGAAACCTAACGGGGCAGATGCAGCCACAGACAGAACATATTATTTCAGGCAAAGCATCTATTTCCCACAAAACTAACTTTATTAAACCAACCTATTGCAGTCTTTTTTTTTTTCAGTTACGAACATTCAAAAAGATAGGACGGTTCATGATCCTGAAACACAAGTCTTTCCCTTCTCAGTATAACCAAAGGTGAAAAAGGGATGGCGAACAACTCGCCAGTACCCAAATACCAAAGCTTATATGCATACATTCATTATGCTTTCAGCGAAAAATCATTTCTGCCACTTCCTACTTTGATTTACAGATCTTTTGCCTCATGCGCCTTCTTAAAAACACTTTTGTGCGAATTTTCACCATCAGTTTGGGGTTCTTGAACCACTTGCATGTGGTGGAAATAGTTACTGCGTTTCAAACGGATGCTGTGATGGCATCTGCAGTAGTTGCTGACAAAAATGCTGTGGTTGACGAACTGCCAGTTGCCATGGCGGCAGTTCTTGTGTTTCCTTTCTTAACGGCGCATTGAGGTCCATCGTTGCAAGTCTTTCTAATTCTTGAACTGCTGCAATTGCACTGAGTGGACTCGCAATGCTAAAATGGGGCTTGATCACACCAAGAGATTCATTCACTTTTAATTGCTGTTATGACGAAAGAGAGACATGATTGATCACATCTATGACAAGTTAATTAATTGACCAATTGAGCATTCAGGAAAAGACTGTTTAAACTTACAAAATATTCAAGTTTGCTCCTCAACACTTCCTCAACAGATGTTCCCTGTTTCCACCAAAATAATGCAATAAAAACGAGCAATTCACATAAATTTAGATAGCACAGAAGGCAGGACATGCTGAACCAAACACAAAAGAAAATAATTACTACATCATATATGGCAACAAAGAACTCTCCATATTCTCTACAATCCTAAAATTTCCTTATTCAAACTGCAGGATTTACTAATCTTGCGTGCTCCAAATTGGCAACACACAAAATCTGTGTGGAACAAATATGCCCAATAGCGCCTGTCAATTAGGATTCTGATTCTGAAGTAAAATCACCATAGAATGTGTTTAGTCATTTATCGCCAGCAAGAGAAGAATATTGCTCAAGTTTACTCATAGTCCAGGCCTAATGGGATGAGGTAGTGATCAGCACAAAAGTATAAACAAAACGTTGATGAAACATGTCTTAGAATTGATACATAACCAAAGACCATAACAAATAGAAATTAGAAACCGACCCTATCCTCTCCATTAACCAAAAAAATAATAAGGAAATCACGAGGATAAGCTTTTTTCTCCTTTTTTTCTTTTTTGAGATGAAATATGAAAAAAGAGATAAAGCCAAACATTACAAAAGAGAGGAAGACGTTGACCCCGAAGAAAAAGAAAAGAAAAGAGTGGAACACTGAAGTCGCAGTCTATCTTCCATTTAAAAAAAGAAAAAAGAAAAAAGGTCTATCTTCCACCATCACAATGCATTCAATAATTTCGTTAGGAAAACACATCACTAGCAAGCTGAGCAAGTGACATAAGAACAATCCTTAACTTGGACAGGAGAAGAACTATTAAGGCATATTGATAGAAACGCCCGAGCCCGCAAAAATTTTGTTATTTTGTATGCATAACTCATAGAATTACCTTCTTTGGCGGGCCGACAGATCTTCTGACAGGAGCTCTGGGTCTAGCTACCCCTGCGCCCCATGACCAGCTCCAACAGCTTGTAATATAGCTCCCGATGGAGGCACTGCAGCGGCATTCTTCTTTGGTCTTCCTCTACCTCTTGAAGGTATACTTGGTAAGCTAGAGTCTGGCGGTACCGTGGGAACTGTGCTAGAAGTTACTGTTTTGGCAAGTACAGCGGGACCGGGAGGGGCCAAGGGGATGGCCGTCGTGTTCGTTTGATTTTTGGGAGGGCGACCAGGACGCCAGTTGGTCCCATTAGAAAATGCCAACTCGGATTTGGGCTTGGAAGGACACCCAGGTCTTTGCGAGCCGGGTGGTCCCCCCCATCGCGCTGGCGGCCCAGGTTGGTCCACTATGTTCCTCCTAGCTTTCGGTGGACGACCGGGGCCCCTTCTCGTCGCCTGAGGGTTGGCATTTTGCCGAACAAGAGACTGGGGCTGGGGCTGCGGGTCGGCGTTGGGCTTGCGCTTGGGGGGGCGACCCCGTTTTCTTTGGGCGGTGGGAGGTGAAGCATCAAATTTAGGGAGCTTGTAAGATTTTTTGACCATAACAAGAAGAGCGTTGCTTTTCAAGAGATTTAAATGCTGAGTCAGCAAGGCGGGATGGTTTGAGGGAAGGCGCGGATAGGCTTGCTCTATGAACTTGGCAATGGTTTTCTTGCTGGAGCCGTTTCTCTCGTTGAGAGCCGCGAGAGCTGTACGTATCATCTGACTTGGAGTAGAACCCGAAAAGGGGCATGATGAAAGTAGAGGAGGTTAGCAGCGAAAAGAAGAAGCATAAAGGTAAGTTAATGTATTGTTGGCTGTCTTAAGCTTACCTCAGCATAGGGAGGGTAGTTTGCAGAAGTTAGATTGGCGGAGGGGGCCGGAGCGGAGGCAGGAACGGCGGTGGGAGGGGCGGTGAAGGTGGGGGGAGGAGGGATGGAGGAGGGGTCCATGGAGGACTGAGGGGGGCCGAACAGGGAGAGTCAGAGGGGTCTGGAAATTGGGAGCATCGAAAGCGGTGGCAGATAGTCATAACTCACAACACATGTTAACACATTAGAGCCGACGGGACTACACGTCTGGACTCTGGACCGAGAATAAATTTGATTAAATTGAAATGGAATATAAATAATTTTAAATATTAATCTAAATAGGGCCAATGTCAGCTCACCCTGACGCTTTTACCGATAATTTTACAGTGAGTAATTTACTAATTTTCTTAAAAAAGTGAAAAAAAAATACAAATTGAATTTAAAAATAGGAATAAACCGCCATTTGCTTTTTACCCCTCAAAGTTAACAGCAGACAACAGTATTTTAGTAGTAATGAACAAATGAGAATGTGAAGAAATCACCTTGAGGGCATAAACAACACTTTTATGGCATGGAAAATTCATGCAAGGGAAAAATGAAGACGTGGGTGATGATACTAGTTTACTAATTTTTATTGTAAATTATATGTAATCCATTGTCATGTTTTAGGAAAAGTAATAAATTGATAAATTTTTTAAAATTTATTCTTATAAAATTTTTTATTTTATATTTATAAATTATTATCATCTCTCCTCTCTTTTTCTTTTTCTTTTTTTAATAAAAATAAAATTTAAAAAACAATTATTAAATACACTGTAAATGACTGGTAACAATCTGCAGGTTACGGGTGTGGGACCATGCATGATTCCGGCACTCTGAGCAGGGGCTTACCGGTTACCTCATTCAGAAAGGTGACTGCTGCCTAAATACTTGACACAGCCAGGGTCCAGGAGGTCGATCTGGCCCACCCAAGCTGCCAAATATCCATACTATATAAACACAAGCACACAACCGTCAACCTCATATTAATAAGAGCCAATTGGTCCTTGTAATATCGCTGTACTACTTGGTTAATTTTTCTGAGTATCCGCTTGGTTTCACTGTGGATAATTATTTTTATGCTTTACGAAATAATTTTTTTTGTAAAATTTATCTCGTATAATATAAAATTATTTAAAATGAACAGGTTCAAACTGACACTTCAAAGTACTGACACAGGAAAATCATTCTTTATAAATACTTCTATAAACTAGCTAGCTCGGTGTGATCATGGGGTAAGAGGCGAACAAGACAAGCCCGCTGTAACATTATTTTGTTGGAGACCTTCCCTGTCCGAAAAGTTCTTGCCTAACTCATATAAGTAGGGACCAATCATCACCCAACACTCCTTTAATTTTTGGGAAAATAAAGCATTCCCACTGGAAATGAATCAAAATTCAACGACACGATAAAACTGCTTACTGATCCATCGATTCCGCTGCCGATCTTGGTGCAACCACCTCCTTCTGTTAAAAGTCTGTTGAAAATTAGCGGGCCAAAATGAACTAGTTCTGCGAGAATGATAACCAAACATAAAAGGATTAAAGTGAGATGTTATTGATCTATAGGGAAATTTGAGTTGTAAGTTTTAGTTATAAGCATATCCTTAATTTACGTTAATTTTATTAGGAAAAATTAATATGCAGGTCCTTTAGTTTTGCCCCATTTTGAATTAGATCCTCAAATTTATTTTATTTTTTATCAAATACTTAATGTTTTAATTATTACAGCTATAGATCCTTCTATTTAAACAACGTTAGATTTAGGTTAACACCGTTAAAGATGGCCAACACCATTGATACTTGAAATATCACTGTCACCGACCATACAGGCGACCTTACAGGATGAAAGTTCTTGGAGATCAATAGCAGTGGTCTTCTTTAACAATGGTTAGCCCTATTTTAAACAGAAAGATGAGCAGCTATAATAATTAAAACATTAAGGATTTGATAAAAAAAGATAACTTTAAGGACCTAATTTAAAATGAGACAAAACTACATGATCCTACGTGTTAGTTTTCCCATTTTATTATATCATCCTCAATTGTCATTCTCCGTTACTTCTAATCAGACTCAGAAGCAGCTAAGGACTTGTAAAAGTCAACAACACAACTAGCCACAGCGGTTCTGCTCCGTGGGCATCAATCAAACTTTTGCACCGAAAAACAAAGCTTCGTATTTTAAGCCAACCTTGTTTTTAATAACTATAGCATACTTATATGATTCTATGTACTCATATAATATTAATAATTTTAAAAAAAAACATGTCATATTTTTTATATTTAACTAACTTATTTAACTTTTTTAATTTAATCAAACTAGTTAAATAAGTCTTATATTAAGGATAAGAGAAGTATTATATAAGACATTCTCCATATGTTTTATAAAGACCGAGCAAAATATTTAATTTCATTGATTTCATTTTAAAATTTAATAACTTTTTAATTTTAACTTTGTCTATTATATATACACTTCTAAAAAATCCAACAAAATAATAAATTAAGAGTAAAATCATATATTTATGTAATAAATTTAATGTGATAATTTATACAGATAACTAAAAACACAGTATTTTTTTTAACGATTAGAGGAGTTAATGTGTATAAATGTTGATTTTCATAAGCATGCTATTACTAAATATGCTTGATAATTAATACTATTATATATAAATCATAAATAATAATATCTCATATTCATACAATAGTTTGTGCCTGACTACCGGTGAAGAAAAGTGTGTAATAATATTAATAAAACAATATATTTTCTAATTCTTGCTGCTGGAAAAAGGAGTCAGAGCCAAAGCTGTCAATCATGCGGCGGGGTATAAACATTTTCCGAGACGAGATGATGGCGGATCTGTGATAGGAGAATTCCCTATAGCTGCCTCTGTTACGGTCAGTCCGCATCCATCGGCCTTGTGGCAACAAATATACGAAATCAAAGATGGGAGATCCTCCAAGTCCCAAGACGACAATCCAATTTTAACACAACGATTATCGGGCAAAAGAGAGAGAAAGTGAGAGAGCAGCGGGGCATGCTTGGCACGATTGGCGGAGAGTTAAAACCGAAGAACCAGTTGGGCCTATTTGTGTGGTCAAACAATCCTAGTGAGCTATCAACGTTGTCCTTCTTCTGCTGTTACCGCTGAATCTGATGAACCTATTATCAACATCGGTGATTGCTGACCAATAATAGCCTCGCATTCAGGACACATTTGCGGTATTCTCAGCCAACAGAGGAAGGTGAAGAGCCGGAAGTCTTTGTTATCTCTAACTTGAATCCTTATCCAGCTGCCTACGCCGTCCTGTTTCAAGTTTTGTTCTATGGCTTCTCAAAAGAAGGTCTTCCTTGAAAACCTTTTCTGCTTTTTGCGCTTCTCTTATTCTTGATGAGATTTTCCTTCCCCGCGGTTCTAATCTGTCATGATATTTACAGTTTAGTTAACCCGTTAGTTCTTGGATTTTACTTCTTCTTCTTCTTTTTTTTAACTTTATGTTTTTGGTTCTTTATTGTTTTCTCGTTTCGAAGGACTAGCTCACATCAGTCTTTGACGCTATATTTAACTTTTTTGCCAAAAGAAGGGCCACCCTTGGTGTCTCGCCAGATTTACTGAGGTAAAAAAAAAAAAAAAACCCGTCAATTTAAGCGGAAAGTCAGTCGACGGTGTGGACTTTAATTATTTGCTCGTAACATTTACAGACATGATTTAAAACTTGGAATATCATCATTTCTCTGGGGCCCTATATGTTTTGGGATTCCATGTTATTACTATCCCATAAAATCTGTTGTACACTGATCGAAGAAATGAATATCATTATTGAATGTTTAGAATTAGTGTAAGTAACTGTTTTGAACTTTTGATTGATGTTGATGGACTACCCCGTTCGTATTTTTTATTATGCTCTCTGCATTAAATATCGCTCTAGTCAAAAGAAGAGATCAAACGGAGTGATACTTTTTTCAAATTATCATCCGTACTTGTATAGTTCAACCATGTGCTAATTGTCTGTATGTACATAATGCATCCCGGCAAGCAAATAGGTAGAAGCAGAGTTTTTCACCGAATATGGAGAGGCAAGTAGATACCAGGTTCAAGAAGTCATTGGTAAAGGAAGTTATGGCGTTGTGGGTTCTGCTATTGACACCAATACTGGTGAAAAGGTTGCAATAAAGAAGATTAATGATGTTTTTGAGCATGTCTCAGATGCCACGAGGATCCTAAGAGAAATTAAACTCCTTCGATTGCTCAAACATCCTGATATCGTAGAAATTAAGCATATCATGCTTCCTCCATCTCGACGAGAGTTCAGGGATATCTATGTCGTGTTTGAACTGATGGAGTCTGACCTTCATCAAGTAATAAAGGCAAATGATGATCTTACTCCGGAGCATCACCAATTTTTCTTGTACCAACTTCTTCGAGGACTGAAATATATACATACTGGTATCCTTTTGACCATGTATTCACTTTTTACTTATATTGATTATAAACTGATGTAATATTTGTTCTTGCAGCTAATGTGTTTCACCGTGACTTAAAGCCGAAAAATATTCTTGCTAATGCCGATTGCAAACTAAAGATATGTGATTTTGGGCTTGCTCGAGTTTCATTTAATGATGCTCCATCAACAATATTCTGGACGGTGAGTAGTCCGCCGTGCGTAACATGGAAACCTGTTGCATTCTTGTTCCATAAAATATCTGTCTCAACTCTTAACTATCGTTGGCTGACTTTGCTTACCCACTTTGACAAAGGACTATGTTGCAACTCGGTGGTATCGTGCCCCTGAACTATGTGGTTCATTTTTCTCAAAAGTAAGCTTTTCTTCATCTTTCATAGTTGCCACTACTCCCCCCTTTTTCTGTAGTCCATGGGGCCTATGCCTCCCTAGAAAATTAGGGCAATGCTATTTTTACTGCATCGATGCTACCTGTTACTGCTCATTTGCTCATGTAAATTTGACAGTATTAATGTTATCCTGTAACTTAAGAGTTGTCGCTCTGATCTTCTTGTTTTTGCTGACCTGATTGATAATTGTATCTCTTACCTCTCCCCTGATGGTGATTTCTGAAAGAATAAATTAGTCTTGAATTTAGAACGATATAACCTTTCAGAGTTTCAGTGCTTTGAGTGGTTAGTTGCCTTGTGCTGTCGTCATGCTGAGTTTCTTGTAGTTGATAGTTTCTGCTGCATATTCTATTAATGGCTGCACATAGGCGTATCTGATTTTCAATTTAGTTGCAAACTCATTATCATTAGTGCGAACTGCCTCAATTTTTTTTTTGTTTTATTTGTAAGACCCAAGAATTTACCTCAGAATTTCGACGCATGCTCTTAATTTTAAGATCTCTGTCTTTTGCAGTATACCGCTGCAATTGATATTTGGAGCATTGGATGCATTTTTGCAGAAATTCTCTTGGGGAAGCCATTGTTTCCTGGGAAAAATGTGGTGAACCAGTTGGATCTCATAACTGATTTACTTGGGACTCCTCCTCCTGAATCCATTGCCAGGGTTAGTTTATCCAATTCTAGTTTACAGCTTTCTAACATCAACAGGCGAGCCCTTAGTATACTATAATTCTTAACTTGTACATTTCACGCTGCAAGGCTTCCTGTCTTGTTGTAAAAGTTAGCTTCTTACTATTTGCTGTTTCTTAAGCTTGATTTCACTTCCATTCCTTTGCTCCCCTTGTAAATAATCTTAATTTCACAGATTCGAAATGAGAAGGCTAGAAGGTATCTTAGTGGCATGCGTAAAAAGAAACCTGTTCCATTTCCCCAAAAGTTCCCTAATGCCGATCCATTGGCTCTTCGTTTGCTCCAGCGTCTGCTTGCATTTGATCCTAAGGATCGTCCAACTGCTGAAGAGGTTGATCTCCTGATACTCATATAAATCTACCAAATATGCCGAATGAATTTGTTTTGAATGAAAAATCCTAAGATAATCTTCAGAGACAGTTTTCCTTGTCCTTCAATTATTTTCTTATGCTTGTAATTGCAGGCATTAACTGATCCTTACTTCAAAGGTTTATCGAATGTGGATCGCGAACCATCCACTCAACCCATTTCAAAACTTGAGTTTGAGTTTGAGAGGAGAAAATTGACTAAAGATGACGTTAGAGAGTTGATTTATCGAGAGGTATGACAATATGATTGGATCACTCTAGCTTCAATCTATTATACTGTCATGTCATGTCAATAATCTGTTTTATGTTTGTGTAAACAGATTCTAGAGTATCATCCGCAGATGCTCGACGAGTATCTTTCCGGTGGAGAGCAGACCAGTTTTATGTATCCAAGGTACAGCAGTTAACTGTATTTTGAGAAGTCAATACTATATCCTTTCTTAGATTACTTGGATGATTCTGATGGCGCAATCATACAGTGTCAGTATCAAATACGTTACCGCCAATATATATAGAGTACAAGTTAGGGCCTAGTTTGGTTGGTCTAGCGCGTTCCTTTTTTCTGAATGGAAATAACTTTCTCTGCTTGATTTTGTGCTCCACTTTTTCAAGTTTCATCCCCCAGTTATTGTTGCCCTGCGTTGCCTTAGAGTATTTATTCTTGGGTTTGAGGATTTTCTGAAAACTTACCCTGGTGAAAGCTGAACATTACTCTTACCCTCCTCATTATGAGTCAGGGTACCTGGAGAGCATATATAAGTTGTGGGTCATTAAAAGAGTGTCGAATTCAGTGCTTCTCTGACACTGAATAATTCAGCAAGTAATATTCATTTTGTTTCTTTTGGGCTACTTAGTGGGGTTGATCGGTTCAAGCGACAGTTTGCGCATCTTGAAGAGCATTATGGCAAAGGTGAGAGGGGCATGCCATTGCTGAGACAGCAGGCCTCCCTACCTCGGTAAGTTTGAGTAAACCATAGAGGTCAAGCTCTGTGAATTTGGTATGCAGCACCTTACAGAGAGACTCGTGTGTTGACTGTGGCAATCGCGCTTATGCAGAGAGCGAGTTTGTGCAGCCAAGGATGAAAAGAATGAAGGGGAGGATTCTGAAAAGCGCATGGCAGCTGGTGTTGGAACAACTGTTGAGGGTGCTCCCAGGTCTAACGGGACAGATGCTGATTATCAAAATGGTCCCGCCAAGCCCAACTCCAATGCCAATACGCGTAGCTTGTTCAAGAGTGCCAGCATTAGTGCATCCAAGTGCGTAGGTGTGAAACCACGCGACAACCTCAAGGTACTGCCTAAATCCTTCCACATGCTCGACTCTTTGACCCTGTGCATTTGAGTTGTATTTATGCATTATTTGGCTTTTAAAATATGTTGTTGGCATAGGAGGAACCGATTGAGGAGGTGAGTGATGAAACAGTAGATGAGATGACTCAGAAGATGGATGTCCTCAATGCTTAGTTCATGTCGTTCCCCTCGATATTTATAGACGTAACTTTTGTAATAATTTATTCATGAGCCTTCATTATGTAGTGCACGCCTTTCTGCTCTGCCTCCTCTCCTCAAAGGGAAACACAAAGCGGACTGCCCAGGAAGCTTCCGTAATTTTTGTGGTGGAAGCTGACTGTAGAAACTCCATTATCACGGATGCTCATTTCTGTCTTGCTTCCTGTACAGTTAGAATTGTAAATTTGTAACTGTAATTAACTCAGAATGTATACGGCTTATAGTGTGTTGATGAAACTTCAGGGATGACCGCTAGTCTGCTACTATCCAATCCAATTGCGGTTGCTCCCAATATTTTGCTGTTCTAAAGTCTTCTTGGCTGCATACTGCCTTGTCTTATTTCCGTGTTGTAAATAAGACCACAAGAGCAAGTTTTAATACCAGTTTCGTTGCATTATTGAAAATGTTTATTTCTTTAATACCTAAACATATTTTTATCGACTTATGTGAATGAACTTAGTGGAAAAATAAACATATTTCTCACATCTCGTTTATCATTACCCTGGAACGTAAAGAGTTAAAGCTGAGAGATTCGAATCTCAATGGTTTCCATGTTAGTTAATTTTCTAACTAGCAGCTAGTGCAAAATTTTTTTTTTTTTGTAGTCTGTGAAATATAACTCGTAACTTGATTTTTTTTTTAAAAAAAATTATTTGTCATACTTAAAATCGATCAAAATATGTGGAAAATATTGTAAAAATAATAATAAAGTTGCGACCTAAAAATATGTTAAAAAGGAACAAAATAACAAAATTTAAGAAAAGTTCCCATTTTCATGACTTGTAAATTAAATTGAGCCCAATTTTATATTTTTATACTGGAAACTTAGAACAGATGAACAGATGATTCGTGATTACAGTGGCAATGGCAATGCATTTAATATTCATCACAAGAGGAAAATGCGTAAAGAAAAGAGAAAAGCAGATTAAATGAGGAGGCTCCACGCCCGTGCATGTTGGCATCGTAGCACTTAACTCCAATTTGAAATGGGTTTTAGCGCCAATTCCGTGGGGCCACCAAGGTGTTTCAAAATCAACATCAACAATTCATTCTGGAATGAGGAATCCCGAAGCCGAACCCAATTCAAAAACAAGCTCCCTGGTTAATGAACTAGTCATTCCCTCAAGTCTACCCAGTACCCATCGTCATTGTCTACTACGTCTCCTCTCCAAGATTCAGACTTTTAACAGAGAAACCCACAAAAGCCTCAAGTTTTGGATCCATGGGCTGTGTTTCTTCCAACCTCCTCAACCATGACGATGAGTTTTCTCAACTAGGAAGCTCAGCACTTGGTCACCATATCGTCTCCCTCACCTCCACCACCTATGGCCTCCTCAACCTCGACCCACCTCCTCCTTCCACCCCGCCTTCTCGCTTCACTTTCGGTTCCATTTTCCCCAGCCCACTCTCCGAACCCCGTCCTCTCCGTTCCGAACCAGAGGTCATTAATTCTTGGGAGCTCATGGCAGGCCTCGACACCGACAGTTTCCGCTTCTCTCCTCTGCCTCCACCTAAACCCTTCACCATCAAAGACCCAGCCTTCAATAAAGAGAACAGCAAACCCAACGGGCTCAATCTTGCAAAGGAGTCCCGGGTTTTGAAGCCTTCGAGAGAGGAAATCAGGAAACCCGGTTCGATCAATCCATCACTGGATCGTTTCGAGAAGATATGCCCACCAAACGGGGACGACAGAGTGGTGATCTATACGACGACGCTGAGAGGGGTACGCAAGACATTCGAGGATTGCAATGAGGTAAGAAGGGCAGTAGAAGGGCTGGGTGTGGTAATGTGCGAGCGAGACGTATCGATGGACCGTGGATTTAAAGAAGAACTGAAGGAGCTGTTGAAGGGGAAGGGGAGAGATGGAATGGTGCCTCCAAGAGTGTTTGTGAAGGGAAGCTACATTGGTGGGGCTGAAGAGGTGTTGAGACTAGCTGAAGAAGGATTGCTCGGAAAGCTTCTAGAAGGGTTGCCCAGAAAAAAGGAAGGGTTTGTTTGTGAGGGGTGTGGGGATATGAGGTTCTTGCCATGTTTCCATTGTCATGGGAGCTGTAAGGTGGTGATGGTGGTGAAGGAGAAGGGCAGAACTGTTGTGGTAAGGTGCCCTGACTGTAATGAGAATGGGTTAGTGCTGTGTCCCATTTGTTGTTGACTAGGCTGATAAATCTGTTCATACTTATACATATATGCTTGCTCTGAGTTATCTTTGTACTAGTCATGGTGATTTCTTTGCATTCACCATTCTCAAATAAATCTACTAAGAGTGTTTGCTTCCTTCGTTTCATAAATGTCTACTGTAGTCTGCTGATGTCTTTGTCTTTGAAAAGACAAAATATGGGAAGACATCGACAAAAAGTCAGGCGAAGAGCTCTTTATTTGAATTTGCCGACTTTGGCAGATTAAGTGATAGTTCTCGATTGTCACTATGGAAACCGCTCATCATTTATAATTTCTCAATATTTTGATTTGCTAAAATCAAACGCATCAAATTGAAAGAGCAAGGGGGTAAGCAAAATGGAATGGCACCTCCTCTGTTAGTAAATCATTAATTCATAATGGACGAAGACAGTGTTGTATACAAATTTCAAGCCAAATTACAAATAAATGACGCTCACTTTCATTTCGGACTTCTGAGTATCATTTCTCTTGTTCTTCTGGCACGTTACATTTTTATGTTCAGAGCATTCTAATAAACTGTTAAACTAAAGGTCCCCATAAACGTATCCAAAGGGCAAAGGCCAAGCCTGGGAGTATGAATAAATTAGACCTGGATTCAAGGCTGATCAGAAAGCTTCCAAGTACGCATGGCTTAGGGCAATCACTGGTCTTGTACTTCTTAACCCGAAAAGTAAGCCAACATGAATTTGTCTATGATGTCAACAAAATGATCATCTTAGACACTGTATTCGGACCCAAAAATGCTTGAATAATCACACTTGTGGGGAAGTAACAGCTTAACTTAAAACTGTTTAATTCTCTCTGCAGCATTGCCCTATAAGTTCTTAATGGCACTAAACACTCTTTTTATTGGCTTGCAGTGCCAAGTCCTTGCCGCGATTAGATCAAAGTAAAACCCGTCCTTGACTCCTTAGTCAGGTTTTGGATGCTAACGTTTTGTTTGATATGAGAGATTGAGAATAAGAAGTGATGATTAAAATTGAGATTAAAAAAATATATTAAAAAATTGTTTAACATGAGTGATTACCTGCTAGTTGGGATTGGACTCCAATTCCACTTATATAGGTTTGGTCAATCCCAATTAACAAGTAATTACTCATATTAAACACTATTTTAATATATTTTCTTAATTTTTATTTCAATACTTAATTATAATTCTCAATGCTTTATAGCAAACAAAACCTAAAGGTTTTTTTTTTGGGAAAAAAATTAGAGGGGCGTTAAAAGACCTTGAAAACAAAAAAAATTGCTGGCTGTTGCTCATGTGCTGTGCCTCAGAGACGTGTACGGGCCTGTTTGAGTGCCCCTCAAAACCATGGTTTGGGTGGGATGTCATCTAAACAGCATCAATTTTGGAGAAATAATCCGAAATTATGGTTTGGGCCAAAACCATGGTTTCAGGAGAAGTGAATTAATTATGCTTTTGGTTTAAATTGAAGAGTATGATTGTGCCTGTCAGAGAAGATTTCAATAATAATATGATTTTAACATCCCTCAATTATTTTTTTATAAACATATTTAATCTTATATCTTATAAATATATATACACATATCAATTATTTATTAATTATATTATCTTATGTATTATTAATTATGTTGGTAAAAAAATATATTATTAACAATTTTATTCATTCAAATTAAAATATATCATAAAATTTATCTTTTATGTAATTATCATATTAACTTATGCCTTTTTAGTAATTTGTATATATAAAAAATGTTTCTGATAACAACTATTCAAACAGTCTCATTTTTCAAAATTATTTTTTTACAAAATCTATTTTTCATATTCTCTCCATAATTTATTTTTTAAGTCATGGTTTGGTTTCATTTAAAAATTTCTGGAATATAGATTATGGAAGCAGTTAAGCTTACACACCATCATAGAAGGCCAATACAAGGGCCGCCCAGATCACACCTTTCTCAGCCCTTTGCCTTGTCCTCTCGCAAGGCTTTTGGCGCGTTCTGTTCCGTTCATATACAGAAAGCTTTATTTTTGTGTGTAGAAGGTTTAAAGAACTAATCTCTCGGTTTCAAAAGTTTGAAGCCAAATTTATAGGCTTCTTTTGTGTTATTCTTCTCAAAATCTTACTTGAATTAATGATTCTATTTAACTTGTACACCCGGGGGTATGATAGTGCCTGCAAAAATTTTAAAAAATAAATTGCAAATATGATTCAGATAATTATAATTTTAGGAGGCTCATTGCACATAAAGCTAATTCTCAATTCGCAATTGAATTATTTGTCCGCAACCGCAACACATACGCAAATGTCATTAAACCACTTTCTGGAACGTAAATGTCATTCTCCCAGAAAAACACAACTCTAAACTCTGTGCGCGAACAAACGTATGGGACAAATAGAACAGAGAGGAGGGCATCACAATTTTTTGTCCAAAACGATATTTAATATTCCAAATCCGTGCTAAATGCAAATTTCACAGATCCCTCCATGTCTGGCCGGAATCTAGTTCTTCATGAAGAATCTATTGGTTCTAGTATATGCGGAGCTGACAACATCTTCGACGAGACCTCAGCGTGCAACAACATCACGTGCCATGAACGTGCTAGCTCTTTTGTTCTTCGTCATAGCTAATTAGCGATATAGTAGTATAAACTAAACACTCCCTTGTGTTTATCTTTGTATCATTCTCTATCACCCGTTCTGACATGTTCGCTCGTCGCTTTGCTCTCTTTACCAACCCCCTGCAGGCTGCAGCGACTAAAGATATGTCTTCTACCCCAAAAACGAGCAAAGAATATAGCGAAACCAAATCTCGTTCGAAGAAGCATCATCAACGAACAGGACTGACTCAACAGGTTTATAAAGGCATCCATGCGTCGGAGTTTGGTAACATCCAAAAACGAGCTCGAGTTTAGAGACGATGGAGGGTCTATCCCTGCATTATTTCTTCTCACTGCTGATGGTAACTATAGTGGCACTAGAAGGCCTTGCTCCACCTTATTCATCTACTGCAACCACCACCAAAATCTTTCAGTTTAATGTGAGATTCTTATGTTTTTCTCTCCTTAACTTGTCTGTTTATATTTCTCGCGCGCACACACACGCACATATGTGTGAGCACTGGAAATTTGTAGTCACATCAAGCTCTTGGCTTCTGAGGTGTTATACTTTTGGTATATGATTTTCAGGTTGAGTGGAAAAATGTGACTCGATTGTGCCACAGTAGGCCGCTTTTAACAGTTAATGGGGAGTACCCGGGGCCAACCATCGCTGTCCATGAAGGTGACAATGTTTTGATTAAGGTCACAAATCGCATTGCAAGGAACACAACTATTCACTGGTATGGTCTTGTACCACGGTACACTTGTTACCTTTGTGAAATAATCTTCCGCACAAATGACATGGGCGTAGACTTCATTTATATTTGGGACAGAATTGAATAATGTGATAGGGGTTATGAACAGGCATGGAGTAAGGCAAATAAGAACAGGATGGGCAGATGGTCCGGCATATATCACTCAATGTCCTATTAAGGGAGGGACTTCCTACACCTACAATTTCACAGTGCTCAACCAAAGAGGCACTCTTTTTTGGCATGCACACTATTCTTGGCAACGAGCCTCCGTTTGTGGTGCTTTTATTATCTACCCTCGCATGCCCTACCCTTTCTCTGCTCCTATTCATGCCGAAGTCCCCATCATTCTTGGTAATCTCCTCAGTCTGCCCTCTCTCTCTCCTCCTCACACACACACACAGTTTTTTTTTTTTTGGTTTCCTTTAGCGTTAAAGGACTCATAGTTGCCTGTTCCAAGATTGTACAATATTTACTCAAAGGACGCATTCGATGAAGTATATGCACTTTTGACGGCAGGTGAATGGTGGAATGTGGATGCGGAAATGATGGCAAGTGAGATGATGAAGTATGGAAGTGGGCCAAATTATTCAGATGCATATACCATAAATGGTTTGCCAGGACCTCTTTATCCCTGTTCAGTAAAAGGTATCTAATAGGGTAACTTTCACAGCAAGACTATTTAAAACCTATTTACATCATTGTTCTTTATGCTTTTGCAGATACTTTCACTCACTTAGTTGAGAGGGGTAAAACCTATTTACTCAGAATTATCAACGCAGCTCTCAGCGACGAGCTCTTTTTCGCCGTTGCCAGTCACACCATGGCCGTCGTGGAGGTTGATGCAACTTACACGAAACCATACACAACGAGAGCAATCATGGTTACTCCTGGTCAGACCACCAATGTTCTACTCACTGCTGACCAGATTCCTGATTCTTCAGGAATGTTTGTTGTGTCAGCAAGGCCTTATCGTACCTCTGTTTTCCCTTTTAATAATTCTACCACTGTTGGCTTCTTGAGGTACAAAATGACCAAGGCTCTCAAAGGCAAGTCTCTGAATACTCCAACTAATCTTGCTAATGACAACCTTCCTGAGATGGAAAACACAGATTTTGCCAGGGACTTCTTTGTTAGGCTCAGAAGCCTTGCATCTACTGAATTTCCTTGTATGGTGCCAAAACAGATTGACAAGCGAGTTATTACAACAATAGGCCTTAACCTTCAGGATTGTCCAGCGAACAAGATCTGCACGGGATTGAATAACAAGAGTTTTTTAGCTTCAATGAATAACCAGTCCTTTGTGAGGCCTTCTACGTCTTTATTAGAATCCTATTACATGAAACGGAATACCGGCGAATACTCCTTTGATTTCCCAGAGAAGCCTCCCAAAGCTTTTAACTATACTGGAGTGGACCCATTGAAAGAGAACATGAACGCGGAATTTGGAACAAAAGTTATAGAATTGGAATACGGCACAAATTTGGAGATGGTGCTGCAAGACACAGGCTTCCTTAATGTGGAGAACCATCCGATTCATGTTCATGGTCACAACTTCTTCATTGTTGGGGGAGGGTTCGGTAACTACGACGTAGAAAAGGACCCGGAAAACTATAACCTGGTGGATCCTCCGGAGAGAAATACAGTGGGAGTTCCTTCAGGGGGATGGGCCGCAATTCGGCTGAAGGCAGATAATCCGGGAGCTTGGTTTGTACATTGCCATCTTGAGGAGCACACGTCTTGGGGTCTTGCCATGGCTTTCATCGTGAAAGATGGCTCTACGGAATCTAAGTCCTTGCTTCCTCCCCCACAAGACCTTCCTTCCTGTTGATCACTCTAGCTGGGAGCTCTCTGAATCCCTCTAGCTCTCATCAGTTTTTCCCCTCTCTGTCTTGGGAGCACAGCAGTGTTCCTAAACTCTTAGGAGTTCATTCACCAAAAAAAAAAAAAAACTCTTAGGAGTTCGAGCGTGTGACACAACATTTATGTACCTCCAGTAATGAGAATTTGTACTCTCGAGGAAAGTGTAATGAAGGTCAATTGCCGTATAGCATTAACTCGTGGTCACATCGGTTTTCATGCTCTGTAATGAAGGCCAATTACACCCGTGTTACGAGAGCTATTATTTCCCAAAATTTTCTCAGAAACTTCGCAGCAACGCGTGTGCTTGGAAGGTAGACTAGGGAATTGACGATTTTTGCTGAAAAAATAGATGAGAAGAGGGAAAAAAAGAAGAAGAAATATGTTGACTCTGATATTCATTTCATCGATGAATGATTTAGTTGGGCTTCCGGGGAAGAAGACGATGAATACCCCAAAAAAAAAATGTAGAATAATAAAACGATTGTGAGGGAGTTGTTAATAACTTACTAACTTGTTTTCATAGGTCATGCTAACATCCAAGGTAACGATGTTAGGAAACTAAACATGTTCTGAAGTAATGAATGAGGAGGAGGGGAAAAAAATGCAAGGATGAAACTAGTCTGTGTTTAGCTTTTTTTTTTTTTTGGACTGAAATCTGTGTTTAGCTAAAATTGCCGCAAATTATGCCATGGTCTTAGAAACTAACGAAAGCTTATGAGTAGTTAGTTAACTTCGCCTGATTACCAATGGAAATTGGGTTTCCCAGAAGGGATTAGTCTCCTACAACGTGGTGAATCAAGATTCGAATCCCCGTTGGGAGAGATGTTCACATTTAGTGCATGACAGTGTTTCGAATAAGATTGCCTCTAATAGAAAGATACTTATATTTTAGGAGGAAAAAAAAACTTCGCCTGATTTTCGTAAGTAACATGTTTCCATGTTCATTCATCTGATAGTGTCATTTGAGGCCCACATTTCAAGTCTTTATCCAATCATCATTGGAAAGAGCTTTAACATATCAATGCTTTTGATCATGCTATACGTAAGTATTTTTACTGGGTGGACCTATGCTCCTATCATATATAATCATTCAGTGAACGAGACGCCCAAGAGATCACTATGTGGATTGAAAATGTATGGAATGAAAAAGGATACATTTTTTTACGTATATAAAGAAGAATCTTTGACTGAGGAAAACAAGCATTATAATGCAAATGCAATGAACTGGAACAACCTGGATCCAATTTTGCAGTAAAGGCGCTGTTTTCTTTTTCTCGGATCGGGTGAATGTGCAGGGAAGGGATACACATGATAATGAAAAAGAGAGCAAGGCCTTTTCCTTTGATGACCCAAATCTGGTCCGCAGCTTTAGACCGGGAAAAGCGTGCGAGTGCCACTCAGCTCGGAGCTCAAAGCCTGTTGCGGCCTACACTTCACTACATTACTCGCCTCCTCGCCCGAAAAAGAGTTAAAAAGGGAACAAAGTATCTGCATTTTTCTTGCAAACAGGTCCTTCGGCTATAGGGCTTTTGCGAGAAAACCCATCTGAAGGGACATGACATCAACTTGTCTTTCTCCATTCGTATCAGGAAGGAAGTGGTGAAGTGGTCTTCGGTGGCAGTGTTTTAACATTCTTCTTTTCTCTGTTGGCAGTAGTTTTAAATCCGGGAGAATTTGGATCACTGAATAGAAATTATTGTAAATTAAGTTTAAAATAATATAAAATCTTTTTAGAACTAATTATCAAATTAGTTTTCGCCAATTAAAAAAAAATTATTTCGCCCCATGATCTTAGTGAGCATCTCATTTCGGTACCGTCTGCTTTTTACTAATCAAATCATCGGTTAGTAGTGATTTGCTGAAGTTACGAAGTCTTGCACACACCCAAATAAAATGAAGTCACATCACGAAGCGATGAGCAATATTTTGCCTTACGGTTCTGTTCCTGAGTTCCACACTGGCTTCAGATTTTCAGCCCAGGCAGAACGCACGTGTACTGTTCAGCTCTTGGAGTTTGATACTGTGTCCCGTTATCCACATCACAAATAATAAAAGCCAGAGAAGCACAACGAAATTTATAGCAACATAGTCAGGGCTTTGATTTTTTTTTTTTTGGGTGTGTTCAGAATAAGTAAATCACAATTCAATCCGGAAATTAAAAGAAATAATAAATATGTTTGGATTGGACCACTTTGTTCCCGGACATGTCTTGGCGGCCAAGGAGAAAAAGGGAAAGCAAAACTGGAGGACAATAAAGGGATCATTCCTCTCAAGTTAAAAGAGTGAAATTGCCTTTTGCTTGTGCTTTTGAGTTGGGAATTTAAAGTTTTAAACCCCTTTTTCCTCTGCAAAAATCCTTCACTGTCAATCAACCAAGCAGTAATTGAGAAATACAACAACAATAACCCCCGGCCAAGCCACTAGACATCTCAAGAGAAATGTGTGTAGTGCATCGTTTAAACGGGCAGAAGAAAACAGTAAAGCTTACAACCACCATTGGTGGATATCACTGAGCCATCGTTATTCTCATTCAATATGGTCTCTCCAATCATGTGAATCACGCCTAGCCTTCCCCTGCAGACACGATTGGCATGCATTTAATGTGTGAAATGAAGCACCTTTTGCACACAGTGAAAATCAGTTCATCAACATCTTAATTGTATTTCTTCCACACATGATTTGGTCATTATACTATTTGCTAATCCCCATCATTATCTCAGTCCAAAAAAAAAAAAAATTCCCATCATTATCCTTTCAGGGCTCCTAACCGTAGAACTAGCAAAGCAGCATACTGCCAAACTTTTCTCGACCCCATAGCTTTTGCCTTTCCTTCTCTTTTTCTCTGCTTCCCAACTAACACCCCTGCCTCGCTCGCTCCAATATTCTGTTTTTTCTTCTGGACCACCTCTCTGTTCTGTTCATTCATATTCCTCTGTTCTCACACTGAAACTTGTTTCACCCTCTCTCATCTCATACCTCTTGGCCACCATGCCTCTGCTTCCAGAATACCCGTTATTCTATTTTTGCATTATCTTTCCCTGCTTTGTGGCCCTACCTTACTCAGGCGCAACCACAGTTCAGCCAATCGTCCCAAACCCATCTCCGCCTATAACAATCCCTGCTGTTCCAGAACAATCCGAGCTTACTGGGTGCTCTCTGAATCTCTCAGAAGAGCTGTTTCATGGGGTAAAAACTGCATGTAGCGCAACCAAAGAGGGTGCCGGTGGGGAGCTCCACCGGAGCCGGTGCTGTCCGGTGCTGGCAGCGTGGCTCTACTCTGCCTACTCCGCCACCGCTCTTGGATCTCCTACTCCTACCACATCGTCTGACATGCCGTTGCTGCCAGATGATTCAGAAACATGTGTGAATGGCTTGGGAAAGGCTTTGAAACTGAGAGGGATCGAGCTGATTCAGCCGAATGAGACCTGTGATGTGGTGTATTGCTATTGTGGGATTCGGCTACACCCCTTGAGTTGCCCTGAGGCATTTTCGGTTACCCACAGTGGCAAACTTGTCGGGAACAAAAATGTGAGAAGATTGGAGAGAAATTGCTTGAGCAGTAGCATCAATGTGAATAAATTTCCAGGTCTTGGCGGGTGCTCCAAATGCTTGAACAGTCTCCATTCGGTGAGTTATTCTCGTGTTTCGCCATAAAATTTTTTAGAAAGTTATCACTTAAGATTGGATGGATCTTACTGAAAATTGGAGAGGAGAAGAAATCATTTTGCTTTCATCTTCATTTTCTTCAAGCCTGGTAAAATGGGAAAGTCGAGTTTTTGTTTTCCTCCATTTGGAGCGTCCCCAACTTTGTGAGTCAAGAGCTTGTGTAGTTCACAAATGTAGATGGAATCGACAGCATTTCAGCTCTAGTAAAGACAGTTAACATTTTTCCGGAAATCTCAGTCCCTGGAAAATTGTTGAAAATGACAGTTAACCGATTCATGCATTTAAAGTCTAGCTGTCGAAGAAAAAATTCTGGCCGTATACAATACTCATTTTAGCACATGCTTGGTCGCTATTCTGGTCCTATGAGGTATATGGGGATGCCCAATTCTGAATCGTGGTTGCAAAATTTGCAAACACTAAATTTTGAATTATGACAATTATGCTATTAGCTGTTAAATGAATGGCATAATGGTAATGTGCGTTGCATAGGGTTGCATAGTAATGTCCTTCTGATCTCAGGTTTCCCTTTTTAGCACATGTGCGTTGCATAGGGTTGCAATTGACATCTGATCATCTGCCTGATACTTCTGAAGTGATCATCTTATTAAGTGTCTAAGTGACATTAGCCAAATTGACGTTTCCGAATAAAACACTTAGCTAAGTGCATTACTAGTACATCCACATCTGTAGCTTCTATCTCACTCAGAGTTCTAAAAGGTTGTTTGCATCTGAAGATACTATGAACCTGAGATGCGGCATAACCAAGAAGTAAACAAATAATGGCCATGCCCCATGGCACTCGGCCTTGATTCGAACATTGACTAATAAAAGTGTATGAGTGGATGTTACTCCAGCCAAAGTGCTATTTTTAACAGACTTTTCCGCACCAAACCTCTTTATGCTCAATCATGAATCATTCCTGTTTGATGTTGTGATTAAAATATTGAATTATAAGCAGCTTACCAAGAAGACAACTTCAAATTCAAGCAAAACAGGGGACAGGACCGCCAAGATCCACAACAAAGATTGTGAGCTCATGGGCTTGACATGGCTTTTGGTTAAGAACCAAACTGCTTATATGCGCACAGTTTCTGGGGTTCTCCGTGCCTTGATGTTGAGCACTAATGGCCCTTACCCAAAATCTTGCTCTTTAAACAGTGATGGAAAGCCTATGGCTGTCGATTCCTCAGAGATCTCTGATCACTCTGCATCCGTCAACCTCCAAGCACCTGTTTTTCTTCGCTTATTTTTACTTTCATTGCTACTACTTTTGCATCTTACAATGTTAGCTGCAGCAAAATATTGATCACAGAGACCGACATTGTGTAGATCCCTGGTGCTTCGAGTGTTATTTAATTAACAGTTTAGATCTCTATAATTTTTCCTAGTCGTTTATCATAATAGGTGGGCTAAACTCCACTGTATTCGTGTGGAATTTTAGTAAAGTTAAATTTGATACCTCTTCTGTTTTAAAAATTCATTTGATTGATATGTATTGTAAATACTACACAAACGCTTGTTATCGTGCGGGTTTTTGACCAGACCCTTTTCCCCACTTTGTTTAACTTGAATCCGTATTACGCGATGCATGTTTTGCGGGAAGGAAGGAAAAACTACATCCAAAGGGTCGTCGTTTATAAAATTTGTAATTAGGGGGGGGGGGGGGGAACTAAAATTCAAATTATTCGAAAGATTTTTTTCTTTTTAATGAATAGACAAAGGTATTCGCAGTACCTTTTTCCTTTTAGAGATCAACTTTAAAAGTTACAAAGCACTTCTTAAATTATTAATATCAACTTTTTAAATCTTTATCACCTCGTCTCAGCAGACAAGCTCTGATGAATGAAATTCACTCGTACAAATTAAAAACGTAGGATGTCACCAAAAAAAAAAACGTAGGAATATTATAACGAAGCCTTTTTAAAATGAGTTAAAAAGCTATGGCTCAGGCTTTTTGGAATTACAGTGAATTTTTAAATTGCTAAAGCATTACTATAAAATATAATCAGGAGGCGCAAATGATTCCCGAAAAAAAAAAACAAAAAAGAACGCTTGGACCTCAGATAGTTAGATCCGTAAATCCGTTTGGTAAGTTTCTATCGGGACATATAGGCCCAATTATTTTGGGCTTTGGATTTAGGGTGTCCATAGGCCCCCCATTCTTCTTGGGCAATAAATATGCATTGTTGAAAGCCCAACCCAATTAATATAAAGCCGCACACGCACTGAGTTATCCACCTTTTCCATTAGAATCCGCATTTGCATTTTTATTCGTCCCCATCTCGATCTGTATTTCAGTGACGGATCAAATATTCAATTGACAAAAACAAAAAAAATCAAATATTGAATTGAGGTGATTTGTTTGTTTGTTTTTTTTTAAGTAAGGGATCAACAGACCTAGATGCTCATGGACAATTATATTCACACAACAGAAGCAGATCAATACAAAGAAAATTAACGCCACGATTTTAGTGGATTTCTGTGCGGCAGGGTCCGTGAGCAGCAATTTTTTTTTTTATATGCACCTGCTCTCTCAAGTCAGCTTCTTGTTATGGAGAATTCAAGGCGCCCATATTAATTCGAATTCTGTCCAGACTAATATGAATTCGAGCACTTTGGACCTTTTTTGTGTGGCGGCTTCACCACCTGCGTTGCCTTCCCAAATCTTGAACTTAAGTTCTTTGGTTCAGTTAGAACAATTTCCTTACCGGTTGATCTAAGCGTTAGATGGTCGTGTGCAGCCAGTTTTAAATTTGAAATCCCCCCCCCCCCTCAAAAGTATGCTTAAAATGGGGTACGACATAAAACAGAATGGTTTTTACACAGAGAGATGCCCTGTGATGAGTGGGTTGTTCACAATCACAAGAAAGAATCTCCCACTTCATCCGTGACGTAACCCTCCGTATTTAAAACCCGCCGAACAACCCTTTAGAACTGCCACAGGCCCACAACCACAAGCCTGTCAGTAGGCGTTACCTAGGAGACGAGAAAATGCCTAGTCTGGTGCTGCGCGGCACACCGTTTGAATGGTGCGCCCTCCCCTTCAGCCGCTGATTCCTCCAACCTGAAGCGTCCCTCTGCTCATGTCGAGGTGCATGTAACGTTAAAAGGAGCTGGCCCTTTGTGGACACATGTGTAGGGTGGTGATGTGAAGGGACGGGCAAGATAAGGCCAAGTGGGAGGAGGAGAGGAAGGATGGCTGTTTTACTCTGTGGGATTCAGCACAGGTGTCAGGCACTGGCATCTCCTGATTTTATGATGGACCCATGCATGAACCTTTGTTTGAGAGGGGTGTGTGTTCATCGATCCATGGCTGCGTTTCTATATAAACTCAATTCCGCCGCACAGCGTGCGTAGCTCAGGTGAGGTATATATAGAGTGATCGATATGTCTGCCTCCGTTGATCCTCTGGTGGTGGGGCGCGTCATCGGCGATGTGGTCGACATGTTTGTCCCCACCGTGACCATGTCCGTGTACTTTGGTGCCAAGCATGTTACTAACGGCTGCGACATCAAGCCCTCCATGGCCGTTAACCCTCCCAAAATCACTCTCGGCGGCAACGCCCATGAACTCTACACCCTGGTACATATGTTTATATACATTCCATAGCCATAATTGCACCATCATCATCATCATTTTTCTGTCTTTCTTGCTTTCGAATAATCCTGCATGCGCCCTCTTCGTTTTTTCGCTTGTCGAGGGGATCAATTTATGAACAAATGGAGTACACGAATGCAGGTCATGACTGACCCAGATGCACCCAGTCCCAGCGAACCAAGCATGCGCGAGTGGATTCACTGGTTTGCTATTTCTTACTCAATTTACTGTTCCTCTCCTCTAAAATAACTTGCTTCATCCTGCTGTTATGTATTATTACACGCTAACTGATCTTTTATTTTAGGATCGTGGTTGATATACCTGGCGGAACTAATCCAAATAAAGGTACGTCATCAACATACAAGAAATTAATTTTCATGGTATTGTCCCAAACAAGCACTGTTCCATTCTTTCGCGAAACGCAATGTATTTCTGTGAATGAAACTGAAATTAGTTATATTGTCCCGAGACGGAGATTGAGATGTCAGATCTCAGATATTTACTGACACTGTGGCATCGCAAAGAATCTTAAGCTCATTTGACGGCACGCATTCGCATGTTTCTGATCCTTCGTCTGCCCTCGTCCTCTCTATCAAATACCTGCCTCCCACGTGTCTCCTGCCACGTTTTCTCTCCAATTTTGGACCAAATGATCTTCCCTCTCCACCCGTCCTTCCTGTGTCTGCTCTATATATACGCGTGGCGGAACCTCAGTTAATTTTCTTTGTGCTTGTGAACGCACCACTTCTGGTGACGCAAGGGTTCCCCCTAAGACTCCCCAAGCCTCAATATCGTAACAAACACGGGGGCGATTGCATGCAGATTTATGTTTTGGATGGTTATGTTGCAGGGAAGGAGATTCTGCCGTACGTGGGGCCTCGACCGCCGGTGGGGATCCATCGCTACATAATGGTGCTGTTCAGGCAAAAGCAGGCGCTGGGGCTGGTGGACCAGCCGGCATCGCGGGTCGGCTTCAACACTCGCTTCTTTGCCAGGCAATTGGAACTGGGCCTCCCTGTGGCCACCGTCTACTTCAACTCTCAGAAGGAGCCTGCCAACAGGAGGCGCTGATCATCTCTTCCAGCGGAATGCGGCACTAGCTTTATATAGTTTGCGAACAAAAATAATGGAGCAAGGATGGATGCATAATTATGTATATAGCTATAATTGGAGTTTATCATAATAGTTTCGGACACAAAGCTGAGGTGGTCTCTGTGTTGGTCAAGTTTCCTGACCTCTCTCTTTCTCACGGTTAATGAATGGTCAAGACATGATAAAGGAGGAAGAGGAACATCCAGGAGCTCAGCCAAGCAGACCACCACATCGATCTCTTGGTTTTCTTTTTCCCCCCTCCCTGTACATGCAACTGCCTTGCTTATGCCATATAAAGTGACTCCTTATGTATATCTATCTTTCTATGTATGTGTATTATAGCTATAGCAAGTTGGTTTCTATTCGGTGCTTGTGCTTGAATTAGCCTCTTTATCCTATAGCCGCAGGTCTTGCGGATTTGATAATTAATAATTATCGGTAACCGAGGCACAAAATACTGAATTATAATGTTATTAATGATGAGAATAATATATATATATATATATATATATAGCAAAAAATACCTGACCTGCAGCGTCTGTTATTCCAATCAGTGGTCACAAGTCACAACGCGCACACAAACAATTGCGACACTGATAGCAAAGGAGGACGTCGGGTCATGCTCACGTCACAATACTAAACGGACGACGATTTGCTCATTTGCATATAGTTCTCTTATTGGGATCCGATCGATCATCATCGAATCCGGAGAGACGGGCAAAATTAAATTTCTTTAAAGGAAAAGATAATGATAATACTAGTATATATACTTGGATGGAGAAATATAGTTGTGGGGATCATTATTTAGAAAATATTAGAATTGTATATAAAATTATTCCTTTATATGATGATAACTTGCTGGCTCCTAGTTAAAGATTAAAATATCCTGTGTGCATGTAACCGAGAGACGGCTTTCAAAAGGAGTAGAATTCAAGATTATTATATCACATCCAACTCATAACAAACCCAATATTTTAAGCATAACGTCATCACATACATTTCAGTTTGATATTATCCCCCAAAGTTTAAGTGGCTAGAGTATGAGAAATAAACGTTACCTTCTGTGTGTTTGCTGCACCATCACACCTCAATTTCCTCCATAAGAGATTCCCTCGTCGACCATCATCATTATTCCAGTACTGCACTCAGTTAAGCAGTCTCATCAAAGAGGAAGAAATTCGAGAATTTAGGAGATGCATGTGTTAACTGTACGTAGTTTTCCAATAGTTAATTTTGTACTTCACTTTTTGAAATTATGGCCCCCAATTTAATTCCACACCAAGCTTCCACCCCGGCCCAAATTAGCACAGAATTGGCCTTATATAAGCAGCTTCCTAACCAACAGAAAATACTGGTGCAAGCTACGAATTGAACAAACAGACGCAACTGAATGTATAAACGATACTTCAGATAAAATTAAGCGTGGCGGAATATTTAACCATGGTATAATTGATTGTAAGTTGGGTATAAAGGGAAAGAAAATAAAGAGAAGCGATGAGGTGGCGGAGGAAATTAAGTGATGGTGCATATAAGGTTGCATGGGTCATAGGATATACATTTAAGTTAGGTGTCGGCAGAAATTAATTAAGGAGGGATCAAAGTAAGGAACTGTCCTTCACCTACAAGTCTGGATGATAAGGAGAGAGTTAGGTCGGAGATATTGTGTGCGCGCGCGCGCATAAGTAACCACTGGAAGAAGGGTAGGAACCGGACGGGACAAATATTTATCTAGAATGTTCTAAGCACCCAACAACTGAATGAAAAATGAAGAATTCTTTCTTTTCTTTCTTTTGACCAGCAATGAAATGATGGAAGTTTAATAAAGAGTGTGTATTTGCGCAGATCATTTATGCAATATGCTTCCCATTCCATATAGTTAGCCAAGCCAGCCCGCCACGTTTTCCCTTCTTCCCACGTGCTCTTCGATCTTCTGCTCGCATTTTTCACACAAAACCGTACCATACGTAACACAATTTACAGGACAACATGAACTGAACTGGAGGTGAATACATGCATATGACCGATTGCAGAAAGACAATTAAGCTTGTGAGACAATCTGCATAAAGCCAGAGCATATAAATGAACTGTTCGATCTGCATTTGTTTTATTTCCCGTGAGAGAAAATCCTCCAATATTTACGGTAAATTTCTGAGCTTTGAAAATAGTGTCTGCAAGAATATTATAGATATGAGTAGTAGTACAGCTATAACAAATTGCAAGAGCATGCAGTTTGTTGTAGCTTCCTTTAGTATTCTTGATAACAAACCTACCTTTACTCCTCAATTAATGAGGCTAGTCTTAAATCAAAAGAGACCATTACGTACAAATGGATGGCAAGCAAGGGGCACACATATACACATAAGGACTGGCTGGCATAATATACAAGTAATTTGGTTGATAAAATGATATATATATTTATATAAATTAAACAATAAGTTTTATCAATATTTGCCACTACTAGCTAGGTGATAAAATTTCATTTTCCTCTCTGCACGGTTTATTTTGGCCGTGCCCTTGTCATTAAAAAAATTATTTTACTCAGGAGAACAAGACTATGGAAGTTCAATAGTGATTTAACATGAAGAAGAAAATAAATTTACTTTGCTGCAATACAAGAGCTTTAAGAAAAGATAACTAAATTGCACATCGAAATACTCCTGTGAGGGATCGGTTCAGTGCCTGTTCCTGGTCTTTTCTCACTAAGTTACAACGTAACTGGACAATTTCATAACCCATATGACCCTTAATTTCCCGCTTTTTCTTTTGTTTTACAACATATATACTTAGCATTCCTCGTAGTCGTCTAATTTGAACTCTAAGTTTTATCAGGGAGCATTTCCTTCTCTTGAACCATTCGTCTTTGTGCTTCTTATTTGAGGAAATAATACGACAAATACAGCATTAGTGGCACAAGAGATTTCACCGAGAAACCAGCAGAAATTTATAGTTTCGCTAATTAATGTTCCATTCAGTTAACTAGCAAAGTCATTTCAAATCATATGAAATTAGTTACACACACACACATATCAATAAGTTGGAACATAGCACAGAATTTTAACGACCGATGTATTTGTTTATATGTTTGGAATAAGTAATTGAGGGTGAGAGAGAGGTAGAGGGAGTTTTCCACATACCAGAAATGAATGGATGGTAGTGCTGAAGGAGAGCATACGAATGATGGCACTGATGATTGATTTCCGCGCTAGAACCTTTGTCAAGCAAACAGTTCTTGCCGAAAACTCAATTTCGCCGCCTGCTCGACCTTAATACTTACGTTTCCACCTCTCCATATAAACTTGCTTATATTATGACCAAATGGTGCAACTTTGATTTGGTTTATTTAACAAAAAATATGATAAGGTTAAAAATATTCAAGCTCTTTACAAAATTCTTCCAATCGATCCTTGTTCACCTCACTATTAATTCTCAAATCTTGTCATCAGATCCAATTACAGATTTGTTGTCATGTAACCTCTTTTTTTTTTTTTGATAAATATATATGCACTGTTTTTCATCGCACTGCCTATAAAGCCAGAGAGTGAACATATTGTGTGTGTGTGTTGGTGTGGCAAGGAAGGAATATAAATGAAGAAAGACGAAGAAATCTTGTGTGGCGAGAACTGCCCTATTAAACTAATTATTAATCAGAGATGTAAGACTGAGCCACTATAGGGTGGCACAGAGCAACCAGATCAGGAGTTGGAAAGAAAATGTGAAGTTCAAGGTCGAACAGACAACGAAATAAAGTCAAGGGGCAAGAGAAATGTTCAGTTGACAAAGGAAAGCATAGAAATCACTCACCCACACGGAATGCGTACGAGGCAGACACACACACAGAGAAAGATGTCATCTTGCGGGTTTCCTTCAAGCTGATACGAAGCCCGCCCTCACTGCATATTCCTTCCCCCGCAAACGGGATACGCTCGCATTATGAAATGAATGAACAGCAGAAATAAAGAAGGGGGGGGGGGAGAAGAGTGAAGAGGGAAAAGGCTGTCCGAAAAGGAAGGAAGAAAAAGATGATAAATAGGTGCTTTTGTGGAGAAGGAAGCGGATGTGACACCTATATATAGGTAAATGTTGACTTATACCTTCCAAGTTGGGCGACGGCAATGATGAAGCAAGGTTGATTTTCAGGTATATGCAAGTGGTGTGCGTATATGTAATGTGTAAGAGAGAGGTATGTGGAGAAAGATATGAACACATAGAGGAGAATGATTGGGGCGGGGGGGGGGGGTAGATAGGGTATGTGATGGACGACGTTGAAGAGTAAACGGAGAAGAGAAGGCAACTGTTGGCTCATCGACTGGTCTTACCCCTACCAACAACACTATATTAATTGTTACTGTCTCCCCTATTTCCCGTGCGCTCTTATCACTTCCTTCAATATAACCATTTGCCATTTTCATTCCTGCTGCCTTCCTTACTAACGCACCTGAAATTACACACACACAAACAAACTCCCCTCTGCTTTTATATTTCAATAATTACACTTCCAACGCCAAAAAGGCATCTCAGATTATTTGTGTGCGCATATTTGAGAGACCCACAAACAAGCTTTTTTCATATTCATCATCTGTTTAGCGATGAGGAATTAGTTCCAGGCCATACATGTGCTCTCGAGTTATTTCTTTTCAAATTGATTATAAGGTGGAAATGTCCGTTAGCCCCAAGAGAAGTGTTAAAAAAAAATCACGTTTTGTTTACGGCGTTGCGGGCACATGCGGGAGTGATATGTTAGACTGAACATCAGAGAATCCAAAAAGATTTCAGCGCCCACCGTGGGGCTCGAACCCACGACCACAAGGTTAAGAGCCTTGCGCTCTACCGACTGAGCTAGACGGGCATGCGATGTTGTTTTGGACCTTTTATATACAAATAGTTGAAATTTGCATTGATGAAACACCTGAGGCTTCAAGAATCAACAATTTGCTGCTCTTTGCTTTTACACCGGTTAGAAATTTTCTCCTCATGTAGTGAGATCACTGTTAATAAAGTGTTTTATTCTCAATGAAAGTTTATACAGGATTTGGAGCATAGAGATGAAGATGCTTCGGTTAATCTTGATTGGAATACATGGCATCAAGACTCTGCATTTGCCAACAGACCTCCCCTTGATAATCAACGGGTACGATAAGATTCGCCATATATGTGGAAAAGCGGTTTTTTCTTACATTAACTTGTCGATATTTTTCTCTTATGTTAGATTTTGATGATTTTGTGCTGGACAACTTTGCTTGCTTGACTTAGCTAAGGAGGTTTGTTACAAAACTTTATGTGAGTTCTGGGCTGTCCAATCTATTTTGCATGATGTGTTACTTCAACTTGAAGCAATGTCCAAAGTTCCTTTTTCTATGTTGCTGGTCAAGGAAACAAACTTATGATGCAGCAGCAGCAGCGTGCCCTCTTCGATTAAAGTTGAGAAAACAAAGGTCGTATTTAGAGAAGCTAGGAATTAGATTATTTGATGCTCTTCTTGTTTGTGCCATCATATGAGTTTCAAAGTCTTCAGTTCATCGTATTGATTAATTACTGAACAGTGAAATACATACTGTATATGGTGTAGGTTTGGGAAATTCAGTTGAAGACGGGGTTTCCTAAGAAAGGCAAGTGGTTGAAAAGTACAAGGCATTCATCGTTTCTGCAATTAATAATGGCGTTAGGATTGGGTGGAGTTTTGAGGTATAAAGAGTAGAGTGTACTTCGTGATTCCAATATGATGACGCACGTACCTAATCGCTGCAGAGGGAGTTGTTAGATGAGAATCATGTTTTGTGTGTGGGTATAAACAGTTGGTGGGTAGGAATAGGAAAAGAGGGGGTAAGTAACACATGCTTGCACGCACCCTCTCTCGAGACTTGTGATTCATTCCAAACAAAAGCTAATTTGTAGCCTTCACCGTCTGTTTACAGATTACTTGAACAACACACAATGCACAGATCACAAAATGTTGAAGCAACACATGAATGAATGCTGCGTATTGAAAGCAAATCATGCATACGTGCGTGGGAAGTCGACCACAACACTTGAATTGGACTGGTAGCCCAAAACACGAAACTTTGTATATGGTGCATGGTATTGTTTGGATCAGGTAATCAAACGCTTCCCCCGTTACTGTCCTATGATTAGAATGGTTGTTTATACTAATTACACTATCACATATTAGCACGAGGAGTGGTGATCATATATTGCCCCGCAAAAAAAGAAGAAAAAGAAATCAATTCCCATCTAAATAACGCATCACACCCCACCTTTTAATCCCACCAATTCTCTTTGTATTCAACCATGCATTAACGAGTACAAGAGTAAAATTTAAAATTCAAGATTAAATTATTGTTCTTTTGCGGATTGTCACTCCCTTCATTTTCATGGTCTGCTGAATTAGGCTGCCACTTGTGAAGACTCTTCCACACATAAACATATCATAATGTTGAATGAATATAATCAAACACAGATCATTGGGAACCTGAGCGGAAATATAAAGAAAGAAAAGCCACTAAAAATGAATGCTTCTTGTGGTTGTGGTGTAAGATGCTACATCTGGCCACAGCCGTTCAAATTGACATTTTTTTTCATTCCAAAGTTTTCTTATGGCGGAGGTTTTAAAATCTGCTTCCTAACTTCAGCAAAACAAGACTCGTGGAGGAGCAAAATTTGGGGTATAGAAAAGTCGTGAATCTAACAGAATTTGACAGTATCAGGCGAGTCGCTACAAATTCATGCGCACCACAAGTGTAGAAGAAAATAAAGATGAATGATTTCGCGTCATTTTGTTGGAAGGATGAATGGCAAGAAAGGAGAGTGATGCGATAATGATAATAAACTAAACAGGGCTGGCGGAGGAGGCAGAACAGAAGGGGACGTCGCCCACCGATCTCTACTTGCTGCACAAGCTAAAAAGATTGCAAAATGACAAGGCAGCTTCCTCTTTGGCCCCCAGATTCTGGAGCCAGAATACGTCCCTCTCCCCAGAACATCAAAACCCCCCACCTAAATATAGGACTTGGATATGCTTTATCCCCGTGAATGAATCAACCTTATCGCAGCCACATGAATAGAAAACGTATGCTTTGCTTGCTCCATCTTCTTGTGTTGTGGTATACTTTATGCAGTTAATTATGCACAACATATCACCCTATAAATTACGCTTCTGCCCGACTCATTCTGAGTATCGAGCATGGAGATGGGGGGGTGTGGATTGGTGAGGTGGTTGCTATGTTTGGTGCTGATCCAGTGGTTTGCAGCTGCATGGGAGGTTGATGATGATGCAACCGCCTTGGATTTTGATACGGCAGGACTGAGCAGAGCCAACTTTTCCAACGGTTTTGTGTTCGGAACCGCCGCGTCTGCTTATCAAGTGGAGGGCATGGCCCTCGCCGCAGGCCGTGGCCCCAGCATTTGGGATGCTTTTATCCAAAACAATCCTGGTTCATTTACCTTTTCCTTTTTCGTTTCCAATATGAGTTACCGCCTTCGCAATTTGAGTGGTCTTTTGTTTCTTAGCTAATGTATGCCATCAGTACTTGTTTCTAACATTATTCCCACTCCTCTACCTATGAAATTATATATTGTGGTTAACTGCTTAAATAAATTAAAAGCTGGTTTGTTTCTTTATTACTTTGTAACCACACTAGGGGGGAGTTAATCTAACACTATTTTTTTTTAACCTCTTAATATGGGTTCTATTTATTTATTTCTTTCCCTTTTAAAAAAAAAAAAATCAAAATCTGTAATTGTATGGAAACAGGGGTTATTGCAAACAATGGCACTGCAGACGTTGCTGTGGATCAGTATCATCGATATAAAGTAAGTGTTTTCTCCCTAAAAAAGTTTAAAAGAAAGTTCGAAAAATAAATGAAGGGAGGGAGATTTTTTTTTTACTTAATGAGAAATGTGCATGTATACGTATTGCATAAGAGAGACAGTGAAGCTTTTCCGTCGCGAGTTTGCATCGTATTATCTGAATGAATAATAAGAGTCAAAGCATGTTTCATTGAACAGGAAGATGTGGATATCATGGCAAATCTATACTTTGATGCATACCGCTTCTCCATTTCATGGTCCAGAATTTTCCCAAGTAATTACACATCACTATATTTTAATGCTTATGCATTAGACCCTAAAGTAGGGCCCGTCTTTTTTAATAATTGAGCGCAATGCCAATGCAGATGGAACTGGCGAAGTAAATTGGGAAGGCGTTGCCTACTACAATCGGCTGATTAATTACTTACTGGAGCGAGGTGAATCTTGCATGATTGATCGAGTTTATAGACTAGATAGGAGTATTTTCCTCTTTTTTGTGTTCCCTTGTTATAGTCTGAATCATCTGCAGGTATTACTCCATATGCAAATCTTTATCATTACGACCTCCCTTTAGCTCTTGAGTTGAAATACCAAGGATTATTGAGCCGCAATGTTGTGTGAGTACATGAAAGATAGATGCTTTATAGCTTATTATTAATTATTTATAAGCTTCAAGTTAGTGTATAGTCTTAATTTACTGAAACAAAGTTAGATTACAGGAAAGACTATGCAGATTATGCAGAATTCTGTTTCAAGACTTTTGGAGACAGAGTGAAGAATTGGATGACATTTAATGAACCAAGAGTAGCGGCTGCTCTTGGTTATGATAATGGCTTCTTTGCTCCCGGAAGGTGTTCAAAAGCATTTGGAAATTGTTCGGTCGGCAATTCAGCCACTGAACCTTACATTGTTGCACACAATTTGATACTAATGCATGCAGCTGCAGTTCAAAGATATCGAGACAATTACCAAGTAATGTTCAAACAAAGAATGTAAATGTTAATTCAACAAGTCAAGTTAAAAGTTCTTGAAAATTCTAATGCCATGATGATCAATGTGGCGGTTTTATAGGAAGAGCAAAAAGGAAGGATTGGAATCCTCTTGGATTTTGTTTGGTATGAACCTCTTACAAGATCAAAGGCTGACAATCGTGCAGCTCAAAGAGCTAGAGACTTTCATGTCGGATGGTAAAGGGCCTAAACATATGTACTATAAAACCAACGGAGTTTACAGTTGTATACTGATTAATAAGACACTTCAACTAATAGTGTATGAAATGACACAGGTTCATCCATCCTATTGTGTATGGGGAGTATCCAAGAACTATGCAAGTACTTGTTGGGAATAGGCTCCCCAAGTTCACTGAGGAAGAAGTCAAGATTGTGAAGGGTTCAATAGATTTTGTTGGCATCAATCAGTATACTACGTACTACATGTATGATCCTCATCAACCAAAATCAGAAATCCTGGGCTACCAGCAAGACTGGAATGTTGGATTTGAATGTAAGATAATCCTTCCTTTAGTGATATGTTACTTTTATTGTCGTCCATCTAGTAATTCTCACAACTGACCTTTACATTCTCATGGACAATGCAGATGCAAAGAATGGAAAGCCTATTGGTTCAAGAGTAAGTCAGGCAATAATGGTGACCAACATGCATAGAACATGGTTTAACCTTATTTCCGTTGAAAATTTTGCAGGCATATTCAAATTGGCTGTACCAAGTACCATGGGGCATGTACAAGGCATTAATCTACATCAAGGAGCGTTATGGAAACCCAACAGTGATATTATCTGAAAATGGTCATTTTTATATTGTTGTTGTGATGCAGTTGGTTGGTTGGTTTTTAATTGCATGTGAATGAAGGAATGAAAAAAATTAAAATGGTTTGCAGGAATGGATGATCCAGGGAACTTGACACTTGCTGAAGGGTTGCAAGATGCTGCAAGGATCAATTACTACAGAGAGTACCTGAGTCAAATGAAGAAGGCTATTGATGATGGAGCGAACGTGGTGGGGTACTTTGCATGGTCCTTGCTGGATAACTTTGAATGGAGATTGGGATACACATCTAGGTTTGGCATTGTCTATGTTGATTTCGATACCCTCAATAGATACCCCAAGATGTCTGCATATTGGTTCAAGCAGCTACTTACCAGAAACAAGCAGTGAACACAACTGGCGAAGATACCCATAATAATGTCTCGTGTGGTTTTGCCCCAAATACGCTTGTGTTATTAACGAGTCATCTCTGATTTCAAAATAAGTGCTTATCAATTATAAAATTTGCATAATTTCCTCTGTTATCTTCAGATAGTTCATTTCTTACACTAAAAAACTCAACGTAAAAGAAAGACATTAAATTTACAGTAATAAACTTGATGCCAAGCAATTCATCATAGCTCTCATTTAAAAGACCAAAAAAATAAAAATAAAAATAAAAATCTCAACGTTTCAGGGGGCGCAAAACAAAGTAAAAGAACCCATTAAGACTGCGAATCCGACGAGGCATGACTTTTGATGGTACCTGTGAACTTTGTCATGGTAACTTAGAAGACCTTGACCGCATCTTAAGGCGCTGTGCAGTAGCCAAATCCTGCTGGTCTAAGGTAATTCCCCAGCAAAGAGCCCAAGAATTCTATGGAAAGACTTTTCAAGACTGGTTGTTAGGGAATCTCAATCCACGAATCATGGGCACTCACTCGAGCTTATTTTTTGGCACACTTATTTGGAAGCTTTTGGACAACAGGAACAAGATCGTTTTCATGAACAAGGCGTCCAAGCCCAGAGATTATAATTATGTTTGTTTGCACTTTTGCAACTCACATTCGGTCAACAGATAGTCTTATTAGGCTTATAGACATGACAGCTTAACTGGCTCTCGTTTATAATTTTGTACATGTTAGTTAATACAAGTCTTTTTCACTATTAAAAAAAAAATGAACCAATTAAGACTCAGCTTAAGAAGGTGTTTAGATGAAAACCAAACCATGGTTTCAGAAATGATTTTACAGTCTATGAGGTAAATATGTAGAAGAGTTTATCTCGATTTGCAAAAAAGTGCTTCTGAGAAGCACTTTTTAGGATATCCAAACACCCTCTAAAAGTACAAGACAAATGTAAATGTTACTATCTTTTATTCTTATTATAAGCTTCAAATAATTAATTCACAGATAATAAATTATTAGTTAAAATTAGTTAAAAATAATAAATAAGTTAAAAATATTTTTTTGTTTTTAAATATGTCCTTGTAATAAATAAAGAAAACGATGCAAGGAAATGTGATAGTAGAGAGTATTACAAAGGACAAAGAATAAACAATTAAGGACAAAACTCCAAAAAAAAAAACATTTAATGTTAAAATCAAATTAAAATTTATAAAATAGATTACATCTTTTCTAAATTTGAGGATGGAGTATTTATCATTTTCAATGAAGCGCTTGCTTTGACTTTGGAATGTAATCTATTTAATTAATTAATTCTCTTCTTTGACTAAATAGTTTTCACCCTTGATTACCTGATTTGAAGTCCTTTAAAAAATTCTTCAATCATGCTTTTGTATTTTATTTTCGTCCATCAATGTTATTTTGATGCTTTTAAGGAAAATTTGAGTAATTAAATTTGTCAAATCCTTAATTATGTCACGTGACTTAGAAAGAGATTTTAAAATTTATGAAATAACTCTAATACCTTTTTTGTTAGAAACCTAGAGTGACGGGTATTTTCTATCATTCATGTGTTGCGTAAGAGCTCTAAACCAGAAAAACTTAATACCTACCATTAAAAAATTGGAAAATCAATCAAGAAAGCAACAATAAGTTAGTTTTTATATTAAATCTTCCTCTTTTAATCCTAACAGTTTCATCCTAACATAAAGTTGTTAATTTAAAATTAAAACGTAATAACAGTGAAATAGAACATTTAATTTTTAATATGTATTATGGTAAATTTTTATTCAAAGACCTATTACCATTGTGTTATAAAGACAAAAAGTTGTCAATTTATAATTAAAACTTGTTTAACTGTAAAATAAAATATGTTAATTTTTAAAATTGTATTGTAATCAAGTATTATTCAATGATTTATTGTAAGTGTGTGTTTTTTTTTTGATATAAACCATCCGGTATCCAACCATGCCTTTTCTGGGCCCCAGTCTCTTTGGGCCAGTTGTACCCGAGCGATCGACTAGTCCGGATTCGGGCCGGACGACAAGTAAAGCCCTCCCCGGTACCCTTTTTAACAAGTGAGGATTCGAACCCCCGCCCTCAAAGAGCAGAGACTCGCCTCACTTGTGGCCTAGCCAGTCACCACTAGGCCAGGAGTATTCGGGTGATTTATTGTAAGTGTGTTATAGAGACCAAAAGTTAAATTTATAATTAAAAGGGTAAAATAAATCAACCTCCCCTCTCTTTAATCTAAATTACAAAGACCTTCTTTTTATTTTGGAAACTTGTATGGACCTCTCTTAAAATCAAAATATATCTTACACAAACCTCCTTTCTAATTTTGAGATTAAACTTCCATCCACCTATCCGTTAGTTGACTGTTAAATAATAGGATTGACCTATTATTTTGACCAAATTGCCCCTTCTTAATACAAATATTACTTTATAATCATTATTTAATGACATATCATACTTCTTTATTTGAAATTAAAAAATAATTTTAATAAATATTTTAATATTTTTTGTTATACTATTGAATTGTTTACCATATTATAAATTTTATTAATTTTATAAATTCAAATTTTTATTTTACAATAAATCTTGTTTATTTATTTAAACTTACTTGTGATGTAATTTTTTAAATATATATTAGTAAAAAAATGTTTTTTAATTGTATATATGTATTTTCAATAAAATTATAAAGCTATGTCTTAATTTATTAAATTTATTAAAATATTAAATAGATTATTAATAAATATTAGTATTAAAAGATAAACTACATATTTAATATAATGAGGGGTAAAGTAGGAAACAAGGTTTATTCTAATATTTTTTTAATTAAAAAAGCATGTAAAGAATCTTTTCAGAATATTCTTTAATGGTGTTAATGGTTTGGACTAAAATGTATGTTATTAAAATAGAGGGGATGTCAGTGTAATTAAAACAAAACAGAAAGGTGATCAGAGTATTTTACTCTAATTAAAATGCATTAAGTCTGAAATAGAACATATTAATTTTCAAAGTTATATCATAATTAAGTTTTATTCTAAAACTTATTGCAACCATGTTTTAGAGATATAAAATTGTTAATTTACAGTCAAAACTTATTAACTGTGTAATTAAACTTATTAATTTTCAATTTTATGTTGTGATTAAATTTTATTCAAAGTGTTATAAAGAAAGAACATTATTAATTTAAAACTGAATTATGTTAATTGCAAAATAAAATATATTAATTCAGAATCCTCTTTTGATTTTAAATGAAAAGAATATTAGAATTATTTCATAAAATTTTAAAATCTCTTTTTGAGTTATGTGATCTAATCAAGGGTTTAATAAATTTAATAACTCAAACAAGAATTTGAGTTATTTAAGTATATTTTTAAGGAATTTTTCCTACTTTTGATTAAACACGTTTCCCTCGATATTAGAAATGAGGCGTATTGTCGGCAACTTGCATTGTTAGATCCAAAGGGACTAACTCTGTGTGCGTGCGTGTACACACCCAAGATTAAAGCGAGTGAAAATGACCTGTCTTGTTCAATTCGCCTTCATGCATTATATTTTTTTAAAATGTATAGTCTATAGATGCTAGAAAAAATGGTAAAAAAGAAAATTAAAATTACTAAATACCAAATAAAAAATATTAATAAAAATTTGTTGTCATTACAAACTCAATATTATCAACACTAAATAAATTGTTACCAAACATAATTTAGAATTTAATAATTTCAAATTTTTTGTCATTTTCCGTAGTATGCTAGGGGTTTTTTTTTTTATTTTTTTCCCTCCGGTACATCTGAAGGCCTTAACATTACATGCTGCTATTTTCAGCTATAAGAATCAATCCTATGCCCATGCCTGCGTGCGCGTCCTTCGACTTGACCAATGGAACAACTACGACTAACGTTTGAACTACTTCGCCTAATCTCTTGTTCTAACAAAATTGTGAGTTCGTTATTGGAAAAACCAACTCAATTCTAAAGAAACCAGAGCACAAATTATAGACATGGGCATGGATGTGGAACGATTACACTCGAGAAAAGAAATTCAAGATACTGCTGTTCTTGCCCCCCGCTTTCTTGCCAACGCTTTTCTTGAATTTTTTCTCACTTGCACCTCTTCTTTTCAAGTCAGCGCATTTTACTGTCTTAGAATCTACACTTTCTTGGGATATCACGTTCCAACATAACATGTCCGGATCTTCCGCTTCAACCACCGTCACCTCTGAAATTTGGTCGTCGCAAGTTTCTGCTTCATCCGAGCAAATGGTCTCAAAATTCCTTTTTCTCGAGAGGTTTTCAGACGTCTCTTCAGGAAAGCTATCAGGATTCATGCACACGTCCATGTATTCAGCACTCCTGGTAACAAGAACTTGTTCATCGGGGTTCTCCCTCTGAAATAAACAAATTTCCTCAGGTTTTATCCTGAATGGGTTGTTGTCAGGAACCCTTAACGGAGTTTTATCGGGAATATTTTCCTTCTCTGCAGATCCACAAGTTACCAACGGTCTAATAAGTTTCTGAAGTGGCAATGCTTCACCAGAATACTTGTCCTTGTTCACGACCAGATTCGACGACGTCACTGTACGCATGAAAAATGATGCACGCCATTATACATAATGAAAACAGTACATGACGGAGACATTTGAAGATAAAAGCATTCACGCATTTAAAGAAAGTTATTATTTTGGTGAACTAAATAAAGTTATTATTTTCCCTAGTAAAATTACTAAAATCAACTTAGAATTTAATAAAGATCTTTCTACAAGCCACATGACTTGCCTGTGTTGTTTTCTCTGGCATTAAGGGAGTCAAAGACTTTCAAGGAGCGCTCATGTGCAGGGGTTGCAAAAACTTCGACTCTCCGGTATTGACGATTGCTCTTGAGAACAATGGGGTCCACGGGGAGTGCAGAACTTTCCAGCTTATCAAAGACTTTCTTAGTTGAGGGATTTAAGTTGCCTTCTGCTATTGCGGTAACCGTTGCTCGAGGAATTTCTCTAATTGCATTAAGACTAGCTAAGGGCGAAAATTTTATGCATTAAGCATGCAAATAGATCAAATAGCCTATGGCAAAAAATGTGCCACAGTATAAAGCTATATTGCCGGGCATGCGTGTGTAGGAATCCAGGTCAAACGTGCACAGATCCTAGCACCCTCTAGAACGACTGAAGCATCTATTTAGAGGTTGAAGCACAAAATAATGTCAAGACCAGAGGTGCTATTAACAATAGCCATGCAACAAATGCTGGGAGAAGCTGATAACTTTGCATGGAGTGAAGAATTATAAAAGGTCCAAAATACGCAAAGGAAAATAAGTAAAGAAATCAAGGATACGGTCCCAAAAAATCAAGATTTCCATCAAAGGACTGAAGTAGGTTTTGCGGAAGTGGCGCTAGGTGCTTGAGCTCCTTAGCATTGGGATCATATCTGCAGAAAATTCCAGAAGCAAACGGTCATTGCTGAAAGAATAAGAAATAATATGTTAAAAATAAAGATCAATCTAATATTAGCACATTCGAGCATGCCGGAAGACTGCAATTGCCTCTTTGAAGGATTTGGCGTAATCTCCTGGCACTTGATTTCCCTTCTCCATCTTAAGAACAGATAACACCTGTTAACAATGGATCAATCAGTCTTCCAACGATAGAGTATTCTTCAACTATTTTTGAGACTATTAGCAACAAACCTAAGTAAACTTCAACTCGCACAAATATATCCGACGCCACTGTGAACATATCCAAATTAACAAATTCAAATTGCATTGTATTATGTGAACTCTGTTCTAGTTTTCTTGTTTTCATTCAATGATGATTATAATTATATGAAGTGATAGGTGGGGTATTTAGCTTAGACTTTCCGTTTCCCTCACACATAACGGTGGGAGCAGTTCCAGAATACTTATGTTCTCAGTAAGAATACTAAGCCACTAACATTGTTAGTTTAGTTTTAATGTTAGAAAGTCTTCTTTTTTGTACATACAATGTCTATCTGAGACTAATTGCCCAAGCCAAATGGAAAAACAAGTTATACATGACCATCCAAGTTGTTGCTGAGAAACCATGCTTCCCACCACCTCAAACTAGCAAATGAGAGCACACTTACGCGATCTAAATTGCGATACTTGGAAACCAAGGCATGAGCTCGCACTATACCAATTCCAGGAACAGATGGAAGAAAATCACAGCCAGCTAAGACAGACATACCTGCGAAATTGCAATTTTAAGCCTGTCATAAACTTCAGGGCATGAGACATCGGGTTGACTAATAAAACACCACTTTTTTTTAGAAGCAGGTGAAATTTCCTGACATCATCCCTAGAATATCATGTTAACCTGCCCTTCACCAGAGAAGATTATGGAAGTTTCTTGTTTGTTTTCTTCCTTTCTTTCCTCCCTTCTTGATTGCTAGAGGAAGTAGAGGAGGAAGTTCATGTCGTCTCAAGACCCTGCAAGCCCATCATAGACAACACAACAACCTCGTTCCTTTCCATTGAAATATTCATGGTTTATTCACGGCATTACAAGTACTATGTCAAATCACTGTTGGACAGAAAAGCTTCACTGCATTCAATTATGTAAACTATCAAGAAACGTAAATAATCAGGCACACATTGCTTTGAACTGAATATACCTGTGAAGAGTTCCATATCAAAATTTCGGAAGGATGGTTTACAAGCCTCAGCTTTGAAAACCTTGTCTAACTCTATGCTTTCGCCATTCCCGTAACGGTCCATCTTAAAGACAATCTATAAACAACCATTGCAAATCTCAAATCATAACATTGTACTTTAGATTGAAAATTGAAGCGGTAAATATAACGACGTCAACAGGAAAGCGAAAAACCTTGATGCACAATATCAAAGTCTTGGATAGGTTCTTACAGCTGGACAACCGTAGGCAATTAGATCACTATCCTCAGTGATCACTGCTACAACACCACCATTTTCCCTTTTAATCTTGGACATGTAAGCTAACTGAGCATCTGCTTCATATGGAGCTACAACAAACTCAATGTTCTCTGATCTCAAAACCTGTGAGGTAATTAAATGAAGGATTTGCCCTAAAGTTCAGATTTAGCACCAGATTGTTGTTTTGAAGTGTAGTATCATATTGTATTAGAGGGAAAATTCATAGTAACATGGTTAATGAGTCAGCGTGAAAGGATAAATTCATAACATACCTGAATCAGTTGATGAGCCATAATGGGAGTGACGTTCAGTGCTCTCTGTACAGAAGAATGGGAACTCTATGAATGCTGAACTTCGTGAGTGTCGACGAAGCATATGGCACAGGAAACAAATTTTTATGCATACGTATTGTGTAATAACAATTTATACACTCTGGACCAATTGCTAATTATGCTTGTTCTACCTAGGATCTCTGTGTGTGTGTCTATATAACAAGTTGTAACCAGCCAGGTAGAAACAGGATTCATTAGATAATGTTTCCTGCTACGGACCTCATTTAATGTTTAAGCCAGCATCCAGAAACATTTAAGTAGATTATATTAGCCATTCCTGGAGTAATCTGCACTGTAGAATCCTAAAATAAAATTAAATGAAATTCTAAACAAATGCTATATTGATTCAAAACGAACAGGGGCGGTGATTGTACCTGAAATAACTCTGAGGCTGCGTTGACGTTCCCCTCTTTGAGCTTAGCCATTGCCAAATCGCGATTAGCACTTCGTTTCCTGAAATCAAGACAACAACCACGTTGGGAATTTGTATACTTAATAGCAAGAGATGCGCCTACATCTAAATGGAAGGGACAAGAACATAAGATGAAGATTAGCGGTTTCAAATCTAGTGAAAATACGGAGTTTAGAACAATGCCTCTTCCTATCTTCCTCCGTTGCCGCCTTGCAAGGAATGTTGCAGCCATCAAAAACAACAACAGGCGTTATCTTATAGTGACGAAGCAGCTTGATTCGATGCATAAAGTACTCTATGTATTGAAACTTCTTTTCAGTGTCAGAATTGAGACAAAGCTCCATACTACAGGAATAAGCTGTAAATGTAGAATACACCATCAGTTTCTCATCATTACTCCAAAGTGCAACGACGTTAAAAAATAGAAGTTAGTACAGCATCGGGTCTATAATAGCAAAATGATATTCTTTACCTCCCTTATGAAGCCATGAATAAGCATCAATACCCACCTGCATAGATGCACCAAAAAATAAGGTTGGGCTCATGGGAAAGAACACAGCCAGATACAACTCAAGGGGAGGGGGGAAAACAAATGAGACTTGGAATCAAGGGGAAGCGATTTTTACGCGTTGTCCGGCATATTTATTGATGTGAATGGGTTCGATATAAGGCTTCATGAATCGGAGAAGATCCTTGATACCCATTTTCAGTGGCGGGATGAAGCTGTTCGGCTCTTGTCGTGGGTTCTGGGTTTATTCCTATTTTCCTTCGTTGCTTTCACGTGCTTTTTCCTTGATTTTGTTTTTAACAAACATTTTTTAAGCGGAGAGAAAATGGCGGGAGAGGCAGCAGATGGCGAAGCAAATGGAGCGCGTCGACGGAGAATTATAGTTCAGATTCACTAAAAAATTTTGACGACGTGCTGCTGAGGGAAGGGCCTGCACGGTCCAATCAGGGAATTTCTATGAAGACAGTAGACTTGGAGGCGAGGTGTGGAGCAAATTGATTGGTGTTTTGCCTTTGCTTCTTTTGAAGGCGAGGGCAGTTATGTCTTTCTATCGAAAAATTTTGCCGCGAAAGGGTTTGAATTCTCTCTTGTGCGCGAAAGACCCGCGCGGTTTCACCTGCGCGCTAATACGCCCGTACGTCCTCACATTAAAAAAAAACACAGAAAACAGAAAAAACATGGGCGCGTATGTTCACTTCCGGCCGTTTAAGTAGTTTTGTCCGCTCGTAAAATAGGCACATACAGCCCATTTTCGATTTGGGCCTCGCGCAATTGCATTTTGTACCCAGTATGAAAAAGTGAATTTCCAAATTTACCCTCAGTTGATCTATTGTGCATTTATCAGGGTTTTAAAAGCTTTTCCCCTCTTTCTATTTTGTATTTTCATTATTTTATCATTTTTCTGATATCAAATAAACTATTAAAAAGATATTTTATTTTCACATGTAGCAAACATAAATTTTTCTTCCGTTCATTATTACTTTCCCCCTTTTATATTGTATTTGAATTAACTTTTTAAAAATAATTTTACGATATTCAAGCTAAGTATGTAAGAAAAATTTTATCTCAATTATGTGAAAATATTTTCTTAAATTAACTGTGGGGTTGCCAAACTCCTCCTCGATCTTCTATACCAAACAATAATTAATTCCCATGAGTAACCAGAGAATTGAAGCACCAAGGTAGTGAGATATCAACACATTTGAAGAGTGAATGTTTGCTGGAGTGATTGAATCAAACAGGGGGGCCGAAACAAATTGGACTTGCAATATCAGCAGAGAAAATGAGCTTGAGAAAATTATATTGGACTGTGATGAATCAGATTCCATGATTAAAATATTTAATTATCACATTTTACATAACTAACATATGTGCTTGATTTCAACTAACCAACACAAGCTAAAAGCTTTTACATTTGTTAAATTAGGGGGAACATTGAATGAAACATTTTTGCTGTGGCTAAACAAATATTTCTAATCTATAATTTTTCCTCTACGGAATATTTTATCTATCCCTCGTATTGTACCACAGGGGTTTGCATTGTGTTCTACTTACAATTTATTTATAAATCAGACATAAAACATAGGCTAGCAATTAACTAAAAACAGTAGGATTGAAATAAGACGTAGTTGTGCACAGAATGTGACATAGAATTTTCAATTCAAGAAAGAAACAAGAAGGTTGTAATTTACTAATTAGTTGGTCAGAGATTAATCCCCGAAAAATATCACGAGGCTAATCTCAGATACAGAGGGATGTAGTTTGTAGGATTTGGCATTGAATCCCAAACAGAGAAAGCACTTGAGCATCTCATCCAGTTTCTTGTCATCTCGGGGAAATGCCTGTCAATCACATCCCTCAAACTCTCTGTTCTGTTCACCCATTCCAGTCCTTCCTCTGTGTATGTTTTCGGGTTGAAATTGCTTGTGAAGAAACGATCAGCTTCTAGCCTCCTGTTCCTCATCAAACAACACCAAATGATTCAATAATGTGGGTCTTCATACTTTCAATTCAGGGTATAATGATGTCAACATAATACCTTGAAGCCATGAGCACGAAGATGAAGAAAGCAGTCTCACTAATAGCAAACCCTTTGATCTTCTTCTCTGCATGTAAGCCCACTATCAAGTCCAGCTTCTCCACGTCATCTCCGTACACCTCTCTCACAGCTTCGATCACCTCTTCATCGTCTGTCAAATCTTCCCACTTACTGATGGGGATCATCAGCAAGTTTCTTCTGAACTCGTTATAGCGTGCAACGCCCCTTTCTCTATCTCTATAAACTATTAAAACAGTCACCATTTTAGATCAGGTTGGGGATTAGTAGCTAACACGAGCTCTTGCTACGCCAAAGGAAAAATAGGTGATATGAGAACTAGAGAAGTACCTTCCATGGCAGCCATATCAACTGGATCTGGTCTATCTTCTCCGTCAATGTCATGAGCAATGAGGTTTCTCATCCATGCAGGATAGTTCCATAAATCAACAGCCCCACACGACTGATGACCCATGGACACTAGCATCTGCTCCATTCCGATTTCTGATAGCCTTCTTTCCCCTTCTTTTCCCAATAAGTCGCTCATTGGCACCCTGAAATGCATAATATCATATGTAATTTACCATTTCTGATCGCAAAACCTTTTTTACCACTCTGACTTTCTGAGGCCTGCCTTATGTAGAAAGCAAGAAACTTCACTCATTCCCAACAGAACCACCCAAAGGATGGAATTTTAGTAATGAAAGAGAGAGAGAGAGAGAGAGAGAGAGAGACAAGAGTAGAGGAATAGAAAGGATAAACTTTTTGAGTATAGAAGGACATCGGTCTTCTGCTGCCGGCAGCTTGATGTCTCGGAGGACAATTTCATCAGGTAGAAGTGAATGCATTCTGTAAACACTCACAAACTCTTCCGTAAGTGAGTAGGGAACTCCATGATCTATTGGCTTCCTAGTGCCAACTAATCCACTAAATATTGGCCCAAAAATGTGTCCAAATAAATCCTTAAATTTCTTCCCCAGAAATCCATACCTGCCAAACATAAACTCCGAAAGGTCAGCAACGTAAGAAAAAAAGAATCAGTACAGTAACAAAGCATGCTGTCGTCATTTTTAACTAGCCTATTTTGTTTGCTGCCTAGTAATTTTTTACCGTCTTACCAATTGATCCTCATGGCTGCCAGAAGAGTATCAGTTCTTAGGAGTTCTACAGTCCAGTCAATTGTATGTATTTTAGCAATGACCGCTGAAGTCACCAACCTCGCATGCCTATAGAGTTGTTCATCATCGAAATCAGGATAATGTGCCTATAAGCACGAAACAATGCAGCACATTATTATGTAAGACAGAGTATTGCCACGCTCGGAGAAAAGCAAAATATATTCAGACTTGTTCGGTAACAAGAAGGAAAGTTTTGCATATGTTGGAATAGGTAGACTCACTTTTAGCATATCACATACAGCATTGTGCTCCTTGACAAATAAGGCTTGCAGCAGGGAAAAGCCAGCCCAACTATTCCGAACATCACCGGAAATAGGAATACCTTTCTCATCATGCTCAAGAAGCCCGTCTTCCGAAATCCTCAGCTTTCCATCTTTGAATGTCCTCACTCTTGTCATGCCCTTCCGGTTATTCCCGTATATTACACTCCCATCCCTACATCACTCACAATTAAAATATCGTCTACTACTCTACTTATTTGAGTGGCGAGGGTGCCTTGTGTGAAGATTTTATTAATCTTGTATAGGTGCTACTCACCACCAAGGAGTCCTAGTGTTCAGATGGCCATTCTTCATATCTGAAGAGCCCGTTTTGAATTTCTTGGTCTTGAAGAACTTAAAAGACTTCAATGGGCATCCTCCCGAATATCCATCAGGATGTCTAATTTCCACCTGGTCCAATAGTTATGCATGATACATACAATTCGTAAATATCCAGCACACACACGAAGACAAGATTCTGAGAAAATCGATGTAGTGAGAATTGAGAAGTTAGATGGCAGAAGATTTCGTTTCAGACAAAAAGCAGAGCATGTCTCGGAAATTTAGTTGGCCATGTTAGAAAATAAGGGTGGCTTGATATGGCTATTCATGCGTGAACTTTACTAGTCCTGATGTGGCAGTGATCCAAGTAATTTACCTGTTCAGTGTCCTCTAAATGATCGATCCAGTCATGAATCATGAATTGTATCCACGAGCAGGCTATCATGTTGAATTGCCTTCCCGTATCTTTGAACTTCTTCCTCGTCAAGAGCTTTGACGCCACTTCCGTAGGGTGAGGATCTAGCAACTGTAGATACGCATGACGATTTATCGTGTTAAAGAAGTAGACTTTGCGACTTCAAAAATGCCCCCCCCCCCAAAAAAAAAAAAGAAAAAAAGTTTTGGAGTGATAATCCTTCGAATTGGCGGAGCAAAACTAGTTTGTTCACTCGTTATACTTCTTGATAGTCAACAGAAATTACATGAAAGGTACCAAACAGTTCCATCAGAATTTGCAGTGCTTTATACAAAATCCATGAGTCATGAAGCAAGAAATGCAGTATAATTGGTTTGCAGAAGCATTTCAGAATTAAGTGGGACGAACTCAAGGTTTGATGTTGTTTTGCACAAGTAATTAACTGGAGTCTTACCCAGATCCCTCACAATTACGTGCACTTGCTTCTTCAAACGAGGTTACCCAAGTTGCTTTATGTTTTCATTTCTTTCAGTTTCACTTTCACCGCTTTCTCATACTATATTGGCGAGTTTTATTGGCCGATTACTCGCAATGAACAAAAATTTATTGTTGATATGCGACGACACGATACTAGTTAACTCATTTTGGTTTTCAAAACTCCACCCAGAAAAAAGGGCAGAGCTTGCTCAGAAAGGCAACAGGCTTACCCCATAATCTGACGTTGCGGGAGGCATATTCCGGCCAAAAAAAGTCCCCTGACTGCCCACCAAGTCGTCGGTGGGGTGGTTGCAGGTACCGTCGGGGGTCCTATGCGCATAGTGGAGGGTATCATACTTGTGACCATTAAGACGGCCAACATGCAAGAGATTATAACGCTGATGCAAGCGCCTTCTGAGTCCCAGGTAGGCGAGCCCCAGCAGGACTGGCAACTTAGGCCACAGGCCAAGCTTGTCCACGAAATGAACAACCTGTGTTACAAAAACACCTAAATTATGTCAGCTAATGAGGATCATATCTCAGACAGAGAGGGTGGGGATGGCGAGGGTGCTCACGCAGAAGAGAATAGAGTCAAAGAGGGTCATCTGGGGAAGAAGGTGGCAGAGTTGGGGATCGATGAAGGATGAGGAGAAAAGAGAGAGAGCCATAGCAGATAGCTTGATAGTTTGATCTGCCCGCTAGACAGGATATTTCAGTCTCAGGGGACCTATTAACTGTGCTCACCAACGGGGGATCGCTTGGGTTGGGAGTGGGACCGTCTTATCTCGTAGTGGCTAATTGCGTATTCACATGCCTCAACTAAAAACATGCCAATTGCGTTTGTTCATGCCCACAATGCATTTAAGTATTTAAAAAGCATATTATCTGGCTCCCAAATCATACTAGCAATGGACGGAGCCTTCAATATGTTGCCTCACTGCTGGTCACATTTTCAGCTTCAGCCATGAAAATCACGGAATCCTCCTCGCAGGAATTAAATGTTTTTATCTTTTTTGTTTTCTAAATAGTAATATTCCTGGGAAGACTGCATTCAAATTTACAAATAAATCCCTTATTCCTGAATTATCATCACAAATCTTAAAAATGACACCACATTTGCCTCATTTTCAGTTTGACATTATCCAACACCAAACCACCCCCATCAGCTTGAATAAAAATGCGTTTGATCCTTCGATCCGATGGTAAGATGGGAAGCGTGGACGATGAGGAAAGATACAGGTTTGCCTTGTACCACTCTTCTTATACGTCATTTTCAACAAATTTTACTTAAAAACAAATCTTAAATCTCATTAAACCTGCCTTAAAATCTAATTACTTTTCAAATGCTATCCCTACTTAATATATATTTAAAAAATGACAATATTTATTATACAATAGTACATTCATATTCATGTTAAAAACTTAATTTTTAATATCTAATAGTATGACTTATAAATAGGTTTAAAAAAAAAAAAACACTCCACAAATAGGACCAAATAAGTATCCGCCATCAGTTGGAAAATTTAAGTATGAGAACCGAATTACACCCTGTGTTTCCAACAAATTTGTCACGGGCAGAAACTCGATATTAAAAGTTGAAATAACCATGTGATTCTTGAAAAGGCCTCAAAGCCATTATCTTCAACATGCAAATTGATCATAAAAACAAGATTCCACAATCAACCTAAGAAAAACTTTTCGACAGTTCTAAAGTAAAACAGTAAACTAATTTGGTCTCAAAAATAAGAGATTCGCATCTGACAGCTAGTGTGAGAAGCTTCACTAATAACGCCCAATACCCCAAACTCTGATCACTCCATCAGTGTAGCCGCTGAATAATGTACTTCCATCCGCACTCCAGTTCAAACTTGTACAGTAGATAATCTACAAGACATAGTAGGAGATGCAGACAATAAATATTAGCATTCACATTCATAACAGCAACAGCATCATAGTACAACACAACAAACAAGAAAACTTAATGTCCAAAATCCTTCCCATCACACTTGGGAAAAAAACAGACAAACGAGAACTTAGAAAAACACATCAGGAAGTGCCATTGATAACAGATTGCCTTGAAGAGTAAAGCGGTGCAGACTGTGAACAATATTGACGCCTGATCTAGAGATCATAAGCAACATACTTACCTGGTCCTTAATACAAGGATAATTTGAGGAGACTGAGAAAGGTATTAAATTAATTAAAGCATATGTTACATGATATATCCTGTATATTATTAGATTACATGTCAATTTATATGCGATATAAACTAGTTGGAAAAAGGATGAAGCTCAAAATACGACTGATTGATATAGACAACATGACCATGCATTACAATAAGAAACAACAAACGAGTTGATTTCTAAATGATAATGAAACAACCAATGCAAATCTCAATCTCGGAAGAATAGTAATCATCGACTGGCATCAAAAAAGGTCATCAGCTTGCGATGGATAAATGACTGCTAAAATGTTAATCATCAAGAAGACAACTATGCCTTAAAAATTGTATTAAATCTTCATTGTATTAAAACTTCTCATTAAGTTCAAAAAGATAATACTGTGCTAATCATCAAGAAGACAACTATGCCTTAGACATTGTATTAAAACTTCTCTTTAAGTTCAAAAACATAATATTGCAAAGAAGCATCAATAAAAATGAACAAAACAAAATATACCTTCTTCTTCGTATTGCCGCCTCCGGTGGTACCATCAGCCTTTTCAGCTTCAGTCTTCAAATCAACCTTCAAATCCTCAACGATGCTCTTACTCTCAAGATCCCAAATCTTGATGCTCTGCTCTGTGGCCGCGCAGAGCCAGTATCTGTTAGGACTAAAACAGAGAGAATGGATGATGGCACCAGCATCAAGCGAGTACAGTCTCTTCCCCTCGGCCAAATCCCAAAGCAAAATCACGCCATCCTTGCCACCACTTGCACAGAGAGATCCATCGGGAGACACTGCCACTGTGTTCACATAACCAGCATGACCGGCAAGGGTGTTTCTCAGCTTACAGTTTGTCAAGTTCCACACTTTCACGGTTCGGTCCCAAGATGCCGAAACAATGGTGGGCTGAAGTGTGTTCGGGCTGAACCGAACACAGCTGACCCAATCAGAGTGTGCATCACTGTCTTGAATTGTATATTTGCACTCACCAAGAGTGTTCCATAGCTTAATCGTGCGGTCACGTGAAGCGGAGACGATCTGACGGTTGTCAATCGAAAAGGCTACGGAGAGAACATCCTTGGTGTGACCCACAAATCTGCGAGCGGAGACGCCAGCAGCTAAGTCCCAGAGCCTGAGCTCACCATCCCAGGAACCGGAAAGCGCGAATTGACCGTCGGACGAGAGGACGACGTCCTGGACAAAATGGGCATGACCAGTTAGCCTACGACGGGGTACACCGTAGGTCTTCTCCTCCTTGGTAAGGTGCCACAAGACGATTGACTTGTCACGGGAAGAGCTGACGATCATGTCGGAGTTGTCAATTGGAGTAGCAATGGCGGTAACCATATCAGTGTGAGCACGCATGGTGCCGCGAAGAACGAGCCCCTCAGCCATTCTCCCCGCTTCTCACTTTCGGGATCTTTCCCTCTTTACGTCTTCTAGGGTTTGCGGAAGTGAGAGGCCTCAGCGAGAAATGATGGAGGTGCGGGAAACAAGCAATATATACGGTGCGACCAGTTAGGGTTTTGGGGATAATCCTCATTGAGCCCAATATTTTTAGCGAGCGAAGTCTCCTTTCAGTTTTGGATTTCGTTTTCTTCTGCTCCATTCTGAAAGGGCCCGTTTGAAGGTTTTTTCTTTTTTTAAATAAGACTTTTTCTTCTTCTAGTTTTCTTTTGCCTGAAGACTTTTTTCTTAATTTAAAAAATGAACCAAACAGAGTGGAAATTAAAAAGCATATACCCTCCCCGGCCCCATTTGTAAACCACTATTACAACTACATGTAAATTAAATATTTTGGTTAAAATTAGTTACTCTTCCGGTCCTAAATATAAAACCATTATACTTACCGGAGAAGTATTTTATAATATACCAAAGTTACTCTAAATAAAAGTAATAAGAATTTGTTTTATTAAGCAGAATATTTTATAATTTACTAAGTATACTGGGTGAACAAATATTACTTTATTAAGAAAAATGGTGGAAATTCTTACAATAAGAATTAAGAGGAATATATTGAATAAATGTCAACCAAAACAATATTGACGTACATAGCCCTACAGCAACCGGCGGATTGATATAGAACGAATGGAAAGAGATATTACCTCTTTCCCCCGTGGCACACCACATGGCAACATCTTCACAGCCTGCTCATAATGGATGCATCCTCCTTGCATAATCCACCAATCGTCCGACATTAACAACCACCGATGGTGGCGGTTATGAAGGTTGAAGGGAGGGTTTGATTCTAAGAACCACCGATTTAGTTATTGAGCCACTTTATCTTGGCAGCAGATCAACGAGTGAGTTGTGAATGTTTTGTAAGTCCAGGGTCATGCCCATGCTACTCGCAGTGGGATTCTGATTCGAGATCATAAAGCTATAGGCGCCGGCTGATTAATTTTTCCTTTTTGGTTTTTGATATATGCGGACATGGACCCTTTTTCTTAACTGGAATTTAGGTGGATTGGGCTTAAGGTTTAAATGGGCTGACCCGGGATAGGGTCTCGTTGGAAATCTCCCTTCCCTCCTTTATCGCTGCAACTGCAGCTCAGTCGCGCCTCGGACTCCCTCGGCCGGTGAAATTAGAGCCTCCCTCCTCGTTGATTGAAAAATTTTTTTGAAAAAATCAAGTCACCGCCGTTCCTAGATTTGAAACCGTAACTATGGCGGATCAAAACAATGGAGAGATTCTGATGCTGGAAGCTCCACCTTCTCATGCTCGGCCCACCGCTTCGGACGCCGAAATTATTGATGCGTTGCCTTACATCGACGACGACTACGCCGACCCGAGGGTCAAGGCTGAGGTAGACCGTTTGGTCGAGGAAGAGATGCGACGCAGCTCTAAAAAGCCCGCTGATTTTCTTAAAGACTTGCCTCCACCACCCAAGTTCAATTTTGAGGTAGCTTTGCCTTTTTACTGTGGTTTCACTTTTTATATCGTCGCTGTCTTCCATGGATTACATTTAGAGCCTTGTTCCCGATGGTTCTGCTGGCATCATGTTTGGACTGTGCCGTTGTTTTCAGTCTCTCTCTTTTTGCGGGGTTCAATTTCATCTTCTGTTCGCTTCTTGAGTTTAGGTTGGACCAAAAACCAAAAAAAATGTTCAACTTATGTCCTGTCATGGTGCTAAATAGGTTGTGCTACAAAAAGGTGTAACCTTGGGATAGCACTGAGTTTCCCTGTTAGTTTTATTTTCTGTGTAACGCATCCTTGTTAAATCCAGTATTCGTCTGACTCACTGTTGAAGTGAAACAAGGTTGGTGAAGAATGCCCTCGCAGATAATTTCTGATTGATTCGTGCATTCTGAATTACAGGACTACCCAATGATTGCTAGAGAGTATGAGCGTGTAAGAGCTGGAAGGCCTCCTGTACCTCTTGATAGGTTGCGGTATGAATTAGAAATGCCACCAATGAATAAGAAAAATGACGAGACCGCATGGAAACAATCGCTTCAGAGAGCGCAGCGATTACTACAATATCAGATGATCAGGTCAATATCATATAACGTAAATGCTTTATCTAGAGTTTTGTGAGTATCTTTACGAGGGGAAAATCAAGCTTTTGCTGCGAAATAGTCCTATGTGCCATTGACGTAGAGCATTTCTGTTGTGACCCTGCTAGAGTTACTTAGCAAACCAGAAATAACCAGCCAATAATGTAACAGTGCAAACAATAAATGGGAAAATCCTGAGGCTTTGATATTAATATTCAAGAACTGAATCAAAGATACAACAAGCTTCAATGATTCAAGCCAAAGCCCTATTTCCCTCTAAACCCAAAGAAAATCACAACAACGATAACAACTTCTACAACACAGGATTACACTGAAGGAAAATAGCCCACAGCTAGCTTAGTGACACTCCCATGGCATTCGAGAGGCCAGGTCTCTCCCTCACCAACTCTCTTCTCAAATCTGTCCTAAGGGCATTACCATTCCATTACAAGCCTTATACGTCCCCAAAAGCAGTCCTACACCCCCTACAATGTTTCAGACCCAAAAGATTGGTAGCTAGCTGTAAATTAGAGTTGCTCATCATTTTCTGGAGCTCTAGGACAATTGCTTTGACCAGTGGGCTTCCCTTCATCTGCCCTTGGTTGCTTCGTCAATTTCCTCTTATATGTCTTCTTAAAACCAAGCTATATCAGCAGCTGTATCAATTTCCTTTTCATCTCGTTTACTTGAGGAGAAAAGCCATGGCAGGCAGAAATCGTAGGATAACATAAACCCCCGGATTTTGATACAAAATGACAATATATTTGATTTGACACTGTCATCAGGATGTTGTTTAATTTGCTTGCCTGATTACCTGATCCTAAAATTTTGAAGTAGGTCCTTGAATTCTTTAAGCTATGAAGTGTACTGTCTTGTCACCATTTGCTGTGGATGTTAGTCTATGTTCCTTAAATTTATTGAAAACATTTTATGATTTAGACCATTAGATAGCTGTTTGCTGATATACCTTCTTTAGAATCCGCACTGTTCAAAATCATCTCCCAGTTCTTACAATGATCAAACCGGTCAATCTGCAGGATGGAAAACCTGGATTTATTGTTAAAATATGGTCCTGATGCCTGGAAGCTGCATAATCAACGATTAGAAGTATACTTGTCAAGGTTTGTCTGTGTCACCTATGAGTTAGTTTCCTATCTTGTTTTCAACAAACAATGGCTTTTTCTGCTATTTACTACTTGTTATTGATCAATTTTCTTGCGTATTGGCATGTAACTCTAGTGCTTTATCGCAATGCCTACTCTTTTGTTGACTGTATAAATATTTAGCCTTGAAGATCTCAACAGGCCTACTTGCATTGGGTTCCGTATGATGGCTTAAGGATACTTGTGATGTTATGAAAGATAATATGGATATCTGTGGTGGACCAAGTCACTGGCGTCTTAGAAAATTCTATATTTTGTTCTTATCAATTAAGCTATGTATTTGTAAGATTTTTCTATCCTGACTTTTGTAAATACATTTAAATATTGTGATGGCGTTTTATAATGCCCACTGGCGGTATAATTCATAACTTCATGTTTACATGGTCTTGACTCCTAACATACCATTGCATTATTAATTTTTAGAATGCAAAAATTAGCTCAGGAGCAGAATGAAAACATTGAAAAAGTAAACCGTGAAAGGAAATATCATCAGGTGATTTGTCTTTCTTGTCCGTGCTTATCTGTTATTTTTTAAAACTCTATTAACCATTTAACTCAACCACCTTTTTTTGGTGATTATATTATCAGCAAAACACTGCATATGAGCTTAATGCTTTGTCCACACAATGGAAGGAACTTTGTCAGAAGAATATAGACATCCAAGCTGCATGTGCCTCAATTGAAAACCACATAAAAGAACTTAGAAGAGAAGCAGCAGAGAGGTGACTCTGCTATTTAAATTTTTCTCTATCATTATCTCATTTCAATTTCTTCCAGTACTGGAGTTATTTTGTTATTTCAGGGGCTGGAACCTGGATGGTGTTACTGAAAATGGCCCTATATTGCATTCAGAATCGTAGAGGTTTCTTGGAATGCTCATTCGCGCACAGTTTATACTTCATACCAGTTTCGTTTTTGTAATATTGTAATGAATATGTTGTGCAGCTACTTCATGCCAGTTTCGTTTATGCAATATTGTAATGAATATGTTGTGCAGCTCCCAATTTCTAATTCTTAATTTGATTGTTGCCGTACTCATCATGGTCAAATACTTTGCATTAGCCAGCTTTACCTTTTACTCTGCAAAGACTTAGGGAGCATGCTAGGGGTCGTATCTTTATTCTGCCTGTTTTCTTCATTCTGTCTTTCTGCCATGCATCCCTTTTTTTTTTTTTCTCGTTGGTTTTGGTGATGGAGACGTTCTTTTCTTTTCTTTTTTCGTTTTTCCCTCTTTTTTTTGTGTGTTTGTATTTTTTTTTTTGGTTGTTTTTGGGGGTGGCGGGATGCACAGTCACTATTCAGGCTGGCAGTTTTGGACTTCGGGGAATCTGTTTAGAATGTACTTTGCTCACTTGCTGCATTTTTGTTTCTCATTAAATTCAGCAATTGACTGCAAATAATGAGAGTTGTTCTTGATAACCAATCATGCCACAGGATCTCGTAACTACGTTGGTGCTTTCCGGAGCTTCAAATTGAAGAACGATTATGATCTTAATCTACAAATTCTCATCTTACTTATTCTACGATGCTAGGGGATTTTGGTGGCTCGGAGGGAGACGATTACCTGAAAAAGGAACAAGATCCTTCGATCTTTTGACATAAAATTCCCCATCTGGCTTGCCGCGTAGTGGGAATAGCACCCTGTCGACAGCTTTCTTAACTAGCGAGTCGCTTCCGATGCATTATGTGTAATGGAATTGTTTGTATGCTAATGAAAAGTTGTTCCATGGTTTGTTGAAGTGTTGTTGTTATTTTTTTTAATTGTGAAGCTTCGATTCATTTCTTTTTCTTGTGGCGTTAATAGAATTCATTATCTGGCACAGTCGTAGCGCATGATTGGCTAGGAGCCACGTGCTACACTAGCACCTTTGCACCCTTAATAGTAAAGAGGGTATTGACTTGATGGTTCAAACTTCAAACTCTAGAGTTGGTGTGAGGGTGCGTGTTATGGAGGACGGTATATACAAGTGGGCATATTTTTTTGAGAATGGAGAAGGCTCGGGATTTCTAGTATTCAGAAAAGGAAGCTTGGCTATGATTAAACCCCAACAGCCTGTATGATATGCTTGAAAGTATAGCGTGGGAAATTGAAATTGGCTCCCCTTCCCCTTTGGGAGGTTGAATTATGCTTCCCATGAATGAAGAACTGCTCAATTGCTGGACAAAGGGCTCCAAAGTCGAAGTTGCCCGTCCCCTCGTCTGACTTCTTTGGTCTCCCACTCCCCATCGAGCTTCAACCTTCTGATCGATGCCCCTAGCTTACCTCTCAGTCCTTCACTGCCGAACACTCTCACCCTCTTTTCTCAGCATAGTCTGTCGATGCTTCTGCCTTCTAATGAGCAAATAATAGTCTTTTGATTTTAAATATAAGATTTATTTTGTAATATAAGCATCATAAAATGAGTCTAATATTTAGAGTCAAAGAAAAAATGAGTCTTATATTTAGGGTCGAAGAAACAAAAGGAAAAATTGAGATAGAATGAAATGAGAAAAATAATGCTGTGGATAAATAATTTTTCTATCTAATGGGATTCATCTGGCATTCCTGTTTATTTTTGTTTGAAATTTGATATTAAAAATAACTTACGAGGAGCATCCTACGTTGCACGGAATATCATGCATAATAAAATTTGATTAGAAGCATTTACCTCAGTTACAAAAGCACTGTCCAGTTGAATCTCTTTTTGCAAGGGTTGCAAAGGAGTAATAGGGTACGCTGAATGGGGGGGGGGGGGAAAAAAGGAATGAGAATTTTTGTATGAGTGGCCAGAAAAGGGTGGCTGGGAAGGAAACAATAAAAAAATGAAAGAAGTCAGGAAGGGGGGAAAAAAAGGAAATTGCGGCTCGGAATTAATGATAACCATGTCAATGATAATAGGTATTCGGGCCACATAAAATGTTGTTCATACTGCAATGGCTATCGTCGTACTCCCGGCACCATCCCGTTGCTCGCTCTCCATTTCTCCGTCCTGTTTTCCAATCCAATCTCCATTTGTATTCTTGAGAGCGTCACATCGTCCCACTCTACCACTAACCTCGCTGCCTTTTCACCCTCTAAATGGGGTTTCTCTCCAAGCAACTACCACTTATATTGTTAGATTTCCCACACCACGAACCAGAGCAACCGTCGACGACAGAGATCACCTTACCTCAAATCCGATTCTTGTCGAGGAAGAGAAGCCCAAAAATGTATGCTTTTTCCTGTCCCATTGTCGCCCCACCCTCCCAAACCAAAAATTTGTCTTTGAATTTGTTCGTTAGGTTCAATCCTTTACTTTTTACATTCTGACCTCGACCTCAAGCTGTGAGTTTTGATTTTTCTCTGAATTTTATATATTGTTCAGGAAGTGGAGGAAAGTGTGAAAGTGCTGAAAAATGCAGCCAAGTCCAGAAAGGTAGCAACAGGAGATATTCTTTCTGCACTTTCGGTGATCGAGAAAGCCAAACTTGATCCTTCTGGTTTTCTTGAAATTCTAGGTGGAACCAAATCCCCTGGGAGAACGTGGATGCTTATTTTTACTGCCGAGGTTGTCAGATATTTTTGTGCGCGTATACATGCGCATGTGCATCATTCTGTTTATTGATGATTTATGCTTACTGTACTTATTTTTTGCTGAATCTTAGAAGCAAGTGAAGCGGGGTCGATATTTCCCTCTTACAGCTGTTCAGAGGTTTGATACTGCCGTAAGTCTTTTCCGAAGATCCTGTTTTAATCCATTTAGCATACAACTCTAATAAATATAATCAAGATCCAGAAAAAACCACTTCGTCTGCATTCTCACCTTCATTTTTTTGTTTTGCTTTGTTTGTACACATGCCGATTTGATACGGATTAATCAGTCTATCTTCCATTAACGTGTTTTCTGCTTAACTTCGAACTTTCGTTGCTGATTTAGCAAGTCATCGGTAGATTTTATAGTTTGTATCTGATGCATCTGGATAAGACATTTTAAATTCATATCTTGCTGGAGAATCAGATATCTCAATGGGCGAAAGAAACTGAAATAAAGAGACGAGTTATAATCTTCATTGATGAGAAGGAAAGAGAGGATATTGAAGCCTAGCACTGAATCTTGTGTTTAAGATGCATTTATCATCAGTCTTTAAGCTTACTTGAATCAAGCATTAGGCCTCAGTTATTACGCTTGATCATGTCATCCATATTTACCTTGATCAAGAACAAGAAGGAACGGGCTGTTTCTGCGTGTTAATAAGGCATCTAAGACTAAGCACATTCAGCAATGCCTATCTATCAGGCTAGTATTAGCACCAGTCATTTCATTATTTGGGAGCGCACTTGTGAAATCATCAATTGAAGGACAAATATGCTTACCCCTGATCGCATGTATCGAAGAGAGGAACAGCATAAGTCAGTTTTTTCAGTTGCTTTTGTTAACCATAGACAACTGAATTATCCTGTATGATTGCCAGGCGAAGAGGATTGAAAATGGGGTATATCTTGGACCAATAGGCCAGTTGACATTCGAAGGCAGGTTTTCATGGAAAAAAAGAATACTGAGTTTCATATTTGAGAACATCAGAATTAAAGTTGGACCTTTGAAACCTCTGGAGATCAGCTTGGGAAAAAAAGATGACAAGGAACCGAGTACCAAAGATCCTTTCTTTATCTGGTTCTATGTTGATGAGGAAATTGCTGTTGCTCGAGGCAGAAGTGGAGGAACCGCGTTTTGGTGTAGATGCCGCCGCGTCACTGCTTGATACATCAGGCCCAGCAGAACCATGTATTAGTTATGTTGTATAGTTCTTGTGTATAAGGAAACTTAGGGTTTCAAATATATAGTTTGAAGCAAAATTTCCGTATATCGGTTCCAATATTTACATGCTAATGGAAATGTTTGTGGAAAATACTTCAAACCTGTGCTGTCAGAAATGTTTCCGAAATTTGCGTGTTCGGGTTTAAGTTTTAGTTATGGCTTATTTTTAATGTGTCTTCTCTGGTGGGTTTCATTCTTTTCAGCGAGCAGTGTGCATATAGCAATCCAGCAAACCATAGGCGTCTTTCAGGTTGTAAAAATTTGACTACCTTACCTTCCTGTTTATCATCATAAGCAATATATTAGCCAAATGATGGATTGGAGCTTCATCATCATAAAATATTTATTACTGTATTGCGTGCTTGCTTCATCTTCTTGCTTCGGAACTTCTTTAAAGTATTAAAATTTAAAGGTCTTTGACAGGAAGGATGAGTATTTCAATCTGGCAGTAAGGATCTACTTCTATACGGGACCTGACATGAAATTGTTCTTCAAGGTTCTGTTGTTACTCCTAATCGTGACGAACTGTTAACCACTGCCATCGGTATATGTTTATACAATTCATTTCTCATATATCAAGGGGATAAAGAAAGCAGATCTTGCAAAGAAGCTACTCGTCCCGTGGAAGTTCTCATTAGTCCATAATTCTGTATCCCCTTTATGTATGCTGGCTGCTGAGTACACAAAGACATGCTATAGTATAACATAACATAGTTACAGGCAAATTTGCAATTAAATGTCATGTTCTGTATATTAGAGGGAGAATTTTATTTAAAACGAAGAAGAAAAAGGAAAAAAAAAAAACCAACAATTGTAATTGTAAATAATGATATCTGCATAAATGGAGTCCTCACAGGCCGGGCCGCAATCAAGTAATAAAACGTGAGGAGCTGATGAGCAACTATTTAACAAGTTTGACGTCTGGATTCCTCAAGGGTTTGAGCCACATGTCAGCCACGATTCGCGAGGAAATACTCCACAACAAGTCTTGCCCTTTGGACAATTGGTGCTTCCCCTTCTTCCCTACCTTCCCTAACCCAAATGCAACCAACCATTGCATCCCAGTTAGCCTTTGCTTCTCACTGTCCCATCCACTTTTCTTCCTTCCACTTCTCAGCTTGACGCCTCCCACATGCATGCTTGTTACTTTGAATCTCTTGTCTTCACCATCACCATATTCATTACCTTCTGGATCAGCACTTGTTGCGTTAATAAGTACTATGACAGGGCCTCCGACTGCTTCATACCGTCTTACTGGATCCCGAAGTTGGACGACCATTATCAGGGCAATGTTTGCTACTTCTCTTTGATCGTTGATCCATTCTTCAAGTGAAACTGCAGAAGCAAAAAGATCTTCTACGCTACTGCCTCCTGTCTTTGTGCTCAGTGGCGACACATCAAAAGGAGCCTCCTGCTCGGCCATGTCAGTTTGAATTTTCAATGCCTCAACCGCCATGGACTCAATCTTCTGCAGTGAGAATGCTAGAATTTGCTCTGCTGTTAGCGGGTTTTCATCCACATTCCAAAGTCCTGTTGAAATTCTCTCCTTCCTTCCGTCACTCATTGCATTTGCCATGTTTTTCAGGGCAGAAACTATACGAGCAGCGCTTGAACTCGCTCCTTCCTTGTTTCTTCCTTGTATAATGGCAGAAGCAATGCCTTCAAAAGCTGTCTGCTCTGCGGTTTTACCCATCAGTTCATCTATGGGCATTAAGGTGAAAACATGAGAGCTTAGTTCATCTAGCTCCATGCTAGCCAGTTTCTGAAATAACTCAAATCCACTCGAGGACTGATTCCATGGTAACACAAAAGGCTTTGACATCTGCATTGCTAGCTTTGGAGTGTCTTTTCTAGCAACAGCATCATCTAACGGATTCATAGAAGCCAAGTAACCCCCATCTCTTGTCTGAACTACACAACCCAAGCCCTTACCAAGATCGGGAAGATACGCTTTGGACTCCTCATCTGCAGCATTCTTTTGCCCTTCGAGTTTTGCAGGAGGAACTCGAGGTTGACTGGTTTTGTAGTAGTATCCACTGATCTCTTCGTCCTCAAGCATTTGAAGAAACTCCCTTGTCACAGTTTCTTCATCTGCATCTAATCTCTGTGATTCTGTATCATCCTCGGTTTTTAAAGCTTTAAAATCTTCTCCCATCATAGACTCGAGAGCTTTTATCTGTTGTGCAATTGAATCAAGCTCGGTTAATCTTGCTAGGTTTAGGTATAATTGATCGTGCACTATTTCCTTGACCACCTCGCTTGAAGCCGACTTCATGTCCATTGATTTTTCAGATTCCGCTCCATCTTCTTCCTTCTCTTGAACTTCAACTCCTTTGTCTACAACCTCAAAATCGGGAAGATCAAAATCCTCCACCTTTGCCTTCTGATCATCGAATTTTCGGGCAGAGGTAGAGGTATCCTGAATTGGGTTTGGATCATCAAGATTCAGATCATCCATTCCCTGAATATCTACTTCTTCTCCTACCTGTGACTGTGAGGGAGTCCAAATGTCGCTTTTGCTCGTTATCCTCGGACTAGGCATGCTGAAGGATGTCTTCGATTGTTTGCGAGCAAAAGACGATGATAAATTTTTCAACTTGCTGGATTTTGTGTTCTCATCTTGGTTATAAATCTCAATCCCTCCGTCTTTCTCCATGATTTGGAAACCGAGTTTCACAACTAACTCTCCTCCTTTAGCCTTTCCAGAAAGACTAAAGCTCGTGTCCCATTGCCGAATTCGCGTGCCCTGTTGATTTTTCTCAATGGATTCTGCAATCAAGTGGCTCAAATCCGCGGAGCTTCTTCCGAAATCGAGCTCTTTAGCATCAACTGCAAATAGATAAATCCAAAACGGGCGTGGCTCGAATTTAAGCTTCTGCTTTCCACTTCCATGAGTGCAATAAACGTGGCATCTGATGAACAGAGTCTCCTCGAAATCAGCAGCTCCTTGTGCGACCCGAGATGGCATTGTCTGCACAGCTCCATCCTTCGTCTCCTTCTTCCTAACACAAACAGAAAGCCTGAGTCCATTCATTGAAGAAGGAAGGCCTTGTGCGGCGACAACTTCAACAGAAAACAAACAACTTAGTTTCTGCATTCCAATGTGAGAAAGAGCTCTCATAGGCTTCCAGCTCCAAATTCCTTTCTTCTCAGCCGAAGTTGATCTCTCATCCAACTTCTTGCTTTCTGGCCGAGTGGTTGCTGGTGCCGCTGCCTTGGTTTCCTCAAGCTTCGGCTTTGAGCGCCATGGGGACAAGGAGAGGCGGCGGGTACGAGGTTTGTTGATCGGTGTGCCTGCGGTGAGGGAAGTATCGGCGTCATCATCAGCTGAAGGGATTGAAGGAACTGAAGTTCGTGGAAGAGCAAGGGAAGCAGTTCTTCGGGTAGGAGCTGGCGTGGTGGAAGTGTGTGACTGGTAAAGGGATTGGCTTAGAGCCTCCAATTCTTCAAGAAGCTGGGCATTAGAATTTCTCTTGGCGTTGTATTCTGCGGCCATGATATGAATATGATATCGCAGAGAGAAGGATATGAGGAGGAGAAGGCAAGGAGGTCACATTGGCGGAGGGCTAATGAAGGTGGAGTGGAAGAAGGAGGGCTGCCATAAATGAGAAGAAGGAGGAAATGGGTGGTCCTTTCTGAACCAGGAAAATTGGATGGATCGAATTCGTGGAGATAGAAGATGAACGGTGGCATTCCGTTGTGCCGTGGGGAGTAAGACAAACTTGAAAATGAACACGCTTGCTGGTCCCATTCTATTTAATGTTTCTTCTCACTATTGACCTTTGTTTGCTTGGCGCTTTTTCTTCTTCTTTCTTTTACAGGAAACTGTAAAACTGCGAAAACAACATTGTTGAAGTTAAGTAAAGAAAGACAACAGTACAAGAGCCTTTTCTTTCCCGACAAAAATTTGGTTAAAATATATTAGTTTTTGTCTTAATTATAATATCTTGTTTGTAACAAGACTTTATTTGTAGATGAGACCTACAAACAATGTCTTATAATTAGAATCGAAAGTAACATGTCATAATAAAACGGCAAACGAGGAACGAAAAGAATTTTATTGATACTACAACAAGGTTAAAAACAAAAAAATTGATTCTACAATAGTCGTCAGGTGGCTAGAAAGCAAAACAAGTTTGACCAACAGCAAACACTAGACCAGCTCCATCTCCATCGCTGGAAAAAAGATCATGGCAGACTTCTCATGTATAGGAAAGTAATAGGTTAAGAATTTTATTATGAATTTATCTGAGTTTATCATTGGAATCCAACTCCCTCCGCTCTAGTATTATTTAGGAGCGAAAGGGGAAGATTAAGGACAGCGGCAAGTGAGAGTCTTGTGAATAAGCTACCCTTCTCATCTTATCTAAAGCCCGTGTGAAGAGTCGTAAGCGAGCTTTTTCTAGTTGCGTCTGCGCTGCAGGTCACTGTCTGTTTGTTGACGAGCCCTTCCAATCGAATTTATTTCTTGACTGATCACGCTCTCATACAACGAAGCTACCGGTGCCTATTGTTATTGGTTTTTCAAAAGTGACTTTTAGAGAAAAATTTGGCCTCAATTTATATGAAACCATTTTTTACGTGCTTTTTCAATATATCAAACTTTCTTATAAAAATAAAGGAATTTCTAAGAATATTCGAAGTTCAAATTAAAGTTCTAGTGGTTCCAAATTCTCATCGATAAATTACATAAATATTCTTCCTGTCTTAAATATAAGACTCATTTTATAATGTAATTTATACTACAAAAGAGTTTTATATTTAGAACTAAAAAACAAGTATAATATCAGCATTACCATAGTTTGTGTATATTTTTCAGTTCGTGCATATTTTAAGTGTGTTAAAATTAGATGAGTGGACACGTAAGCGCGCGTGTGCGGGGACAGTGAGCGAGTAAGTGAAGTATGGAAACCCGAAAAAGGACAGGCTGTTCTTCAATAAAGTGTCTACGTGAATGTTTAAGCTCTTTAATTGTTCGGCAATTGTTTATAGCCGTTGCCCCTCTCACGCTCCTCTCTCCTTTCAGCTGCTCGCGCCTCACTCTTTCTTGACCATCTGAAGTCTCTCATGGGTCCTTCAACGGCTTTATCGCATCTGTTGCTCTCTCTCTGCAAAACCCTAATTTGCTTGGAATGAACCACTTCTGAATTCCTCGTTTTCAAGTTGAATTTACCGTACTGCTTTTTCACTCGATAAGTAAACAAGAAAATGTCAGACGTCGATCCGTCCAAGAAAGTGGCCGATAGGTATCTCAAGCGCGAAGTTCTCGGTGAAGGTACCTATGGAGTAGTATACAAAGCTATTGATACCCAGGTAAGACGGACTGTGTTCTATTCATTCTGTTTATTTTTCTTTTTTCCTTCTTTTTTTAATGAACTAGATTTTGTGGAATTTGAGTAAACATCGATTTTTTTTTTTCCTTCCTTGCGAAAATCGAACGGGTGAAGAGGATTTGGTAGTGAAACATCATTCTTTTATCGTACTTGACGGGCTTCATTTGGTGTAAAGAAATTCGATGCATCGAAGGAAAGAAAACATATTGACAGAGAGCCCGACAATATTGTGAAAAGAGACTTATATATGCTTTCGTTTGTCTGTCTTCCAAAATTTGGTCCAGGCGGTTGTTTAGCTGAGGTTTAAACCGTTGTCTTGAGATTACTGCAAAATTGTACGTTGGTCACCGGGCATGAGGAAGCAGTTCTTGCTCTTTATTATGTGTCCGCGAGATTAGAGGAGAGAGAAGCTTGATACTTAGTTCTTTAGTCCTGGCTTCGTTAGTTATGGGTCTTCATATAAATTTCAACGACAAATCCATTGTTATATGACAATTTATCTTGTCTAGATATGAATGCATTCACGTATTGATGAACTGGCCTTTAATTCAATTGTGGTCGTAGTACCAATATCTTGTGTTGTTCTCAAAAACTGTACCTACTGCTTGAACAGACAGGACAGACAGTTGCAATTAAGAAAATCCGGCTCGGCAAGCAGAAGGAAGGGGTGAATTTTACAGCCCTTAGAGAGACTAAAATACTTAAAGAGCTCAAAGATCCAAATATTATTGAGTTAATTGATGCCTTCCCGCACAAAGGCAATTTGCATCTTGTCTTTGAATTCATGGAGACAGATCTTGAAGCTGTTATAAGAGACCGGAATATTTTTCTTTCACCAGCTGATATAAAATCTTACCTTCAAATGACTCTGCAAGGTCTTGCTTATTGCCACAAGAAATGGGTTTTGCATAGGTAGGGGATGTCACTGTTTTGGTCTTCACAAAGTTATTAGTTGCTTTCAAGTTCTGACCTGAAAAGGTTGCATCTTTCAGGGATATGAAACCAAACAACTTGCTGATTGGATCTAATGGACAGCTGAAACTTGCAGATTTTGGTTTAGCTCGAATCTTTGGGAGCCCAGACCGAAGATACACTCATCAGGTTTGCTTCTTTTCATATAATGGTGTGTTGACCACTTCAAGTGTGTAGGTTTCATGATGCTAGTACTTTTAGATAGTAGCCATTGGCAGAGAACTTGTGTCCTTAGAAATAGAACTCATAACTCTCACCACTATCATGAACTTCATAGTTCCTGCAGATTTTAAATGGTTAGAGTTCGCAAAATTGGATGGGGATGAGCCTTAGACTGGCTTGTTCTTCACTTTGTTATATGATGATTTTGTTTAGGTTTACTTTACAAGAAAGTATAGACTGCAATGCATTGGATTTCACTCTTAAATCTTGATAATTATAGCTTGACTTTCTGTGGAAGGCCAAGTCACAATTATATGGTTTATTTCCTATCGTAGATTGCCTTGAAAATTGGGAATATCAAGTGAGGAAATAAAATTTTAGAGATTTAACACTGGAGCATTGGGGTGATAGTATGCCAAGTTCCGGTTCATCCGTTTTATATTGTGGTTCTCTAGGTTAATCATATATTATGGTGGCTCTGAGAAGTGTTGTGCAATATGTGGAATCTGTAGGTAGTTTACTCTGATATTTCCATACATGAAATCTTTTATGCTTACATATGTCTTTTGCACTTTCTTTGATGGACCTAGATGCTTGAATCTCGTGCTAATTATATGAATAGGTGTTTGCTCGGTGGTATAGAGCACCTGAGCTGCTATTTGGTACCAAGCAATATGGTTCAGGGGTAGATGTTTGGGCAGCAGCTTGTATATTTGCTGAACTTCTTCTTCGTCGACCCTTTTTGCAGGTGAGCAAGATTGTTTTTGTGTCATTAAAAAGCCAAAAAGAAAGAAAGTCATGGTGACTAGGTTATTACATTTTATTGTTAATAATTGATGCTCGGAAGTAGATAGATTTTAATCTCACCAGTTTGCCTCGGGCTTTTCAACATTTTAAGCTTGTCAACTGGCTCAAATTATGGCTGGAATAAACCCTTCAAAGCTGTCTACTGAAATGAGGGCAGCTTAGAAGCTGTTAGCTATGGCGTTTATGGACATTATTGAGTATTGTTTCCACGTTCATTTTTATTCTTGCTCTAATGTGTTATATGGTTTTGTGTGCACGCCTTTTTTTCAAATAATTTGAGTATGTAGATATAATTGATTGATTGCATAGTTTTTTCCCGTAAACATTTGTCTCTTGAATTAAGCACAGTCCTTCTAATTTTTTTGTTTCTTTGTTGTTAACATTTGCTAGGGGTCAAGTGATATTGATCAATTAGGTAAGATTTTTGCAGCATTTGGAACGCCAACTCCTTCTCAGTGGCCGGATATGGTATACCTTCCTGACTATGTTGAATACCAACATGTTCCTGCCCCCCCTTTTCGTTCTCTATTTCCAATGGCAAGTGATGATGCTTTAGATCTGCTGTCAAAGATGTTTACATTTGATCCAAAAGCTAGAATTTCAGCTGTGCAGGCATTAGAGCACAGGTATGTGCCTTTAATACTTGATAAGAAATCAATGACTTCCTTTTATTCCTAATTTTGTCTTTCCCCTTTCTCATTAGGTACTTTTCCTCAGCACCTCTGCCCACAGAACCATGCAAACTTCCTAGACCTGCCCCTAAAAAGGAATCTAGGGTTTCTGATTCCAATCCACATGAGGGTCCAACTGTACTATCACCTCCAAGAAAGTCTCGGAGAGTGATGCCAGGACGTGATAGATTTGAAGAAAATTCATTGCGAGGAGACAGTGTTGGTAACTTCAGGCAGCCTGCTGGTGATAATACAGGAAAGAATGAACCAGCACCAATGTCAATAGATTTTTCTATCTTTGGATTAAAATCTCCAAATAGACCTACAATTAACAGGTATATTGATATAGATCATTCAGGAACGTCATGACGGAGAGCATAAGACCGATGTTTATTGTTACCTCCTTCGTTTCCTAGTCTGGCATAATTATTTATTTCTAGTGCATGTTCATTGCAAATTTAGTCGATGTGATGCCCTGAACCAAATGAATCAAATCACACAGTCCTTTGAAAGTAACAATAACTGTATGCAGCAGTTTATATCGAGCTTCCGTGTTAATCTGTAGCCTTTGATATCTGATTAGGATCCAAGTTTGGTGGTGTTTCATATGACTGTTCTCTATGTGGCGGAAGCTCACAATCAAATGGCATACGGCGATGCCAATCTTGAACTTGATTCCATCTTTTTGTTGTAGTTAATAAAATTGCAATGTGTTGGATGATTGTTTCTTTTAATTTCTGCTTTGTGTTTGATGTTAACTAACTTTTGTTCCATCGTATGGATCCGCAGTGCTGACAGATCACATTTGAAGAGAAAATTAGATCTAGAATTCCAGCAGCCAGAATGAATATTCTGACTGGAGCTGTTTATGCGAGGGACACAACCGGGGAAGTCTAGTGGATAGTTGGACGCTTAAAAGGTGTCCCATGGTGTTCCCGGCCAAAGCTACTTTGGATTTGTAGATGTTCAAAGGAAGAAGTAGCAGCGGCCGTATATTGACTTCGTACTTGATTTCAGTCCTGACACCTAAAATTGATGTTACAGGAAAAAAAAAATTAAAAGTTAGATGCAGTACACTTGGGCTCTCCTTCTTCTTCTTTCTTTTTTTTTTATAAAAAAAGTAACACTTGGGCTCATTGTTCTTCAAGTTTTTGTTTAACGTTTCAGAGAATTTGTATTTTATAATGGCGGGAGGGCACTTAAATCCTTCGCTCCTTGCTCTGTCGTGGGGAAGTTGTACTCGACAAATTTCTAAATATTTCCCTATGAATAACATTCATAGTTGTCTTCTTACAGTTACTTCCATTCTCATCCGCTCAGATTTTCAAACATTTTACACTCTCATCCGCCAAGATTTTCAAACATTTTACGGATCATCCATATATATTCGTTCACTGTAACAGCTAAACCAGGTTTTTCAGCAATATCTGATTGAAATTAAAAGCTAGCAACATCAACATATTCAGTTCCGGCACCAGATTATCTAAGGCCAAACATATTCAGTTCCACATACTTTTTGTGGCATGTTTATGCCATTTCAATGATGAAAGGTTTTGCGTTCATGAGACTATGTCCTCTATGGTCGTTGAATCATACACTCTATCTTTAGCTTTCACCGCCTGAAAGAATTGGAGAGAAAAACTAAGCACATGCCAAACAAAAGAAAAAGATGAACAACACGATAAAAGCCTACCTCTTGGTCCCAATCAGAACGAATAGTTATTGTCAATAATGATAACACTTGAACGAGGAGTGCGCTTATGATCCCCAACCAAAGTCCCTACACATTATTGCAGTTGCAGCAGAAAACAAGAAATCAGATTGTTGCATTTTATTCAAGGTTTTTTTTTTTGGGGGGGGGGGTATTGAATTCTTTTTTGATAAAATAAGCAAACATAATATGCTATGAAAGAAGGGACTTCACCTTGCCACCAATGTGCAAGACAAAAGCAAGCATGACAGCCAATGGAATCCCAACCAGATAGTATGACCCAAGATTGACAAAAGCTCCAATTTTCTGCCAACCGCACCCTCTTGCCGTGCCTACATTAGAGTTACCAAATGCACATTACCACTTGATCAGATTTTAGAATAAGTAACTCTCACCCAAACACATAAAACAATTGAACAAGAAGAACCTGAAAGAACACATTGGAGTCCATCCACAAAGTTGGATATAGCAAGAATTGGCATCATGGTTGCTACGTATTTGACTACTTCGACTTCGTTACTGTAAGCATTTCCCCAAATATTGCGTACTAGTATCAGCATCGTTCCGACTAAGATGCCCTCAATAATGGCCATTACTAGCACAACACGCACTGCTAATCGAGCAGTACGCGGATGGCCAGCTCCTAGTTCATTTGAGACACGAGTGCTGCAAATAAGAACATGTAATATTTAACAGATGTGGATGCTACTTTAACTTACAATTCTGAGACTTCATGAGCACTACTCACCTTACAGCTCCGCTGAGTCCAAAGGGAATCATCCATACAACTGATGCCGTGTTAAGGCTGATAAGATCGTAATTAGATTGATCCAATGATTAAAAACGTCAAGTAATTATAACAATTGTGAAGGGTGCCCAAATTCGAGACAAAACTAACCAGATGGAAAGCACTGATGTTTCCAACTTTGGATTTGGAAGCAAACCAGACAAGAGAACCATCATTTCAAATGACCACGCTTCCAAGCTGCGCATGAGGCAATGTTAATCGATCAGAACATGAAAATCTCAGACTACAAGAAAAGTCTAGTAGTTCGTGAAAGGGAAAGTAGTTATCAGCAATGATTTACTGTAATAAATCGTTAAAAATAAATAAATAAATTACCAAACCATAACTGCTGAAGGAATGGCAAGTCTAAAAAAAGTGGGAATTCCATGCAGAGCCTCTTTTGAAAAGCCCGGCCAAGCTTTAGCACATGATGGAGAAAACTTCACATACAACGAGAGTATCAAAACATTAACCCAGTAAGATATAGCATTCGCCAAGGCAGCTCCCCTACTCCCTAGTCCAGATTTGAATACCATAATGTAACACAAAAGAATATGCAGTAAAGTAGTAACTCCAGAACTGAACATCATTGGAAATACTACATTTTGGGATTGTAAAAATCTGTTGAGGCATTGCAGAAGACCATAGGCAAAGAGGCACGGAATCATGAAATTGGCATACTGTCCTGCTTCAGCAGATATCTCAGGATCTTGGCCTAAGGCAATTAGAATGGATCCTGTTTTCGCCCAAACAATGGCTAGGGGAACGCTAACAATCATAAGAACTACCATGGCTCTCTGCATGTGCATCCCTAACTTGCGGTGCTGCTTTGCTCCATATGATTGGCCACATAAGGTATCCAATGCACTAGCCATTCCTACCTATTTGAACCACGAAAGAAAAACATCCAAAGATATAAGTATTTGGCATCAGAAGTTCACATAATGCCAATAAAAGTCTCGCTATGAGATCAAGATATTTGTTAGTTATTGTTATTGATCAGATATTAGTTTGGATCTGTAATCATGACAGCTATCTCGTATATCAATCGGCAACTTGTGTATTTTAATCACCAGCTTTGGTCAAAGCCTTTATGATAAAGCATTCAGAGAAGTTTTCGGGTTTTGCTATATACTAGGTCCAGTTGACCAAAATGTATAGCTATGCTTGTAAACACCAATGCCAAAAAGAAAAGCAGTAATTAGGACTCTTTGAATTAAATTATGTCAGCCAAATCGAAGCTAGGAGTGACCCAACTCACCAATAAGCTGAAACCAGTTACTGATGCAAAAGATGTTGCCATGGAAGCACCGGAGAGCGCCAGCTCGCCTTGATGCCCGACGAACATGACAGATATAACTTGTAAGCAATAATTTAGTACATTTACAGATATCAATGGCCCTGCTAACCATAATTGCTTTCTTACTTCTTCAAAAACCTGAGTTGTTTCTACTCTTTTTGGCTTGTTTCGCTTTATGTCAGCTTTGAACAATCCATCTTCCCCTGATATTTGAATCAAAGGAGAACTTAGAGTTGTCGTTTGGTTCTCGCTCTCCATTTCTTTGATCAGAGCGAGGGGAGACAGACGAGATATTAAATACGCTGCTCCTCTGTATTCTTATAGTCTGATTAGAAATCCAGAAACTTGATGCCCAAGTCGCTGGTAACTAAGAATAGAAAAAAAAAATATTTTTTTAAGTTCTATTTCAATCATGGATGCCATATTATATACCGTAGAGGTTCAAAGATGACTGCAAAAATTTCAAGGTCTCATAGCTGTCCAAAGTGCGGTGAATAGAGCATGGGATAGCGAACTGAGTTCCTTTTCCCAGAACAGATATATAATAATGCTCTTTGGCGCCATCTTGTCCATGATAGGTCGCTGACGACAAATCTTGTCCGCGTCTGATTCAAAGACAAATGACGCACGTCTGTGTGGAAATATGATAGAGCGGGACACAAAATACAATTGTTTTGGTACGCCAAAATATATTCTTTTATGCTAAAAGCATGCAATTTGCAGAAAGAGCCAACATATTACGTTTCGGAATCGCGGAGGAGTACATAGATTTTGTCACACCTCCTTAGCTTGGCCTCATTACCCTCTTGTCCGCATTTTTAATACAGAAATTCTCTATATGACGCTTTTTAAAAAAAAAAATCATGCAAGTTATCCACGCACACAGATCCGTTCTCTGTTATTAGAAGTGCATGAATGGGATGTTTTAGTGGTTGATTGTCTTTGATGGGTGGGCTGGTAAAGAAGCAAGGACATATTGTAAGGGGGAAATGACAATTGAGAACCAAAAGAGAGAATTGATTTAATTTTAGGACCAAAAGATGTGAAAACCTTAAATTAGGACCAAAATTTCTTCAATGATTTGAGCCCAAAATAAATCTACTAGAATGTCTTACTATAAAAAGGGGAATATGAGTTACAAATTGTTACACTGAAAGTTTCAAATAAAGAAAAATTAGTATCAAATGCCCTTACTATAGTGGTCGTTAAAACGTAAGTCTGAAAAGCAGCAGATATGTTTTTATACACGATTTCAGATGTACATGTCTGTCACATAGAGCACATGGAGTCATGCTTCAGTAACTCCAAATCCAACCGACCTTGTAATCAACTTGTAGCATTTTCTCTTCAATGAATGAGCAAGCCTTGTCCTTAAAAGCCAGCTTAGCTTGATCCCTTGACCGAACTAACTATCTTAAATATATTAATAGATAAATCACTTTGGTTTACAAGTTGAGATGCTGCTAGGAGATCCTATAGCAGACCTCTGCAGTATCAAGCTGTCAACAGATAGATATGTCACGGTATGTCTTTGGGAGCTGCACCACTTTCACCACTGAGCAAAGGCTTCGTCACCGACGTTTCTTCTGAGTTGGCAAATCTCTTCTCGTTGGTTTTTCCCCATAGCACCAAGTAGAGCCCAGGCACTATAAGAATTACACCCACAACCCTGCGTACAAATAAATAGGAACCAACCAGTTAGAATGTTTTGTGATTTGCGCAAAGGTAAATAAGAAACATTTTAATGATATTTTTGGTCATATTGCATAAGATTTTATGCATACCCTCCAGAGTATAACTGATCTCCAAAAATAAGGGCTGCCATGACGCCAACTATAAAGGTTTGTAGGGGCTGGAAGACTGCCACAAACACCGGGCCACTCTTTTGAATACACCATGTCTGGACAGATACCACAATGCCGGATGTAACAACACCCTGAAATGATCACGAAAGGCTGAATTGTGTTTCACTTTAAAAATGGCAGCAATTGGAGAATTTGAAGAGTATGATATGGAAGTATGAAGTGATGAGTATTACAGCATATAAAATAGTGAAAAGTTCCTCTGCAGATTGTATCTTCCAACGCTCCCAATCAGTTTCTACAAAGGCTGCTATCATCAAGAACTGGATCACTCCAAAGAAGCATGTAAATGACGTGAGTGTTAGTTTTGCCGGATACTTCTTCAGCATAGAAGCCTACACAATGTGGTTGATTTACAACTTGGGTTACAAAAATGATAATGGAATGAGTTCAGCTTAGATATTACTGTATTGACAGCATCAATGTATTCTATATATAGGTATTGCCAGACCTGAAAAACCATCCAAGCAGCCCATGCTAAACAATTTCCAAGCAAGTATATGCAACCACAAGTCCAGTTTTGCATATTTCTTGAAGCCTGGTCTACTGCTAATATATATCCTTCTATTTGGTGCATCTGCAGGTGCAGAAGAGGAGGGCCTTTGTAAAGAATAATTATAGTGGCTCCCCCTACACACGCGATTGTTCCCAGAATTTTTGCCAATCCATCTCTCCTTGTCGCGTTGACAGCCTCAAGTCTGGTGGAGCATTGAGAGTTGATCATAAGATTATCAATAGATTTAAACAAAAAATGATAGAGATTGTTACTAGGATATTCGAATACCTTAAAGCTGATGCCATCACAAAAGTGATGGCAGGAACTGAGTTTTGCATTGCAGGAGCAAGAGTTGGAGATGCATAATATAATCCCAACAGGTAAAAACCTTGGTTTGCCGTGATCCTGCAATGACCAATGAAAAAGGCAATATTAGAAACTGTAGGAAGCAAAAGAAAGTGTGGAGAACTGCAGCTTATTTATTTGCATTACCCCACCAATGCTAAAAGGAAGAATTGAGCCAGTAAGGATATAGTAAGGGGTGGTCTCTGACTCCTGATTATAGACAAACATTTTCCACGTTAATATCCACACGACAGAGCTATAAAATAAGCTGAAAAGCAAGAATAAAAAAGTACTAACAATAATGGTGAAAACATCCGGAAAACTCACTTTTCAAAGAAATAAGCAAGCGGGCTCAACAAAAGCAGGGCAAGTAAGTTTCTGTAAACGGGGTAAACAACTTTGCTGACACCTATATTGAGTGCCAGTCTAGAGACAATATGAAATACTGCAAGGCAAAACTGAAGAGCAAGCAACACCCAAATAAGCTTCACTCTTTCTGCCACAAGAACTCCCATTCTTCTTATCTTGTTAGAGCAACTTAGGCTTTTTAATGAGGAACAATGACCAAGGAGTGGTGCTTATATACAAAGAACACTCTTAAAGTTGAAGTATTTAAATTGTGTGTGTCCACACATATATATATGTATTTTCCTTTTTACAATTGATATCTCTAGTTAGCTAAAACAATTGGAGCCTCAACTAGTAGTTACAAAGGCATGTGCACATGCAGCATAAAAGTTATCTTTAAGCTCTATATTCTCCATATGATATACTTTTGATTTCATTTGCTTGTTGACTTTTGTTTAAATATTTCGGAGGAGACAATATCAAAGTGGACCATGTTAGCCAGGTATTTAGAGAGCGGCCAACCTCGGTCATTTGTTTGATCATGTTCTTACCATTCCCTTGTTCCTGTGAGATCATCGTCCCATTTATCTGTCATTACAGAGCGTAATCAAACTATAATTCTCTTGATTGCTATGATTTTCATGCAACAAAGAGTGAACCGTTTGTCGACATGATATTTGAAGTCACATAATGATAATTATGATGTCGATTGGCTGCTCTCTACAAACAGAATGAGATGATTCTTGTGAATGCAATTCGTCAAGTGAAGGAGGAAGACCAAGAATGGGAACCAAAGTGTGGCATCCCGGAATCTTGTCCGCTTTCACGAATTACAATTTTATCATTAATCGTTCTTCTTTCATACAATTGTGATATGTTTATAGACAAATATCTTAATCAGTACATCAACTAGATCTTGAGAGAAATTTTTTTGAGTTGATGTGCTTATTGGTGAAGCTGCATAGATTGTTCATGCAGGTCTTTAACTCGTATTAAATCCTACAAGATCCACTTTTTAAAGTGCGAGGATATTCCTGTTTGCCTGTTTTGTCACAGGGGAGAAAAAACAACTGTTTACTTGGATTGTAAAATGACTACTCAATATGAGGTTTATCATGTAGGGCTCATGATTTGCTCTGACCCGACTGTATTTTGATTTTTTGTGTCGCTTCATTGTGACTTTTCTACCCCGGGGGATATATAAATTATTTTTATTCTTGTTGGGGAAAAAAAAGGTTTATTCCCATCCGGATAGTGAAAATTTCACATGTATTTAAGGACCTGTTCTTCAACTATTTAAAAGATTTAAAACACAATATTGAAACACTAGGAAAAATCACTGATAAATTAATCACTTTGAAAAAAGGTAAATATACTTGTTTGATGGTGTAAATAATATTAATAACATGTGCTTAACTCGTTGTAACTTAGTGATATAGGAGGTCGTGAATTCAATTTCGTTTATAATCTTAAGTGTGTCTCGTCCCATATTGGAAAAAACAAAAACAAAAACAAAAAAAGAAAGAAAATTGATTATTCCTCATTCCTCAATGCACACAGCGTTTCGCTAAATTGCTTTTATCTCGGCCGAGGGGATCTCCTAGTAATACTTGGGCCTTACTCTGTGTAGAGCCCAATCCTGTTTTGCCCCAAACACCTCCTATGGGCTAGGGCCCAAGCTCTCTCTCTATATATACTACCTCTAGTCCTAATTATAAAAGCTAGTTGACTAATTTGAGAAAACTAAAAAAATAAGTTGAGTTAGTTATTTGTAATAAATAGGTGTTGTCTTTTCTAAAATATCCTTACTAATCAAGTATGTTGAAGGACTATCTTAAAAAAATATACAAATATTAGAGACAAAATGGATTGAAGTCTAATATTTAGAATCAAAATAAAAGTCAAATAAGATTTTATATCAAGAAGAAGTAATATATTATATTAAAAAGAATTAAAAATTGGCTCGCTCCCGCGCGCCTCATCGGACGCGCATAACTGCCTCGAAGACTAGTTGATTGGTTGTTAATGCGATGATCTCAAGCTTGAATTGGCAGACAAGAAGGACCTTTAACCAAAAAAAAAAAAAAGACTTGGAAAACTGCGTCATCGTCACATCTTCAGGTGTGGTCAGGAAGTTGGATCATTGGGTAGCTTACCTGGAGATAAGTTTGGATCGTCTGCCAATTTTCATCAACATCGCCTTTGGATTTTCTTTAGTTTCTAATGCTTCTTCCGGATCATCTAAATACTTGTCCTCTTAAATGAAAGATACTGCGCCAACTCTGAGTTACGAAGGAGTCTTAGTTATGTCGGCATGCCTTTGGAAGAGGGTCCATGCATGAAATAATTTGATGTGTTTTTCACTTGCGAGGTGTATATTTCTGAACGGGGAATGCTTGGGATTCTTGCTGAATGAATCTTCTGTGGTTTTAAAATCAAGCTTCTAGAAAATATCGCTGCTTTCCGGCCTTAAAAGCGGAGGATGAATATGTATTTGAAAGGGTGATACGATTGTGATTAAAATAAGACTGCGATTGGGATGTAGCAAGTGAAAATCCTTGACTACAATCAACGGCTTGGAGGCTTCATCTAATCACTGCCCAAATTGATGTAATCCCAGCGTGGCTCTTTGCCGAAAGCATGCGATAACTGAAGGTCCTTCCATGACATGGAAAGCACATTTGCAGCCGCGTCTAGCATTTCAAAGGACGAACTTTGGATGATTGAAGCAAGCGTTAGAAAACTTGAGAGGACCTAGCGAAGTTGGTGAAAACTTGAAGACGGTTTTAAACTTATTTACGGTTAAGCAATGATAATCCGAAGAACAGAACGCATCCCCTGGCTATGCTCAGAGTATGGATGGCGTCAATAAGCCTGATATTCCTCTGTAAGTCAACAACGCCTTTAAACGTATTACGATTATTTTTAGAATTTGTAACTAGTGGCAACATGTGATCGTACCATTTGGAGATCCCTGTCTACTGTAGTATGATATCTATACAGATAGCCAAGGACGGAAGTTGAGCGTCCATATCATGTTTTTGTGCCACCGGCTCTTCCTGTGTTCCTTGCTGAGAACATACCATGTTTGGTTTCCGTACACTATGCTGTTGCGAGTCCTTCTGAATAGTCAATAGCCTAAATACATAAATTGGCCATCATTAGTATTACTCACCGATGAATGTGCCTGTGTCTCATTAATATCTGAGAAGGGATATGGATAAAAAGTAGCAATCCAAGGTGTTTTTCTTAACCTCGATTAAGTGCTTCAAGACTGTTTATTCTGCTGAATGAAGTTGCCTCCTTAATAGTTATAGACTACCAGGGAAATTTGTCTTGAGTTGTATATTGATGTATTTCCAATTTTTGGTGGTCATTACTTTGATGGACATTTTCTTCTTTTAATAAACCCCAATATCAGCTGTTCTGCCCTTTTGTATGTTTTTCATGCGTACACAGATATTTATAGTCTACATCAGGACAAGCTAAGTTCTGAATACTTTATCCTCCCTTTGTGTTTTGACTGAAGCAAGTGCAATAGTCTGTGCCTGTCTTAGGAGATTCGAAAATCGAGAAACCCATTTGAAAAATATGGATGATGCTACCCTTAATTTAAAAAGTGAACAAATGCAGTTACTTGAAACTGCATTGTTGCATTAGTAGCCATGTGATTTTTGTTTTTCTTCTGAATTAAACAAAACTTATAATTTTTTTTGTGCGAATGGTATTGCTGGGACACTTTTTCTTATATTCTTGGACCGATCACTTGATTTCAGTAGTGATTGGTTGATCAATTTACAACTCAACTCCAGCCTTCATTGATTATGTTCCTTGTTGTAGCTGTTTGAGAACCTAGAAATTGATAACCTTGCATAATGGGCGGTCCCGTTCTTGCTTTTTTAAGCAAAAGATATTTATTTCTTGCTTACATGATTGGCATATAAATTTTCAAGCTATTAAATTTAGGGATATGTAAAAATCAGAGACAACTGTCTCATCTTGCTTTGAGATAATGATTCCCCTTCCCCCTTTTCCTTTTCTTTGCTTTGATGTAGTAAATTGATGAATTGACATGATCATTTAGGTTTTGGCATAACAGAGTTTGCACTGCCTTTTTGTACTCAGGTGCACAGCATGCCTTTGATAACGATTCTGTTACAGTGCCACAAATTCAAAAACTGATCCTAAATAATCGTTGTTTGTTGAATTCTGCAGGGACTACTTTGCTACGACTGGGGAATTGCTGCAATTCTTCGTGAAGAGCCTGGGTCTCTTATTGAGAGTCTCTTCGAAAGTTTTGCCAAAACTTGACAGCATTGTACTTTGTTCACAGAATTAGGTCGCTGCAATTCCTAACACTGGGCAGTAAATTATTTTTAGTATTCTCTTTACTGATAGATTGAAGTCACAGCAATTGGCTCGTCTAAACCAACTGTCCCGATGGCAGATACATGATGCGCACCGCCCTCTCCTTGTGTACGTTATGTGCTTGCTGCATGAATCTAAATTATATGTCTAATTTTGCCTCTTATTTACTAATCAATAGTTCTGGATTGATGCTGCAGAAATTTTTTCAACAGTCATTTGTAATTTCTTTTTGTACTAATCAACAGTTTTGAGCATCATTAATAGAAAATAGTTTTGATTGCTTTTAAGTGTGATTTTGGCTTCTGGCACTCGCTGGGGATTCGGTTTTATGAGTTCTTCCACTCTTGATCTAACATACATGTTTCTTGTATTTTCTTGCTTTGTCCAAGGAAAAACGCTCATAGCTGCATTTAAGTCAGCGAGGATACTGGGAGTAGCCATAATGATTGGTAGCAAATTTGAATCACCTATTAGTATGTGTTCATGATCATAATTCATTATTTGGCAACCATCTTTGGAAATTTCTGTTTGTTTTGTAGCTTGGTATCATTGGCGAATCAGAAAGTACATATGGTATACATCAGTTCCTCTTTCAATTCTTTTTTTTTGGGAATAAAGTAGAAAGTATTTTCCCTTTCAATGATTATCTGATTGAATCAAGGGCATAATAATGTGCTCATGTAGGAAGCTCAGAAACATAGAAAACATTCAATGAGGTAGGGATACTACTAAGACTCAATTATAGTTACTTATCTTGGAAAAAATAAATTTACTGTTACCTAGGACTATATCCCAACTTATGATATGTTATTTTTATTATTATCTATAAACACCTATTTTCTTAAATTATAAATAGTGTCAGCGTAATTGCCATGCAGTATTTACTTGTTACAATCTGTATCTTCTTGGCATAGAATTGCTTTCGAACTTACATCAAGATCGTCTATCTCATAGGTTATAGTAAAAGAAGTGGATTGATGAGGTTTGTTCATTGCATTACGCGGTTCTTGTTAAATTTCAATAAATCGACTTTCTTTATGCCTCCTGCTAAAGGTTTACTGGTTCTTTGTACCTGCACGTGGGGACTTGAAAAGCCCCTCTACAACCACCCTCGGAGCTTGGGCTTCGAATGTATTAAGATGCCTGCAACAATCTGTTTAGTCATGACTGATGCTGAGGGCCTTGCACTTTTCTTGTTTAAAATGCACAAAAGCATGACTAGTTTTTTTCTGTTTGTCAAATGTATTATGTCGATTGATCTGCATGCTAACTTCCTGCCCAATGTTTCTCGCGTCGGTAAACACTCGAACAACTTTCACTTCCCTTGCTTAAATTTGCTTTTGTTCAATGATAGCATGCCTTGGAATCCGTCATTTCATAAATGTATTCAGTCAAGTATCTCTGTCAATGTCAGTATGCTATTCAAGGGGCAAAGCTAGGGCGTGTCAGAATTAGGTCAGTGTCTTACTGGGCTGCTGGTTGATGAAACCGTGTCTTTTTTTTTTGTTTTGTTTTGTTGTTAGGCAACTATGATTGAAGAAATGTTGTGCTAGCAAAACTATGCATGATGTTGGTTAAGTTGAAGAAGTGATTGTTAGGAGAATTGTCAATTCCAGCCCATATGATTTTAATATATTGCAGTGACCACCAAAGAGTCATTTCTCCGTACAATGGGGTGAGGCATATTTGACAGATTCAACGTTGCGGCCGATTGACAGTGTGAGTTATGTTCGTATGGAGCTTCATTTCTGAGGCCAGAGAATGATGGCTGAGCTTGCTTAATGCGCATATTTGAATAACTCTGTTGTTGGTCGTAATCTGGACGGAGGTTGCTGATGATTTAGATGTCATGTATTGAAGAGTCAATAATTAGGGGAACTGATAATTGAGCCTTGCCATCAGTGTGATGGGGCCATGCGAAGCAGAACCGGTGGAATCTGTGCTCCAGGCAAATTTCACGGCTATGAGAATTAGAATGATGAGGCACCGTTGATATTGGGAATTTTGAGCATAATGCTTGTTGTACCCATCAGCTGCCCTTATCCACTAAATCCAGTAGCGTCAAGCTGATCACCTCTGAGCCGGTGGCGGAGGGAAGGGGGACTGATGGTCGCCATGACTTTCAAGATTTTAACATTTTCTCAGCAGTAAGTATTACTCCTCCCGTCCTAAATATAAGACTCATTTTATAATGTAATTTACATTATAAAATGGTACTATATATATTTAAGATCAGAGGAGTATTATACTAACTTCCTCCTTATTTACTTTTCTCCATAATACCCTTAATAGAAGGAGGTATCAAATAGACAAGCAGAGGCAGTTAAAATTTAAAGTACCGTAACATTGAATGAAGAGCAAACTAAAAAGAAAAACAATAATTCTTACGTGATACGTTGATTTTTTTTTTTTGTAGTCGATGTATTTTTTCTTACAAGAATAAGTAAGTGGAAACGGAATAAAATTTATACAAACTTTATATTACCTTCATTTCTTAATATAAGAGTTAGTTGATTAATTTGAATAGATTAAAAAATTAGATGAGATGGTTATTTGCAATAAACATGTGTTGTCGTCTCTAAAATATTCTTGCTAATTATGTATAGTAGTTAAAACTATAATTAAAATTTAACATTTACAATAACCATAATGACTACTTTAAAAAAATAAATATAAAATAAATAAATTAGATTATTATATTTAGGATTAAATTAAATACTCCTCCGGTCCTTATTATAAGACCCCATTTGACTTTTTATTTGGTCCTAATTATAAGACCCCAATCCATTTTGTCTCTTATATTTATGCATTTTTTCCAAGATAATCCTTCTAATAATGATAGTTTTAGCCAATATACTCAATTAGCAAGGATATTTTAGAAATGATAACACTTATTTATTATAAATAACCAGCTTAACTTACTTCCTTAATCTCCTCAAATAAGTCAATTGGGTCTTATAATTAGGACCGGAGGAGTACCAAATTAGTTTTTATATTACTTAATATTACATATGCTTTTCAATTCTAGCTCTGCGATTGGTTAAACTGGTTTTCACGCACACACCGTGAAAACAGTCGCATGGCAAAACTGCAGCTCTATAAGTGTAATTATCTCGAAATTTTGTAGAAACCCCCCTCCCCAAAAAAAAAAAAATCCTCATAATTTGCTAAAGTGAAGCTTGGAGTGTGCAACCTTTGGAGAATAAGATCCAAGAAGAAAAACTGGGGAAAGAAAGCCTGCAAATGAACGTCAGAAGTCAGAGCTGTGCATAAGCAGAAATCAGCATGACAGCGGCATCATTGGAAACGAAGAAAACGATGTATTTTTATCAACTTGCCCTACACACAAGATAATGGCAGCCAACGAAACGAAAGGTACGAATTCCAGTAATCAGATGCGGCTTCGTCATTGATTTCTGGAACCGTAAATTTCGGCTATGTTTTAGTTCGACGGTGACTGTCTGACTGATATATGCTCTTATTCATTGCTTATCAGGCTCCAACATTTCGTTATTATATGGATATCATTAGAAAGACTCTCTCGCTCAACCCTCTCTCTCCCCCTCCCCCCTCCATCTATCTCTATCTCTGCCCGGAAGGTTGATGGTGAGGGTATTTCTGGAAAACGGTGGGTTCAAGCATGTGGGAGGCATCATTGCTCCCAGTCTTAGCTTGAAGGAACCAGCTCCCAGAAATCAAGGAATCCAACATTTCTATGGAATATTGTGGATGCGGTTGGATGAAAAACAAACTAAAACACGCACGCACAAAATGTTGGTATGAATTAAAGAGCTAATTAATTGTTCTTTTCTGGGTCTCCATGAATTGAACCGAACAAGTCCTTACTTTTTATTAACCATATCTCTCTCTCTCTCTCTCTCACACACACACACGTGTGCAAATATTTCTCAGAATATATTGGTTTGACATGAAATATATTCTTTGTTTCCGAATTGTGCGCTCGTCGCGTGGTTAGTTGAAATTAATCTCCAATATGCATGAAAAGTGGGAATGAATGGGTGGGGACTCCATTCCCTTAGATACGAAAGCACAAAGTACAGTCTCTCGCATTCACATCTTATCCCCCTCCAATCCAAACATACATGCATGTTCCCTGTGCCCCTCCCCTATTTCTTTACGTTACTTTTCTCTCTCTAGTCATGCTCTTGCTCTCTCCCCCTATCTATCTATATTTCTCTCTTTTATCTAGGTTTTTCACTTCTTCAAAAGTCTTTAATCCTCTGTAAACTATAACTATTTTGTCGCAACTATCCTTACATCTTGTTGCAAGATTTCAACTCGTGAAATCGGGGCTAAACTAGCCTAATTAGGTATATATCCCCCGCCCCTTCAATATATGGCTAAATTTGGCATTGGCAAGCAAAAAGAGAGAATAAGTGGGAAAAGAAAGAAATATTCTCGCTGAAGACCAAAATATTCTGCAGCAATCAATTGCATAGTGTTCTCTAATATGACAACAAAATGAAGCAAAGACATGGTGAATATATGGCCATTAAACAGTGAATATATCTGGGTCCGCTACTTAACCTCCCTCCCTCTCTCTCTCTGGGGTCATCCCCAAAAAATATTATATTCTTCATTATATTTTGATTTATAGATATATATACTGACTCATAATGTCGCTCTGCCATTTGATTCCTTCATTGAGTACGAATACACATGAATTGTAAACAAACCCAGATACTCAGTTTTATTTGATTCTCTACAATGCAAGCAAACTACGATACTATTGCCACGCTCAAGCGTTAGTTAATACTGAAGTAAGCAAGCCAAGTTATTTATAATTATTGCGAATTGAAGAGTACATATACGTATATCAAGTGCGCAGACATAGTTGTGCATGATCCTATCTCATGATTTCAACTGATTATTCGAACAATATGACTAGAAGAATGATTAAATTTCCCTTCAAACTCAACTCATTCGAAATAAGCGGGTTTTTTTTTAATAATCAGCAACGCATGTGCCTTGAGACTTTGACTAGATAATGCGACATCCAACTGCAACCTCCTGGGGTTCAGAATATTGAATATGTTGTCCTTTCTGAGATCTGGTTCACCTCTAAGTAGATGGATCTTGAAAATAATGAGAAGTGGAATGATGGGAACATTATACATAGTCAAACGGTTTAGTACGTAGTTCACATTTTCAGATTACAAAATAATTCCTTCATAATTGTCTGGTTGACATGTAGGGAGGCTCCAGCACTGTTTGGGGTTCGTGAAAAGAGAACAAAAAGACGAACGAGGTTGGTCTTGTTGATGAATAGTGGTGGTCGACTTTGGTTGAGAGGAGCGGATAGCATATTGACATCTAGTGTCCACTAAGAAATGTGGCCCTTTACAGACCGTACGCTGATTGACTGCAATAGAAATGAATGAACAATAGAGTGGGGTACTGACTTGGAAAAATTATATGCCCTGCCACTGCAATATGTCACCATCAGTACTTGCGCTTGGACACCCCATTTTTCTGCTTTCCTTCTATCTTCTGCTACACCGTCCTTCCATTCTTCACCACACCAAGTTCTGCTGCTTCCCTGCCAATCATATTTCCATCATCATACTCACCATCTTCCATAGCCCAATACAGATATGATGAAATTACTACTGCCGTTAAGTAACTCATATGCCAAATTCTTCGAATTTTAACTACATGATCATGATAAATTTGCATCAACGGCCTTGAGTAATTAGTAGATTTAGTAGTTCGTTCAACTGAATTTGGTCATATACCATACAAAGTTACAAACCCCTAGCCGACAGATTCGTCATCTCCAAGACTCCAACCAGTCACTGAATACAGGTGCACGCTAACTGCAAAACACACAAGTTAATGGCCACTATATATACATGCCGATCGGGTTGTAATCATCTGATATATTCTACAAGGAACGAAGAAGCTAATGACTAATAACATCCAAGTGGAGTAAAGTTGAATGAAACTGACAAGAGAGCAATAAGCAGGCTAACTAGTGATCATCTCATCATGCCAGTAGGGAATCATCAGAAAGTCTGATGAATATATATGATTGTTATATGAAGGAGAGTTGGAATTAGAAAGAGGGAGATAGCGATCGGAGGCTGAAGGTGATGACAGAAGCATAGAGAGCACAAAGGAGTGCGATGCAATTCCATATATGCATGTCATCATCTGTGCTCTCTATCTTCTGTCAACAACCTCCCACCCAACGCGCCTCCTATCTATCTATCTATCTCTTTCTTAATGTTATTTGCTACAACATCACTACAAGAATAATATAAGACAAGGCTCATGAGAAGAAGAAACAGAAGCAGAAGTGAGTTGGGCTCGGAGCACCGGTGGAGCTTGTGTTATATCTATGATGCAGGCCGAAAGCACCTATTTATAGGAAAAGAGAAAAGGGAAGCCAGCCTGCTCATTGAAAAGATCTATGGGTAAAAGGACCATTCACAAAACCCATCCTTGCACTTACTATCTGTCATGGCATGTTGTAACTGCTTCTTGCCAGATTAAATATTCATTAAAGGACATACACACTCCTTTGCAACTTTCTAACAACCCTTTCACGTACTACATGCATGCAAATTGCCTTGTCCACTTATTTTAATCTGCTCCCACAGGCCTACCCTCCCCTTTTATTTTTGAACCCGTTATAGTACTTAACAGCACACCTACGGAGGAACACTTATTTTTGTGATTTTTCGGACACTGCACTCACAGACAGTATCAACTGTTCAACAATCCAATAGGATCCGTCTTCAGTTGTTTGTGCTACGCATATATATTGTATGCTCCCATTTGCGATAGGATTTCTGCAAATCTTCTGTATCATCATATTTTCTAGTTATGACTTCTATTAGACCGAATGAATACAATGGTTGGCAAAAAAAAAAAAGAATGAATATAATGGTAAAAAAAATTGCTGTAATTCTTCATCTCCTTTTAATCTTTTGTGCGGCCCACAAGGCAATTGATCCACTGAAGCAGGACCTTGCATGGGTCTAGGCCGGTGAATTCGCTGTCAAGTTGGTTCAGAAATGCGGAATATGTTGGTTAATTAATATATGGAGGCAAGCCTCCATCTGTCTTTTTTCCTTTTCCTTTTATTCTAAACTTGGGGGTCTGTGGAGTAGTGAGTTGTGCGAATTGATTTTCCCGATTAAGAGGCATGACTTTTTGAAAGGAGCCGAACCCTTCAAAGCTGGAAGGTTGAAGATGATGCTCTACAAAGGCATGGTTGGAAGTCGCCATCAGCAAGCAGACAAGACCTTTTGAAGCAGAATATGAATACCATTAATTAGTGGGGACTCATGTTTGAATTTTCTTCTCATCTTCAATTAATTTTGATGGGTGTGGATTTGCCATGACTTTAACCATTAGGGGTGGATGACCATTAATGAAGTTTGAGTTTTGTATTGTCTTCTTCTTAAGAATCTTGTTTCATGTCATGATGATGGGTATATGAAGAAAGACTATAGCGTCAGGCTTCAAAAAATGGAAACAAATTAATGTAGTAATGCATTGTGGATAAGGATATTAATTTCCATTACCGTAGTCAAGTTTGCTTGTCCCTTAAAAGCGCTGTCCTTTGTAGATCACTAGGACGGATAAACTGTTTGTTGTTTATTGTGGCTTGAGTTAAAATATATGGGGAGATGTAAATGGGTTGTCAAGGTAAGATTTTTTTTTTTTTTTTCCCCGGCCAGAAGTTGTCGAGGTAAGATGAATGCTGTAAAAACCAAAGAAATCAGATCATGCATGGCATGTCCCCTTTGCCAAGTCATGTTCATGTAAGTTTATCCCCTGAAGTGAGGTGCAGAGGAATGGGATCCACAACTTTTAAACTTGGAGAGAGGATGATATTGGGCGGTCAAGGATGAGGACTTGTCAGAGCAAGTTGCAAGGAAGCATGGAGAAGAAAGAGCAACCTTCAACACACATTCCTTATCTTGTTTGGATTCACTTTTTCCTGTAACAGTTCATGAGAAAAGCAACATTGGGTGCCCCCCCCATACCTTCCTTCCTCATTTGGAATTCCATGTGGTTTTAATGGAATCTGGACTGTTCACACACAGTGGTCTGCCATGGCACCCTATATAACTTGGATTCCTTTGGGCTTTCCCTTTTTGGACTGAGGGGATCATTCTTCATGTGTTCACTCCTTATTGGTTCATGCATCCCTACTAGCATACCCCCCCCCCCCCAAAAATGCGATTCTCTCTGCAAAAAGCAGCTAAATGAATCAAATCCAGCCCAACAGCATCACCATAATGGCCCTGAAATATCCGCAGACCTTTTCATGGCTCTGTGAAAAAGCGGTTAGCATTTAACACCAACTCCTCTTTAAGAAGGCAATTTCAGAACTTTGAGATTTACGAGTTTCCGGCTGGGGCAGTAATAATAGTGGGATTAATTTAATTTGTCTAAAGTGACACAAACAAAATTCACATGAGTAGAAGAAAAGCATAAACATGCATAAACTGAAGGCCCCACAGGCCGAATCTAACCATGTGATGATCAATTCGGATGATTGGTGCACAGAGAGATTCATGGGAATATGGTTCTATTAGATACCGAAACGTATAAAGTATACCGCCGAGTGCCGACAAATGGTAATTCTTGCAAGCACAGGTGTCCATTGGTACAAGTAAATGAACTGTTTAACTTTTTCCGATAGTTCTAGGGAGGGTCCTTCTCTGTTTCAAATCAATCAAGAGTCAAGACATGCACGACCCGTCTGACTATATATTGTAGCACTTGCGTAGTTCATCTAAAAATTTAAGTGGGAGGCCCACCTGTCTCTGATGAAATGAATTAACTAGATACAGTCATGTCCCTTTAACAAGAAGACGCAACTTCAGTGATACGTGTTGAACGACCCAAAAGTAATTATCAGGAGTTGTACTTTCAATCTCTATTCTCTAATAAAGTTTTGACGTGATATAGCATCTCTGTCCTGTGTAGAGGAGAAGATGGTTTACACTCTTATTTCAGCAATTAATTAATATTAAATAAACAACATAAAGTTCTAAGCATCCTTTCCGCACAAGAATTCGTCACATGAAATTACGTTGACCAAACCCTGCAGGATAGCGGTTGGGAAATTGGTCAATACCTGCTCTGTATCGTTCCAATTTCGTCACATTAAATTGGTCATCAGCTGCTAGTTCCGAAAGTGTAGCAAATTAGGACCCATATGCAGATTATACTGGAGTTGGAGAACAATGATTGACTTGCTGACCCCAACAATATTGTAAACAAAACAGAGATTTGAACATGATAAAATGTGGAAAGTTAATGAGTAGGCAACAACAAGAAGACAAACTTGATGGAGTTGCAAAGTGGCTTAGGTATTGTATTAAGTAGCACAAATGGATTAGGTAGTGTAAAGGAACCATGCTGATAATTCGATATCGTCCAGAGGAACACAAATCTGGATTTCTAGGCGAAACTTATGAAAAGATCCATTGATACATGAGAATGCGGTCAAGGATCATATTTTGCACTGCATTTTCTCTAGCAACAATAGTAGTAATTCTATTGGCTTTGCTTTCGCCTGCATCCCACAAGAAGAGCCATCCAAGGCCATGGCTCGATCTTTCCTTGTACATCCAAAAACCTCACACATCAGCCTCAAACACACAACCTCCACTTGGGGACAATGCGGGTGCATTCATCTTCCACCGTGTGCTAACAGAGGGACCCGACAACAATTCCAGGGTAGTGGGCAAAGCACAAGGCTTTATAATTCCCACGCAACAATTTGTACAATCGGCATTCAAATTCATATACCTAACCTTTGAAACTCCAGAGCGTTCAGGTAGCCTGAGTGTGCAGGCCAGGGAGGCAGGCGACAAGGTCACTGAAGAATTTACAGTGGTTGGAGGGACGGGGTCGTTTGCATTTGCTCGTGGTGTTGCAGTTTTTACCCGCACCAATATGGGGTCAAGCGAAGTTGATGCGAGTTCTTTTGTCAAACTTCAGCTTGAATTTCCAAATCAGTCTCCCAAGACGCCAGCGTGATTCAGAATGCTAGTTCTGTTTTGCCGATTCATTCCAAGCAGTCACCCCCGCCAAGGTAGCATCTCGGTGGCCATTCATATGTAAGTAACATATTTTAATACTTAACTACCCTGAATATGGGTAGATGAGTATATAGTTTTGTATTAATTAGTTAGGTCTTTGAAAATACCGGTGAGTTTCTATTGATGAAGCTCAGGCTCATTAGGAAAACAATTTTGAGCGACTACGGCCATGCGTAAGAAAAGGGAAAGTACGATGTTTCTGCATTGATTTTAAATAGGAATTGTGCTCGTTGAAAGAGTGAAGATGTTCGTGTTTTGCTATGGGAGGCTTATATAGTACCACATCGATGAATATGAAAGGTGGAACTGAGCGAAGGGCTATAAAAACGGGGATGACTGAAAAAGCGTCTCATCTTTGCGCTTGGGGCAATGACGCAGCTAGTGAGGTTCTAACCGAGGCGCGTCTATTGCTGGTTGAAAACTATTTCCAAACCCCCTCTTAGGCCTGGGTTTGGCCCTGGCCTTTGAGAATTTCTGGAAGGGCTCCCCCCCGGGGTAAAGCCCTGCAATTCTAGTCCTACGTCTTTTTATTTGGGCTTCATCTGTCTCCTATGGTTGCCCCGATCGTTGGTAGCGGGCTGTTAGCCTCCTCACAACGTGTTCTCTTAAAAGCCTAGACAACTCTTGTACCGAGAATTTTAAAAAATTATATAAAAGAAATTTCTATCCCTTGTAAACAGAATTTTAAAAAAAGTTTCGCATTGGTTAAAAATAGAAAAAGTTGGTTAAATATGACCATATTTACTCAAAACTCTTAATATAAGATCTCCTATGATAATTAATATAAAAGTTAGTTGATTAATTTGAATAGATTAAAAAAATTAATTATATTAGTTATTTGTAATAAATAGGTGTTACTTTTGTGAAATATTATTATTAATCAAGTATATATGTTAGAACTATCATTATTATAAGAATTAAATCAGAAAAAAATATAAATATAAAAGATAAAGTGAATTACAATCTTATATTTAAGATCAAAATAAAAACCAAATAAACTCTTATATCAAGCATATGCAAACATAGATCCTTAGACGGTGAGGCGCCCAGTTCCCTCACATTGCCGGTTGCAATTCGCTCATAATCTTCCTCACATCGCCCGCTCTGTGCTCGTGTGCCAGCATACTTCTTCAATCTATTCGCCGCATAACGCCTCCTCTTCAGCAGGTCTCATCGCTTGCGTCCGCGTGAATATTACATTAAAATCACACCGGCCTGCAGAGAATAAAAAGAAAGTGTTGGCAGGCCTACCTAATTTACCTTTGTTTTCCCCACTTGAGCAAGTTGCCAAGGAAAGGGGGAGGGGAGTGGGGGCGCCTCTATCTGTGATACTGAGGGGACAAAAGTCCCCAAAACGTCTGAAACAAAAAAAAAAAGTACAATTTATTTAGTTCTATTACTTTTTCTTTTTTGGTTCATAATGACTTATGAACCATCTAAAACTTTTCTCCATCCGTTCATTGTGAATCTATTTCTATCCGAGAAGATAAAATTCTTTTTTTTGGGGCCTGAGAGAAGATAAAATTCTTTGATGTTTTAAAATATTCATAAAAGTTTGTTACTTTGTTTTCCACAACTGTCCGTCCAATATAGGATGCTAGTCCATTTAAACTTGTGTATTCTTGGACCTAAACAACCGCCATTCTTAAATACTACTTTCGGTTTTTAATATAAGATTTTGTTTAACTTGAATTTTGATCCTAAATATAAGACTCCTAATCTATTTTGTCTCCCATATTTATGTTTTTTTTTCAAGTTAGTCTTTCTAATAAGAGTAATTCTAGCCAATACACTTAATTAATAAGGATATTTTAAGAAAGAAAACACGTATATATTACAAATAACTAACTTAACTTAGTTCCTTAATCTTCTCAAATTAGTCAACCAGCTCTTATAATTAAGACCAAAGTAGTATCTGATTATTTTGTAGCCGAAAGAATTTTTTGGAAGTCCAACTATCATATTGTGGAGTGTAAAAATATGGAATAAAATGTTTAAATATACCGGAAGTATTCATAAAGGAGTAGCCAATGCTTGAATTTTTTTTTTTTGCTCTTATATACCTTAAAAATTTTATTCCTTAACACTTTTGTCCCAATCTATTATCTATTATTAAGTTAGATCATTAAAGATACTAATTAAACTACATAATTTAACAGTCAAATTTAATGACAGATAACGGTTAGAGTATTTTTACTACAAAAATAAAGTTTCAAAACATACAAGAGCCAAAAAAAATTTAGGTGCTGAATGCTCTTTTATAGATATTGCCGGAATATTTAAACACCTTATCCCGTAGAAATAATTATAAACCATGCTGTATCTCGTACTGCGTCTTAAGTATTTTCCCAGAAAAGATTGAAATCATTAAATTTTCTATATAAATTAATGAAAAAGATATGGCGAGATAAACGTGATAATATATTCTAATAAAAGAACACAACTTTAGTATCATGATAGTTGTCGGTGTGAACAGTCTTTTGTAATTATAAAATTAATATGTATAAAATTAAAAAAATTAATAATTATAAAAGGTATAAAACTTGTCATGTTTTAAGAACGCAATCTAGCTTATCATATAATCGGAAATACAATCATCTAAATGTATTTGTTTAATTAAAGAAATCTTTGGCAGCTTATCAAAAAAAGAAAGAAAAAAGAATATTTTTCACAGAATAACAAAGACAACTTACAGGAAAGTGCATGACTGTCGGGGCGGACAATTCTTTGTTACCGGGGTGATCAAATGTGTTAAAATTAAAACTTCTGATTTACAAAGGGCATTGAATTCAACAGCATTAAATTACTAATAGAAGAAGAGATTCTGCCCGATTTGATTTGGACGTGCACGTGAGATGTGCGCGGGTCATAAAGAAAGGGGGTAATGACTAATGACAGGCTGCTTAGAGGCTTATTAATTCACGTGTTTTTGGGAATAATTAAAGCCTGCACATGCATGTAGCACTACAAATAGGGACAGATTAGCAAACCAAAACCTGTTAAGTCCTTGTCGTCACTATACATCGGCCACCTCCACCGGACTTTGTTTGTTATATTGGTCCCCACTGAATTATTCATTCTTGCTTTTTAAAACAAGTTGAGACTGGTTGCTATGGACCTCGATTTTTTTTTCCTTTGGGAAAAAAACAAAGTTCAACGTCTTGGAGAGGACTCAGCAGTCATGATTAATTAATCATCCGTTGAAGTGAACGTCTCGATCGCTTGTCTCTTATTTTTGCTATTTGAGAGAAGAAATTTAGCACCATGTCCGTACACAAACGTAGTGGTGACAAAGTGACCGGTATTGTATTTGGTGATTAAAAAGAGTGGGCCGGCCGGGCAAGTTGCGTTGTAATAATAGACTGATGAGACTAAGATCTCACAATACACAACTCAGCATACAATAATTTAAAAATCAGTAACAGACTCATGCTGTGTTAGCCATTTATTTTGAGGAAATAAAACAGACACAGAGGGACAGGTAGTTGGTGTGTGGACAATCTTTCGTTGTCAAAACGAGACAATGAAAGCATTGGTTGGCTAATAATGCTGAAAAAACATAATTTTTTTAATTAAAAAAATTTTGACCATAAAACTCGACGGATGGGCTTTCATTTGATCGGATGAAATATGTCATCCCGGAGGCGCATTTACATTGTTGTCCCAAGAGACCCGCCCCTTGACGGATCATTCCAACCACTAACACCCACCCACGTATAAAATCTTATCCTGTTATCTCTTGACTTGACTCAAAAGGGGCCTCAGCCTTTACTTGTTTTCAAGGTTATAGGCCTTTAACTAACTAAGATCCCCCCGCCAACCGAAAAATTAAAACAAAAGTCAAAGGATTTACTTTTCATTTGTAACTCGATTTAAGAAGTTTGGAACCATCCCTATTAGACGAGCAATGATCATGCTCCACGCACCTAAACCTAATCATATATATATATACTCCTCCGATCCTTAATATAAGACCTATTCAACTAATTTAATTAGATTAAAAAAGTTAGGTAAGTTAGTTAATTATAAGAAATATGACATATTTTTTCTAAAACACCATAATTATTTTTCTTAATATCTTCCAATTGTCTTCTACTTGATTATAGTCGAAAGAGTATCCACAGGAGTAAGTTAAAGAAAATTGATAAATATAAGAAATAGGTCTTATAATTAGGACCAAAATCAACTCAATAATTAGGTCATATATCAAGGATAGGAGGAATATACACACACATATATATATATATGCTATTTTACTTTTTCAAACATGTCACATGTTGCTTCCCATTAAACGAATTAAATGCATCGATTTGTACCTATATTGATTATCACAGCTATAGGAAAAGGCTAATTGTTTCAATGTATTTCAATTAACGACGCATATATGATCCACAGAAATGACTTGATGTAAACACATCAAAGTGCGAGCAAGACTGTACATACGAGTCTGCCTTTTTCTATTATTCAACACACAATGTATATATATTTTAAAAAATATAATATGGTCATAAACATGAACACACACATATTTTCATGTGTAAAACATACATGAGAAAACGCATCTAATTTCTTCTGAGCGATCATGCTCCTAACTTTATATGCATGGATGTTTGTTTTTAGTTTACATGTCAATGCCAGGCAGATTAGTTTTGTTTTGCGCGTATTTTCACTTTAATTATCGATCATACCGTTCACGATGCTAAAAATACCCTTTTTATCCTCTGTGGTGATAATTAAACGTTATTTAGAATCGGTATCTTTTTTTCCCCCAGCCAAGAGAAGGAGTATCGATGGATAAGAACTAAATATATTGCAGCCTCAAAAACGAATATTCGAAAACAAATGTGCCTCAGATATTCAAATTAAAAAAACGATTCGAAGTTATCAGAAAGGTTTAAAACTAAGGTTTCAACCACACGCGAACTAAGATATTTTGTGGCTAGTTAATTATCCATATCCACTAGCTAGTGGACTAAGTAATTCCGCTAATATGTATTTTCATGATGATTATATATGTTCCATCTAATACTCCATACATACAAGCGATTCAAATTAACCTCTCCAAGCTCAGGTTCTGACAAGTTTATGAAGCATGAGATTTTGTTGCTGGATATATATGTCACACGCCTCACGAAAGAAGGGAAGATTATTGATTTTCGCTAGAGGCGATGGTGGATGCGGAAGCAGGCGAATACGCAAACTATACGAATAATGCTTTAATTTATTGAAGGAAGCAGAAATTAAAATGAGTAAAACGATCGACAACAATAGAGCCAGAAAGAAGCATACATGCAAGTACAGGAAAGTGAAAGGAACAGAAGTGGTTTCTGAATGTGTGGGAAGAGTGAGAATTGGAATGAAAAAAGATTAACGGTGGAGTCACTGGATGGAGCAAAAATCAGACGGTGGAGGATCATAAACGGCATTGTAACAATGGGAATAGAAAGGCTTAGCGCAGCAAGAGGGACATGAGACCCAAGGAGGGCAGTGACCGTAGCAGATCACCGCAAAGCACTGACCACCGCACCGGTAGCTGCGGCATCCCGGGCACGGCTTGCACTCACCCCCGCATTTGTGGCTCTCGCACTTGCAGCACGGCTTGCACTTACCGTCGCACCTGTGGCTGTTGCACTTGCAGCAAGGCTTGCACTTACCGTCGCACCTGGGGCTCTCGCACTTGCAGCACGGCTTGCACTTACCGTCGCACCTGTGGCTGTTGCACTTGCAGCAAGGCTTGCACTTACCGTCGCACCTGGGGCTCTCGCACTTGCAGCACGGCTTGCACTTACCGTCGCACCTGTGGCTGTTGCACTTGCAGCAAGGCTTGCACTTACCGTCGCACCTGGGGCTCTCGCACTTGCAGCACGGCTTGCACCCACCGTCGCACCTGGGGCTCTGGCACTTGCAGCACGGCTTGCACCCACCGTCGCACTTGGGGCTCTGGCACCTCACGCAGGGAGGAAGCGGCACCACACACACTGTACAACATTTGGGCTTGTCCTTGTCCTTGCCCTTGTCCTTGTCCTTGCCCTTGTCCTTGTCCTTGTCCTTGTCCTTGTCCTTGTCGTCCTCCTTTTTGGGCGGCTTCACCTCTTCCACCGTCAGCACCGTCACACACCGGAACTTCTTCCTCAGCATCCTGCCCAAGCAAATCGCGTCCACATCTTCCCCGGTCACCACCAGTTTGTCCCCTTCTATCGCCACCGAAGTCACACCTGCATATATTTATGTTCCGCTTCCAAGTATATATCTAAGTCTATTCATGCTAGTACGTATATTGATCCACGTGACCACACACACACACACACCCACCTTTTATCATCGAAGCTATTTTCAATGCCTTGTTCCTGCAACACTCGCACTGAATTGCCACCTTCACTGTTATTTTTAGCTGCACCCATCCCAGTTTCAACAATAATGAAGTCGCCTTCTTAATGAAATTGATTTCAAGAAACTGAGCAGCAAGTAGTTATAATTAAATAGACCTCACCTTCATGTTCGGACTCCTTCTTGGGGATACTGAATTGCCAATACCGAGTCGTACGTTCTTATTGTGTCGTGCCACGCTTTCGGAAGCGTCTGAAGTCCTCTATATATATATATAGGGGAATCAGTACTTCTTCCCTGATGCATCATGCACACTAAGAGACAGATGATATACATATACTACCTCCGGTCCTAATTATAAGAGCCAGTTGACTAATTTGAGGAGATTAAGAAAGTAAGTTGAGTTAATTATTTGTTCTAAATAAGTGTTATCTTTCCTAAAATATCCTTGCTAATCAAGTGTATTTACTAGAACTATAATTATTAGAAGGACTATTTTGGAAAAAAATTGACTAAATATGAGAGACAAAGTGGATTGGGGTCTTATATTTAAGACCAAAATAAAAATCAAACAGGATCTTATATTAAGGACCAGAGGTAGTATATTAGTTCAGCTAGGGATTAAACAAGTGACACTTAATCATACTGTCGGTTCTAGGTTATATGCTCTAAAAAATAATATCGTCCGTGAACTCATTTCATATAAATCATCAAAAGTAAAATCGTGCGCGGTGTGGATATTACATAATTGAGGGGTGTGTCGTATTTAGTGCTTTCAATCCTAGGTACTGTTAAATCTCCCAGCACGTTGGGCCGTTGACTCATCCAGCTCAGAGAGTGAGGCATTATCGTCAGCGGTTCATGCCAACCCCAATCACGAGCGTGCTCTTGTAATAGCAGCACTTTTGGAAGATTGGTGCACACGCGTCACTTTACTATTCTGCGATTCATTCTGCTGTTCTCTATCATTCATCACAAATGACTCCTACACGCTGTAAAACTCAAAATAAACAATCGAAAACGAAAATGACTGATATTGAAGGCCGGCATCGTTCCGTTTTGTTGAGAGATGCATGCATGGGCCTACTATGGCATTGACAGCCCTTTTGGATCGTCAACTCAAACAAATATTATTATTCCCTCACCAATTAGCTGTCATTTTGGACCGTGCTAAAATATGCTCATTACATATATAATCGTGCCCACCCCACCCCCCTAATTATTTCATCGGTCCCAACCGTTTTTTTTTCCAAAAGGACCCTATCATTTTAATTATTCATCAAATCAGCGCAAATTAAATTCATGTCACTTTTCTTTCAACTTTAAGTTATATATGGCATGCATATTCTGAGCAAGTATATATTTACCAAGTTTCCTGAGACTTTTTTACAGTATTTTATGTTCTATAAAATCTGAGTGTCATTTTCCCAATTATCAAACATCAGCTGGCTTTGAGTTGGTTTTTCGCAGCCTTATTCTTGTGATTTATTTGCCCTTTTACCCTGTACTTGCTATGAGGGAAATGGAGGGTTGAAAAAATTTTAATGAACTTAATTTCAAAGATGGAAGAAGTGGGATCTTAGAATTCCAATAAAAATAAGATATAAGGTAAAAGAGTAATAAAAATTAATTAAAAGCTTTTAACACTACTTTTTTTTAATTTTTTAAAATGAACCTAATAAAATTTTTCCTCCCCTCCCCTCTCCGATTTCCCTCGTACAAGACGGACTCTATTGCATTGTAATTAATCGAGTCACTGATAGGTTTTGTTTTCTAATTATAACCCCTTATACCAAAATTACCATAAATAAAATTTAGCGCATTCAATTATATTTTGTTAGAAAGTGACAGGAATCAAATGGAAAACGGAGCGCCAGGCGGCCGGAAATTTTTTTTTGGGGGGGGGGGGGTGTGAATTTCCAACTTCAACGATGGAACATGGGGGAGCTGGTCGTTGGGTTCAAAAGATCCACCACGGCAACGCGCATCTTTTTCTGTACGTAGTGATGTGTGAGTGTTGTGTACGGACGCGCGAAGCCACCTAGCCTGTGTCTATGTATAATTGGGAGGTGGGGAGGACGGATTGCCTTTTATTTCAGTGATCTTAATTAAGTAGGAACACCTAATTATGTCCACCGTATTCAATATTCTCCAAAAGAGTAGAGTATTGAGTTACATGTATTCTTATTTGTGGAGACTGGCGGCATAAATATTAAATTGTCATCAAGAATGAGGGCCAGGCCACCGGAGGAACTGTCATGCCGTCGTCGGTTGTCCATGTGATGAATATATACAAAATTTAGGCGTCGCCTCAAAGGCTCATTGATTAGACTGGCCAGGGGAGGAGTGCGTATGGTGACCCACGTACAAGACACCTGTATGTCGTTTCGCCCTCACAGGCATGCATTGATGCATATGTGCTGGACCACTCTTATCCTTCTACTGTGCGTCCTATATTAATCCGTCGCTTTTCGCCAAACGCCAGCATTAGTGGCCATTATGGATGCCACAATCATGACTCACCATACACATTATGCGTGCACATAAAGTAAAGATTACACACACACACACACACTCACACATATCAATAAGTGAATCATCTTGCCGGTTTGGTGTTGATCAATGAATAAAGCAGTGTCAAGTTCTGTTACGAGTGCCACATCCGATCCTCTGTTCGTTGGTGAGTTGGGTGAAGCGAGAACATGACAACACGTCGTCCACAGACTAACTGCCGGCAGGTACGCACGTGTTCGACGTTCACTTGCCCTCCGCCCAAGTAAGGGAGGATCGCCACAAAATGAAGGCAAATCAATTTATAATGGCTATATTACATTTGGGTTTAATTCGCCACAAAGCGTGCACATAAAGTCATGACTCGCCATACACATTATGCGTCCCATTCAAGTCCTAATCTGCCGCAGGTGGCAGATTAGGACTTCAATGGGACGTCACGTCTCGGGCCTCATGGCCACACATCAGTTCTCTTTTATTATTTTGGTGTTAAAACAAAAAAAAAGGGTTCTCTTTTGTGTCAAAAAAAGAAAAAACAGGTTCTCTTTTATTCTATTACGTATTGGCAGCTTCAACCTCACGCAGTCACGAAAGTAACAATCTCTCTCTCTCTCTCTACACGCGCGCACGCACAACCTATTTAATAAAATCGTTAGTACTGTTTTTTTTTTAATTTTCAAGAAAGCAAGCCAATCAGTTATCTTATCCTAACTTAATCCTCAAGTAAAAAAATTATATAAAAATAGGAAAATCTAATAAATAGAAGACAATCTAATAAATATAATTCTACTTCAAATTATTTATTTAAGAGATAATGTAAATCATAAATGAAATTAAGAAAAAAAAATCATACAATTCATCCTAGAAGAATTTCCTCATCTATGATAAATTCAAGATATCTGCTAAAAATATCATATTTCATCGTTGACCCTCAATTATTATCCGGTCATATTGTATCTGAAAACGCTGTGTGCGCTCATTTTATGCATTCAGAGAATAAATTTTGGCGACTATGTCCTCTCAGCTGCTAAAAATTGAAAAGAAAAGGATAAAATTAATGTTTCAATCCTTATATAATTTCTGTTCGTTTCCAAAGAATTCCTATGCCTTAAAAGCTTCTAAAGAAAGGTCCTTATAAAATTGTATTTTCTTAAAAACAAAATCATTATTCTTCCCCCCCCCCAAAGTACAATCATCTAGGTTCTGCGCAAAACATTGCGTTGCTAAATTTTATACGAGTCATTTGATCCAAAGGAAATTTAAAAGAGAGATGGTCAAATCCATAAATTAAAAGAGATGGTTATGAATATAAAATCAGAAACAAATCATTATCGTTGATTAGATTCTCTCTCGCGCCAATTAAGCTGCAACCGTATTTTTTACCATGAAATCAGTGCAATGTTGGATGAACTGAAATGTCGTTCATTAACTCGGGCAGATTATTTTAGGTAGGTATGGGATCTTAAACAAAAAATAGTAAGAAAATAACGGGCAGAATGAACCAAAATTTCAACAATAACTTTGTCTCAGTTTACGTGAAATAGATTTATGGGGAATTTTTATCATTCTGCCAAACGGGGCCCTGATCAACAACTCAAAATCAATTAAACTGTAGTGTACAAATAAACAGGCGGGTCTATTTAAATCCCACCGCTCTCTGTTCGGCCCGGCTACCATCACATTACCATGGGCACAAGGCTTATAATAAGGAGAAACCTGATTCTAACACATCAGTCCTATTATTATTAACTAAAAAATGGGGAGGAAAATCAGATGAAACTGATACTCGTATTTGTCATGGGGGAAGTCAATGTATATGATTGAGAGGCAATAGTAGGTACGATTCCAAATCAGCCTTGTTCAGTTATTCTCGTGATTTATTTACCCTTTTACCCTGTACTTGCCGTGAAATGCAGGGTTGAAGAAATTTTAACGGGTTTAATTTAAAAAACAGAAGAAGTGGGACTTTAGAGACTTCTAATAAAAATAAGAATTAAATAAACTTTGATACTTTAAATTTGTCCTCATTTTAATTATATTAACCTAAAAACATAAGATATAAGGTAAAAGAGTAATAAAAATTAATTAAAAGCTTTTAACTGCTGTTTG